CGTGACAGAGGTGATTTCTTTTTACATTGTCTGGGAGTCGGCTGTTCATCTATAGCAAGAATCTTGTATACAAAACAGTGTATGATTTCCTGTCAAATATAGTTTATCAGTGCTCCAGATAACTTTTTGACATGTGGGGTTTTCACTCCTACCTTTATAAATTGAGGGGTTTTTTCACCCCTGCCTTCTTCAAGTGTATGGGTTTTTCCATATTAGGGTAACACTGAATTTGTAAACATTTTTGACAGCGCCATATTTGCTATGCGACTGGTTTATAATCACGATCAAGAAAGCGCTTGCATGTTTACTTGATAAGTGTCTGTTTGACTTAGATTATAGTTTATATAGTCTCCGGAACGGGTTAATGACGCAAATCTTATTTTTTTCCTAGCGTGAAATTAGAAATATTGTGCGTGAAAACGCATTCACGCAGGCTATCTGGAGCACTGGTTTATATAGTCTGAACATCAGTCTACATCTGATTAGATTGTGATGATTAGTAGTCAAGGTTAAGGATCAAGGGTCCCAAGTGAAAAGTCTTTGTCTCCGTGACAAATAAGAGGGAAAGCGAACATGTCTAAGGTGTTACCTTTTGTTCTCCACACATTAATATTTATAAGGAAACACATAAGGTTCATTTTCACAGACACTACATATTATTAATACAAATTTTGTTGTTTTTTTCAAGTGAAAAACATGCAAATCTGTATGATTTTGCAAATTTTTAAGTTCTTAAAAAATATCAAGATTAACTGCTTTTACATATAAAACGGGTAAATTCTGCTGTTTATTTTTTTGTCTTTTATACAACAACAGAGGGTTATGAAAGTGAGACTTTGGTGTTACTTTTACACCAGTTTTGTTGTTATTATTCCACTTCATATTTTTTTGTGTAGTATTGTTCTTTCAGAAAATGCAGCATTAATACATAACAGGAAAGATATATCAGTGCACCAAACAGATAATGTCGGTTTCGTTTCTTTAATCAGTTAAGGACCTGAAATTTCCAAATTGACTGAACAGAAAATATTGAGATTAATATATTTGTATTAAAAAAAAGATTCCTGGGATGAAGTGTGACAAGGCTTGTAAAAATTATTGACTTCGGTCCATAGTCAAGGTCACATGGATCAAATTGTTAAAAATTTCAATTACCTTCTTCTGGTTAACCGAAAGGCTTGAAATCTTGATATTTGGCAGGTATAGGTTCCTGTGCAAAAAGCCAACAAAGTTCGTGAAAAGAAAGGACATTGACCCTTAACAAAGGTAACAAGGGGCGAAATTTATTAAAACTTTCTGATGAAACAAAATGGCCTAGAATCATGATACATGGCTGAAAGGTTCCTAAGACAAAGTCTTACAATGTTTGCAGAAAGAAGTGACCTTGACCCTTATTCATGTTCAAAGGGATAAAATTTGTTATACCATTCAAACATCTTCTAATAATAAATAGAAAGCCCTGAATCATAATATTTGGCTGGCAGGTTCTTGGGATGAATGTCAAAGATGTAAAAAAAGTATTTGTGAATAGCATTTAATTTAAGGTGATGGATGCACAGGCCTCATGTTATCTCTCCCATAAACATTTGTGGGGAATATAGAATTGGGATGTCTGTTAATTCATTCGTCTGTACATAGACAATCTATGGACCAGAACTCTAAAATTGTTCAAGATAACTTCCCAGAAAACTTCTGTACAGTTAGTTATCAAGCAAGTACTCTAGTAGTATGACAAAAAATTCACCATTAAAATCCTTTTCCATGGCTGAAAATTTACCAAATTTTCTATATCAGAACTCTGAAACTTATAAGATAACTAACTACTCAGTACTTTGTTCAGTTATCAAGCAAGTGCTTTAGTAGTGCCTTTTGTTATGACATAGTTCTCAATTTAAAATTTACAAATTTCAGATTTTCTATACGAAAACTCTGAAACTGTTGAGATTACTACTCAATACTTTGTACCATTATCATCCTAATGCTGCAGTAGTGCCTTTTTTCTCTATTGAAATAATTGTATCTGTTATCATGGAAACAGATAGGCCAAATTACAATTTTTTCAAGACTAGAGCTCTGTAATTGTTTATAATAGCTGCTCAGTACTTTTGTAAAGTTGTCAAGCTTAGTAGTCTAGCAGTGCCTTTTGCTATGGAGAAGTTCACCACTTCAATATGTATCTGTTACCATTGAAATAGATAAGCCAAATTAATAATTAAAAACCCTTGTATGAAGCACGACTCCAAAACAATTTGAGTTAACTACCTGAAACTTTGTATGACTGTCAAGCTAACATTCTGGTAGTGCCTTCATCTTTGGAGAGCTCTCCTTACCATGGTTACCATGGACACAGGTTATACTACAAATTTTGCTGTTTCCAGAGTAAAATTTCAAACCCATTCAAGATAATGACATGAAGCTTTTTTCACTTCATTCTTTGCCAGTTTCAATGGAAATAGATAAAAAAAACTAATTGGCACCATTACCAATTTTATGGTTTCCTGAGCATTGCAACACAATTGTTTGAGAACTAGCTGAAACATTGTACAAGCTAGTGCTCTCTTGGTGCATTTTGTTACTGGAGTTTTCATTTTCAATATTTTTCCTTTTTCTCCTTTTTTGTCTAAAAATAGCATCAGTCAGCAAACAAAAATTCCAATTTTACCTTCATATTTATATATATCCCATGATAAGTTGTATAACATTATTAGTTTGGTTATCATTTATTTGTGAATGATTCCAAACCATACTTACAAACATCAACAGTAAAAGATGATCTACATGAACATATCAGTAACCATGGTGAAATGGACTTAATGCCTGTTATTGTAATATTAACATGGTTGTATGATGGGGTGTCTTTCTTTTAAAAAGTGGGATGCTTGGGATGATGTCTTGCTTGCTTTATCTTATTTTTTTTCTTTTTTGTTTGCTTGTAAACTTCATGTTTATGTATGGACTTTGTTATGTACATATGTATTAAGAAGTTAATTTTAGATCAGTTCCCAAGAGTAGATACTCTATCAACCCAATCTTTTATATAGTTTTGTCATAGGCTGTATAACTCAAATTGGAACATATTAAGTTATCAATGTTTTGACACAAAACATTTTGGGGATCAGAAACATGTTTATGTATGGACTTTGTTATGTACATATGTATTAAGAAGTTAATTTTAGATCAGTTCCCAAGAGTAGATACTCTATCAACCCAATCTTTTATATAGTTTTGTCATAGGCTGTATAACTCAAATTGGAACATATTAAGTTATCAATGTTTTGACGCAAAACATTTTGGGGATGAGAAACATCAAATTTTAGTGGATTTTTTTAAATGGACAAGCTGAGAACTCCTTGACCTTCATGAATCTCATTAACTTTTCATCCTATCTAGTTGATTAAGTAGTAAGGTTGGTGGTTAGGTGATACAGTGGTAATACATTTGTCTTTCGTCAAGGGGATCAGGGTTCATTTCCCTGATCAGATTATGGAAATTTTTTTGGTCATCTAAATGGCGATGTGCATTTTCCCCCATTACTCCAGTTTCCTCTCACAGTAAGACTCCCCTAATACTTCCATCTAAGCCAACAAGATTCATATAAACTGTAAGGTTATAGGTTGTTTTGCAAACTGTGAACAGTACTTAACATCGCTATTTTTTTTAGAAGTGCTTGATGGATCTTTCTCAACTTTCAGATATAGATTCTCCTTGATCCCTAGGTTTGCCTTTTTGGTCTGATCATGGAAACAATGGGTTACAGATGGCCATCTTGGAATCTGACTTGTCATCATTATCTGGAGAAGGTGCAAAATTGGACCTTTCTCAAATTTCATGTGAAGGTTCTTCTTGGTTTCAAAAGTGTCCTTTTGATTTTGGGACTGAGAAAAACCCCACAAAATAGCTGACCGATGCCTGTGTTGGACTTTGATGATGAAAGTATGTTATAGCAATTTCTTGAAGTATTGGGTGGACCTTTTTCAAATTTCACATGTAGGTTGCTATTCCCTAAGTTTGCTTTTTTATTTTGGAGCTGACCAGAAGAAGAAAAAATGACAGACCAGCAACCATGTTTGCTTTGTCAGTTTAACAGATAATCTTGTTTATTTCTATAAAGAGAAAGACAATGAAATAAGAGAAAAAAAGGTAAAAGATCCTACTTTCAAAGGACAAAGAAAAAGCAATCAATATTTGGCACCCTCAGCTTAGATATTTTTTTTAATGAAAGTCGGGACAATGAAACGTAAGCTTATATGGGACTTTTTTTAAATAACTTTGTTCACATTTTGAAAATGAGACATCATGTGAAGGAACCTTGATTTACATGGAGTTATCATTGATGCAACGTAAATATTTGCATTCCCTTCTAGTACACCTGGTCTTTGTTTTGTTGATGGTATATCTAAAAAAAAAATCTTGTTTTTTCTTGTTTTATTGGTTTTAATTTAAATGATGATTTTGTCTGTTTTCCACTATTTTCACATAATTTTCACAATTTTTCAAACATTAGGAAATGACCCTATATCATTAACACTCTAAAAAGACCTGAACCAACCTGAACACAAACCAGTTGAATGATTGCATTTCATCTTGATTTTACCATTAGTATTCTTGTCAATCATGCTGTGTAAAAGAGTACCATCACATTTGAAAATAGTTTTCTTGGAAACACTGAGACAGGAGAAAGATTGACTAAAGTGTTCATTAAACATGTGAAACCCTGGCCAAGTGCCTTTTGCATGAGCTTGTAAGCATGGTAATTCTTCTGAAATATTGTGTTGAAAATGTGTAAACAATATGTCAAAAAGCACAATACAGACGATGGAATTATTCCAGTCATTAATAAATATACAAGGGATTACTAAAACAGGATTACAACAAATATAAACATTTTGGATTTTTTGTAAGAGATTTCTTAAGATTTTAGAATGAAGCTGATTACAGTGTCTATTTTTGAACAAAAAATCACATCAAGTAAATTTTGTTTTATTTGCAGAGGTTGTGAAATGGATACATCTGGCTTTCCTGCGATAGCTAGTCAGTCTGCGAGTCAAGTTACAAATGTGGATTTAAAGCAGGACGAAATTGATGGATCACCTGCACCAGTTGTAACAGATGGAGCTTTGAAAAGTACTGTAGGAGGCAATGACTCCTCTTCACAGCAAACAGAAATTGGGGTGTTTGAGGTTCCATTGGTTCCTGCAGCAACACAGCAGGAAATCAGTCAGATAGGAAATCCAGATGTTTCTGTTATAACTAAACCAAATGAAAGCATAATGATATCTGAACCTAGAAGCATATCAGAGGCTGATGAAGGAGAATCTGACCTTATCATTGACCTTGAAGAAGAACATCTGTTGGCAGGTGATGATGGCAATGCAGAGAAGGCAGAGGAGGAAGGTAGGCAAGATGAAGATGAAAAACAGTCAGCTGAAAGTGGCAATACAAATAATGATAATACTGAAGGCAGAGCATTGATGGAAAAAATGGATACAGATGAAAATGTTCCTGGGATGGGGGAAAGTCGGACATCAAAATCTGAACCAATCCTTGAAGTAGCTAGTAAAGACATTGGCTTGGATTATTTCGATAGAATTGAAAATAGCTTGCGTGAATTGGAGAAGCAGATGTCAAGTTCTAGCAATCCAGAAACATCTGAACAGTTAGCAGATCCAGAAGGTACAATAATCAAAACTGTGAATCTTCCAGTGCAAAATGGATTGGACAAGGCAAAGGAAACAAGCACTACTCAAACCGCTTCAGTTCAAAATGTCTCTAGTTTGGAAAAAGGAAAAGAACAGGAAAATAAAAAAGAAACAATTGGCATAGTAGAAACAATAGCAAAGGAAAAGGATGATATTGTAGTTTCTGGTGGAAATATCGATAAAGATGTTGACTCAAAAATACCAACAAATAACGTTGATAATTTGGAAAAATCGACAAGCGGCAAAGCTGAAAGTGTGGTAAAAGATACTGTAAGATTGCCTACAGCAGATGCGAATGATATGTGGTCAAAGATGGGAATGATGCGATGTGCCAACTGCTCCTTTACAACCGACCAGGAATCTATGTTTAATTCTCACACGGTCATATGCAACAAACGTAAAGTGGTGAAAGGAGAAATTAATTTCAAATACAAGGCAGACCGCTATGGATGTGAAGCATGTCTTTATACAACAAAGAGTGTACGGAACTTTGAGGAACATGTAGCATTCCATTTACTTGCTCAGCCTTATATCTGTTTAAAATGTGTTGCAACATTTGAGAGTAAAGCTTCAATTGAAAATCATGTTAGCACCAAACATTGTGATGAAGATGTAAAATGTGGGTTAAGAGGATCCAAAAAGATTAGTCATATAATTGCAATGCTGCACAAAGAATCTAAGTTCTCATTTCTTGGTAGAATGTTGGACAAGAAGATCTGGAACATGTCTGTGTCCACTTCAGCAAAAGATCAAACACACAGCCATCCAGTACATATTCACAATACTGCTGTTCCAAAGAAAATTGATCGACCATCCATAATCCAGAAAAAAGACTTCATGAAAACCAGCTCTTTAAAGCGAGACCCCCTCGTACTGGAACCATTACAGAAGACAGAGAAAATTGTTTCAGAGAAGGTGCCTGCTGTTAAAGTAGTTAAAATTCCATGTGGTTCTAAGGCAATGCCCACCAAGCCATTAACAGAGAAAATAAATTCCGAAATGGTTTCTGCTTCTAAAGTAGTTACACTTCCATGTGGTCCAAAGACGTCCAAGACATGTACCACCAATTCTTCCCTACCAATATCATCTACTACAAGTTCTGCAGGAGGCATTAATGTTTCTTCATTCATCCTTGTCCCAGTGACTGTGAGTACGAAGCCTCCTGCTCCCGTTGTCCAACCAACGAAACCGTCCGGAATGGTTTCTATATTAGGTACCTACGACCCATCCTTCAGTAGACCCCAACAGCAAATGATTGTCATGAACAACACTAACGTGGTTCGCCCGGTAGCTACCACAAAACAGTTTTTGGTAATGCCACCTGCAAAAAGTGCATCAACCTCTCAGGTGGTTCGTCCTCAAAGTATTGTGATTGAAAATCAAAATCTCCACTCCAATCTAATTCAAGCACAGACAACAGTGCAACCAAAACGGATTTTGCCTTCTCCACAACAACCCATCGTTTCTGGAACAGTTTCCCCCCAGTTGCACTCCTCCACATTGAATTCTTCTTCGACGAACCAATGTATATCCATCCAGTACAATGATTCGGGAAAAGCCAACGGATCACATAGCGAAACCCCTAAACAACAGACGAATATTGATGAAAAAATAGGTAATACTGTAATTGACTTGACGCAAGGGAGTTCACAAACAAGCTGTCGGATTTCTTTTCGCAAGATTGGATCATCTTTTGTGTGCAACTTTTGTAAAATCAGTGTGGAAAAAGAAGATGGTTTTAGTCGACATATCTGGAAACATTTTCACACTCTGCAGCCAATCTGTAAAGAATGTTCCTCTGACAACACTGTTGATGATTTCGGAAAGTGTGCACTGGTCCTTCAAATCCTAAAGGGATTGGCTGCCAGTGATGATAGTGAGAAGGAAAAAGTAAATGTGATTGAAGTCGTTTCTGATGAGGAAGACTCTGGTGAGGGTCAACAAATAACAAATAGCACAGACGGGCATACAAAAGAGACTGTTACGCATGAAAACACTACTACTAATGAGGAAGACAGTGGTATGCAAATAAAAATAGCATCAACATACAGTCTTAGCGATTCATTGAAAACACAATCAGACGATGGTCTAGAGAAGGACTCAGAACCATCTGTTTCATCAGAGGAAGTCATAGAAGAGGGAAATTCACCGCCGACCTCGAAAAAGAAAGACTCTGGAAACATTTTTGAAAAAATACAAGGATCTATGAATACTGTTATTAATGAAACATATAATAGCGGTGCTAACAAAAAAGACGACCTAGCTTCTAACCAGAGAAGTGAAGATATTTCTCATGAAAATTCGAATGAAAATCGCAGAAAACCACCATCGGTTACGCCAAGATCGGGTAGACCAACAGAAGAACAAAGTGCTGAAGACGTTACATTGTCATCAAAAGTGAGTAAAGAAACTACTGTGGCTGAAGACGTTATCAAGGAAAAAGCCCAAGGAGGTGCGCCGAAATTTTCTTGTAATGGAAGTTTCTATGTATGTGGCTTTAGTAATTGCCGCTTTGCTTGTATTACATCTGGTGAATACAGGGAACATTTAATGTGTTGGCACTCTGATGCTGAAGAATATAAATGTGCACATTGCGGACATCGAAGTCTAACGGAAGATTGTCATTTGCGGCATATGCTTACTCACTCCAAAGCATCTTCATTTATTCTGTACACTTGCAGTTATCCAGCTTGCCTGTATGGGACCAATGTAGTGGATTTGTTTCGGGATCACTGGAAAAAGTTTCACCCAAATACAAAGCAGTATAAATGCCGATCATGTAAAATGCTGTTTCCTTCTGCTGAAGACCTCATCGCTCACATACAAGCAAACATACTGAAATTCGTCACTTGTCCTCATTGTACAGCAAAAGACAGTAACAGGAAGACTATAATTGCACATATCATTGAAGCACACCCAGGGAAACCTCGACAAATTACTGTTGCAAGTCAACTTGTTTGTCAAGAGAGAGACAATAACGAATTTGCAGTGCCTGTTCCAGGGATTCCGGATAAACCAGCAGAGGTTCAACCATGGCCATCTGTGTACATGGACACTGCAAATGATGATGAAGATGCATATGTTGATTCTCCAGAACAAAATAACTCGTGTGATGAAACAGAGGCAGATGATGAACAACCCGATCACATTGCTCAACAGACGGAATTGTCCAAAGCCAAAGGTTCTCTCACGAAAATTGCTGCTGAAGGTGACATGCGGGATGCTGTGAAAGTAATGGCACTGAACAAATCAAAGTTGAAATCATTAAGTGCTGAGATAATTCGTTGTTCGGAGTGCTCCTATCTCGCGTCTGGAAGAGGACTATTACGAAAGCATTTGTATCTACATAAAAGGGGCAAAGATGAACGTAAACGGCGTTTCTCTTGTCCCTGCTGTCCTGCTGCCATGGACAAACTTAGCAAGCTCTCATGTCACATGAACTTACACGAGGGACAGCATAAGGTGAAGGTTTACTTCTGCACCTTATGCTGTTTCAAAACAAATGTCACAGAATTTCTGAGTACACACATGAACAAATCACACAACTGTGAGATATCCAAGGGAGTTAACTTCATTACTAAAGTTTTGAAAGTGTCAGTCTCAGCTTTCTTCTGCGATAAATGTTTATTTGGAACTCGGGATCAAGAAGTATTCAGACAACACGAGCTTGGACACAATGACGATGAAGACAATGTGATATCAGGAGCAATCAGTGAGGGGCCATCATATCATTTACAATCTACTTCAAATTCCGTGCCGAAACCGCCAACAAAGAAATCACCAGCTGCTAGAAATACATATAGTGACCCAGTTAATGAGGAAGACTTGGCTTCAGTAAATCCCGGTTCGAGAAAGAGATTTTGCTGTAAGCTTTGTGGGAAATATTGTTCACGTCTACCTGCACTTAAAGCGCATATGTCATCGCACGTACTTGATGAGGATTTAGAGGTCATGGTATTCAAATGCCATTATTGTGCATATTCATCGTCATACAAAGCTTTTGTAAGCAGGCATTGTGAAGATAAGCATCCCGGCAAAATTATCCGCGTGAAACGTAGATTAGACGTCATATCCGCTGTAGGCGAATACTTTCCACCACATGGAAAGGAATGGCCAGACTCTCCGGACGAAATAGACGATCCTGAAGATATCGACGTTTCTGACATGTCCATTTATTCCCATCATTGTGATATTTGTTCATACAGTTGTGGTGATTCTGCCGAGTTACTTCGTCACAAGAACTCTCAACATTCTAGCCAGGGAACCCTAAAAACTTTTGTTGTTCCAAGTGGAAACGTCTTCAGATCGCCAGTAGAATGTACAGAGTGCTCTTTTAATACTACAAGGAGAATAGAATTACTTAAACACTTGAGGACCCATCCTAATTTGTGTCCCACATATGAGGCATTCCGAAAGTCGCCACCCAGGGACCAAAGAGAATTGCTGAAGGTTGCTATTGGCAAGAAAACCACCACATCATATTTTCATGAAGCATATTCAAGCTCACCATCACCAGACACAGATAATGGACACACATCTAGTCTTCAAATGGAGGACAAAAAGCCTATATTAGCAGAGGATGGCAGCCTTATTCAAGATGATGTGCAGAGACCTGTAGCGAAAACACCATTATATTTCCTTGGGGGTGATCTACTTCATTTGAAGTTGAGACCGTGCTTCATTCAAGAGGAGTCCAATTCTGAATTCACTTGTAAACTTTGTCAAGACACATTTTCTGGTCGATATGTCCTGCACAAGCATATACTTCAACACATGGATGTTTCGTTTTACAAATGCGCATACTGTAGTCATGGTACCCTGGAATCCCCATCGATGGTTGTGCACATACAAAAGATTCATAGGAAACCTATACAACATGTGCAGATGGATGTTACGGATCTAGAAAGTAAAATTAACAAGGCAATTCACAGCATTAAGGAGGAAGAGTACTTCATAAAAATGCAAGATAGCGATAGTGTGAACTCCCAAACTGACGGAAAAGACGTCGATAGTGGAGATGACTTGCAGTCCTCTGAAAACCAGTTCCGTTCACCATTTAAGGCAAAGGTACCTCCTTTAACTATCAAAACATCGCCATCATATGATATTGTAAGAAAGAAATCAGCTTCGACAGCCAAAAAGTCAACAACAAGCAAACCAAAGACTGGTAATATTAATAAACCATTGCAGAAGTCACCCGTGTACAAACCACCAGTAGAAGACAATCCAAACATACAGAGAATGGGGGATATTTATAAGTGCAAAATATGTAGTTATACTAGTACATCACGGGCTACGGTGTTTAATCACTTAACAATTCATTCAGGGTTCCGAAGGTTTGGATGTCCTTTTTGTCCTTACCGCTCACACTGGAGGCACGATTGTTTAAAACATATCCGAACGCATCATCCTGGGAAACAAGGTCAGCCAACCGCGGAAGACCCTCCTGAGGATTTTGATAATAACTTAACCCTCAAACCGGATAAAAGTTCAGGGAGCCAGTCAGTACCGAAAGTACCAAAGTTGCTGCCTCAGCCAAAACAGTCTTCTGTAACACCTGAAAGTCAAGAAAGTCAACCATCAGCTGAGAGAGAAGCGGAAACGGACGCTACCAGTACTCCCGAGTATAGACACGTCTTTAAATGTCTTGTCTGCGATACAAAATTCAAAAGCATATGGTCTATACAAAAACATTTTTCAAAGACATGTTCTCAACCGATGTTAGGTTGCTCCACATGTAAATTTAAAGATCTGGAGCCAGGCAATGTAAAGATTCACATTGAAACAAAACATCCAGGTTGTGGATCTTCAAGGATTGTTACTTTGAAAAGGGAAGCCAAAATGAGGAAGTATACTATTCCTACATTTAAGAAACAGGACTCTAAAGAAAGTGTTGAAAGTGCATGTGAGGATAGTGTAAAATCAGAAGGCACAGATAACCAGCAAGCTGCTCCACGCCCAATCAGTCCAACATCTACCGACCAAAGTCGGTATTCACAGCTGACGTTACCAACATCAAGTAGCACCAACCTGTCGATTTTGATAAAGCGAATAGGAAACCGTTACATGTGCAAGGAATGTGGATTCAGTAATCCAATTAAGCGTGCTCTAATGCGGCATGTTAAGAAACACAGTAATGCTCGCCCATTTGGTTGTTCTTATTGCGATTATCGTTCAAACAACGAATGCAACACGAAAAGACATATGCGTAGAAGACATGGTGGGAAGCTAGTCATTGTTAAAAGACTAGATCCCTCCCAATGGTACTCGCCGATTTCAAATGACCTGAAATATAACCGGAAAACTTTCGCTGCACAGGCAACACAACTGGTAAAAACACCCAGCCCTTCTGTTGATGGAGAAGAGAATGTTTCTGAAGAGGATGAAAATTCTGAAAATTCTTCGAATATGAAGGCACGCGTGGAAATTAGATACTTCTGGAAATGTCTGGAATGTGGAAACAAAAGTAATTCTGTTTCTAATGCGTATAGACACCTGAAAAAGGGAACTTGTACGAAAACTCTTTATGGATGTTCTGGATGTAAATTGAAAAATACTGACAGAAAAGCAGTTGAATTTCACCTTACTGAAAAACATCTTAATAAAAATGTTCAAATTACAATTTGCCCAAACACAGCCAAGATCCGAAAGTACCATATTCCAATCAAAGTGGGAGGCTTTGTCAAAAAGCCAGAGGAGAGTATTTCAATGCTTGATGAAGGTAGTAATAACACGACTAGTGTTGCCAGCATTGCTCCTACTGTTTCTAAAGAGTCTAAAGAGAATGAAGAGCTTCCTAGACAGAGTGGCGAAAAGTCTCAAGTGGTGTTTTGTTCAGTTTGTAATTTGAAAGCTTCCAATGCAAGAATATTTCAAAGTCATATGGAATCAGAGCATACAGGAATGCTCATGGTTTGCAAACACTGCACCATCTTCAGAACCTTATTTGTATCGAAAATACAGCAACATACATGGGATAGCCATCCAGACATGCCATTGAAGTTTTACTTAAGAACGAAGAAAGGCATACCAGATGAAGAGAAGAGACCATCAGAAAGATACACATGTGCTAAATGTGACTATATAGGCAAGCGGTCGTCTGTTCGACAACATCTGTACTGTCATTTTGAGTACAAGCCCTACAAATGTGGCTACTGTGGATACCAAACTAAGAAAAACGACGGAGTTAGGCGTCATATTGAGAAACAGCATATCGGAAAACCAATGAAGATTTTATTTAAGAGAAATGCTGCCCAGGAACAGGAGATTGAGATGTTACTGGATTCAAATTCACCTGTAAAACTCTCGTACCAAAAGTCTCATGCGGCCAGATTGGCAAAAGAAAGTTTATCACCTATAAAGCCAAGCCCGACGTCAGTAATAAAAAAGAATTTCCCAACTTTAGCGAACATGAGAAATGACCTTACACAGGATTACATACCGAGCAAGATGTACAAACCTTTCTTCAACACCAAAGCTGGGAAGCCCGGATTCTCTTGTCTGCTTTGTCCTTACAATACTTTCATGCAGAATACGATGATTTCACATGTATATCATCACATGGAATCTATCTATAGATGCCCTTACTGCTCCACCCATGGCTATCCAAGGTAAATTATCATTGAAGACAATATACATTTCCATATTAGATGTGATGTAATTGCGATAAAGGTTAGAGAAAACAGTATTCATATGTATATTCAGAGGTTTTATAGCTTAAACGTTTTGAACAAGTGAACTTATTTAAGTCCATGAGGGGTATACAATTTCACTAATACTGTCTATGTCATCAGTAGTTTCAATTCCGCTGATGATTACTTTCACTGAGAAGATTACATATACTAACTGTTGTATCAGACATGGGTAATTGCTCCTACTTATGTATGTTATTACAGGAGTAGAGTGACGACACACATCAGAAAACATCATCCAGGCAAACCTGTGTACGTGATTGACGAGAGACAAAACAACGGAGAGTCCAGTAATGCGATAGTCGCATCCACAGTGACTTCAGCAGATTCGTCAGAACCACCAGAAAAACGTATGAAGATTGATAATTCGAGTGACGGCGATATTGAGGACGAGTCATATGCAGAAAGCACTACAGGTATGTGGTAGGTTTTTTCTTAGGTTATTCAGGCTGTAACTTTATCTTAAAAAAAAACGTTGATGGTTTATACAATCCAGATTATGTAACTTTGGATTGGAAATGGTTGAACGTAGGATTGGTTGCGTAGGTCGGAAAAGAGGTTCGACGACGAAATATTCAGCATGTACAGTAAATACACATTAATTGGTCAGTCGATACTAACGTATTTCCGATTGTTTTAGGAAAATCTGTATGAAACAACATTTTATACGGTCTTTCGAAAAAAAGTATGGTATCCGGCACGACTGAATATTGTGTGCATTCCAAAAAAGTGGTTTTGCGCCTTTATCCTTTGTGTTTCAACATCCGGTATCGGTACATCATTTCAAATCGAGTAATTCCGTGCCACTCTAGCCGTTTCAACCTGGTTACACGAAAGCAGTTTTTTATCAGTTGTGTATGTTGTCACTAATGACACCGTCCTTTTTTCACTGACACGTCTTTGAGTTTCATTCGTGTAGAAAAAAACAATAATATCAATTTTATTCAGCGTTTTTATTTTTCTTTCATCAGCGGTTGACAGGATTGCACATGACTGTCTTGTCATCTTGTATTTCAAACTGGCGCTTAATAGTTCACATATACTGATAATTTCAAAATGTTAAAAAAACAGTTTACTTAGTTGTTGGCTTACATAGATGTCTTTATTTCTGCCATTAATGTAATATTTATTCGAATATAGGTAGGGTTTTTAATATAAACATATACTACATTTTCATATGAAATAATTTCGAAAATTTATTTAAGAATTGTAGGAGTAGTGCACTTCTCAATCTGGATTTTGGCAGTTTTTGCGATCAATTTGTATTTTCCTTAGTCGTAAGTTTTAAGATTTAGGCCCTTAATATAACTACCGAGCCCTAAAAGTACGAAACAGAAGTAAGACACAGTTTGATTCATTATTGGCTCTGCCTTATCAGAATTCAAAATTTGTATTGAAAGGTGCTTTTCACTTGTGGATCCTTTGTACAAAATCTTGAGAAAAGTTGTAAAGTTGAGAAAACATTAATGTTTTGACTGTAATATATATGAAATATTTAAATCAAAACCTGAAAGAAAATGACATTTGTCACTAAGACACAAAAAAGGCGACACTATTTTGGCGACGACGATAATTCTGTATACTTTTTAAAATCTTTTTGCTTGTTTTACAGGTAGCATTAAGGAGGAGACGGGGATTATCCAGTATTCTTGTCACCTATGCAGCTACTCCAGTCAGAGCCTGTACCACTACCGTCAACATCTGGCTGTCCACGGAGGCTTCAAATGGTTGACAGCCGGAACGCAACTGGAGTCTCGTTTAAAGTGCGGGTATTGTTCATACCTTGCATCTGGAGACAAGGACTTTAATTCACATATGGAAAAACATCTTGCCACAAGACCTTTTAGCTGCCCTTATTGTGACTTCTCACAATATACACAAGGGAAGGTGAAAACTCACGTAGCGTATGCTCATCCTGATAAACCCCTTGAAGTATCAAGAGAATCTGGTAGTAGCTGTTTAATTGACGACACCCTGCAATTAGACTCTGTCACACTCGTACGTCTTGATCCGACGATAAAGCTTGTTGACATATTGTCACTACAGGCATCAGACTATGAAAAACTCTTGCTTGACGCTAATATATCTGTTGTTGACTTTGATAACCTTTCAGACGATCGGTTTTCTGCTGTTGCAAGTAATCTCGGTATTACTTTGGAAAACGAGTATGAAGTGAAGACAGAAACTGGAGATTACAACTGTGGGGATAGTGGAGAACAGTATGAGGACTTTGTCGTAAAGTCCGAAAAACTGGATGAAAATGTTAAAAATCTGGCAGAAACAACTGGTGAGGAAATGGATATAAGTACTATGGTGACCTCTGCAGGCAGTAACAAAGACAGTTCAAGTGGTATTGACGAAGCTGATCAGGAAATAAACTACCGGATTATACCTGAAAGCAATGAAAATATTTACCAGGAAAAAACGGAATTTACTCAAAAGAATTCTACAAATGATTTTAGCGATGTAAGTGATGCCCCATTATCACAGGATGATGACTCGGAAGACATTGATACTGCCGACGAGAGTTTAGTGGAAATGGAATTTGAAAGTGTGAGTCAAGAGTCTGTAGGTGGTAAATCCTTGCCAGAATTATCGGTGAATGAAAACACCATTCACGAGTCGTCGATCGACGCAGAGGAGGAAGCTACTGTACAATATGAGTCAATAATGGAGGAAGACGACTTGAATGAACAACAGATCGACAAAGCTGATGGAGTGGATACATTAGTTAATGAAGCGGGGGAGCCAAATGACCTTGATACTTCACGGAGTTCCAACTGTGAACCAGTTTGGGAATCACAAGGATTCCATGTGATTGATGAAGTTTGAAACAAAGGGAATCAATGAACACTCAATGTTCAATATTATATTATGTGTTCAATAGTGTAAATATAAGGGCATTATTTTGGAAAGACTGTTCAGTCTCCAAATATGAGGAAGTGAGCGAATGACTTGTTCATGATTTACAAGGTCATGAGTCCAAAGAACTTTCAGTAGATCCATGCTCCACACTGTAGTTATAATGTGTACATGTTCAAACGTAGCAAACTTTTAAGCGCCATTCAGAAGAAGAAATGATTACCACGTTGTCTTACCCACTTAAAGGTAATGAGAGACTGACTTCACTCAGATCCCTATAAAATTGCAATATGATTGGTGTTTTCCTCGGGACTAGTTCCTATGCTAGAGTTTCGAAAAATTCTCTTTGACCACTCGCAGCTGTCTCCAAATGAACATTGACATGGAGCGATGTTTATAACGTTAGTTTCGGAAGGAAACCGTCTGCTTAAACCTGTTATCATTTTAATCAAAGAAGTTATAGTCGTGCCGCATTGTGTTCCTACAGACAAAAACTGATCATCGTGTTTTACTCCACATGTAAATTCTAAAGATGGTTGGATGCTATGAATTATACATTTGATGATTTAAAAGTGATTGTTTATAAATATGTATGAAACTGCATGTAAAACCGTCATAATTCTACTGCTGGTGGTTGTTGATAACCTATATACATATATCATATGTCCTTGGATCTTCGCATTTGAAACCATATATGAATCTTGATATCTACAGTGCTTGTTCATGTTAGTTATGTTAGATGTGCGAGTAAAATATTCGTAGCAAATGTATTGGAGATGTATATTTCTTCATGTGGATTGATGTGTCTTTAAATGAAATTATTTTTATGTTTATCACGATCAATGCCTACACCATCACAACGGTGTACATTTGTAACAATTGTAATATTATTCCATACGTAGTATACCAATGGTCTATGGCGGGTATTAGCACAGGCTTTCATTAGCACGCTCATGAATGTTCCTTATGGGAAATCGGTATACTTCATTCTTGCTTAGTGTGATAAAAATAAGATAGATGGAAGCGTGTGTATCTGTCACAGTACATCACATTAGCATTTGATTCCTTATGTCCAAATAGTAGTGTCACATATATGTCGCACTCTTTTGACCAATGTGTTAAGAGAAATGATTTAAAAAAGTCGTGAGTAATATGTACAGTCCAAATCAATGTGCATTTATTTTCTATATTTGCATTCGAAACCCGAAATGGTGCTTTATATCATTTACGTTTTTGGCAAAACTACGATGTTCCTCTGTGATAGTAACCTTAGAAATGTTCAAAGCATTTTATGTTTTTGCCATAGATTTTGTTTACCAAATGTTTCATTTTTAGAATCTCGATAACAAATCGTCAAAATGTTTCTTTATTTCCTCCATTACTTTTTCATTCGTTCTGACAGCAAGAACTGTTCGGGCATTTTGAGTCATTTTCATTTTGCATTATACCAAAACCGATCGTTATATCAATTAAATTAATGGTGCTAGTTTCATCCAATGAAATAAGTTTTTTTTTCAGAAGATTCTCTTTTGATCGTATTAAGTACGTTATAATTGAATGTCTCAGACTTTATGTGTATTTGCCTTCTTTGTCATTACTAAGAAAATTGCTGAAAGTATTTCTTATATATGATATTTTTTTTCCTTTCTTGCAAAATTGTACCACTCTAAAACTAGATTAAAAATAACTTCAAATTCAAGCTTTTATCGCCCTGTCACTACGTACAAGGCGCATCATTTCGCCCCTTCTGATGAAAGGACTATTCCATGTACTCAAGTCATAATTTGTGTGTAATAATCCACTAATAATTCTAATGATGGTTAAATAGCGAATTCTGGCGACAAATTCGAATTCACGGATGAAGCGTTGGGAAGGGGGAAATAAGATAATTAAACAGATTAAATGAAATTTTGAATTGATGAATACTTTGAAAAAGGTGCACAGGTAACACAAAACTTTCAAAGGGAATTTACCTTTTAATGTACTTCCATATGTGAATGCAAATGTGTTGATTACACGTTCGTAGAAGACATGAGGTAGAGGCATGCTTTTTCAATTTAACATTTTTTTTAGATCACATTGATTATTTTCTTCTGACCGATTCCCACGCGTATATGGTAAAAGTATGCATGCAATTTGTTATTATATTGTCTTTAATTTGAGTGCATGTGTGAGCATGACCTTTTGAAACCGTTTAAAATCATTGACACAATTATTTTGTTATTGAATCAAAATTGCAGTATTTTCTTTTGAAAAAATGTTATTAAAATGTTAATGTTAAATACATGTGTATTTTGGCGTTTTTCTTTACAAATAAGTTTGCATGTATTGATGTTATGTATTTAAATTACAAGAGGAAGAATACTACGTCAGAATCATTATCATTATTGGATTATTTGGATTATTAACTCTAGGTCATGACAAGAAGACACCAGCAATACAGACACAGCAATAACGCAGATGCCAGGCATCAGAAAGTAAAAAAGTTAAATTACGCGTCGAACCGAATTAATTTCGTGTATTTCTTATTCAAATCATATGAATGTAATACTGTAAGGTTATTTAATTTGGCGGGGATAATATCTCATGGTTGTCCCGGTTTTGACTAGTTCACAGGTATTAAACTCTGCATATGATTTGGAGTCCATGTATACTAGTATACCAACATTAACATTCTAGGCAGATTTGTTCAGTGGGTATTTGCTTTTGCGCTGTATGTATTGACCGTTAATATAGAGATATTAAATCATATGAATATTACCAACTTTACAATACAGTCAGTGTCTTAATGACGTCTTGGTAGGTATATAACAAATGACCTATTTGGCTTACATGGTCATGAACCCCCGTTCAGTAACGATAAGGAAATAAGGCCTCTTAATTATTTTGATATTTGACCGTGCTGAAGTATCCTAATTGGGATACTTAACATATCGTCGGAACTTGCACCACTCATCGTTATGACATAGATGTAATCGGATACATGACGTGAAAAGACTGAAAAATTCCAAGAGCTGTGATTAGGTTGTTTCTGTAGAAGGCACATGTTACCTTTATCATCGATTAATTATAGTTTATTAAAGCAATACTTCAGCGTTTTTTTATCTCCCACCCAACAAAGTTGGCGGTGGATATTCAAATGTGTTCCGTCCGTCCTCTCGTACGTCCGGATGCTGCTTTCCGCATATCTTTTGAAGGATTGAAACTTGTTTTGTACACTTGTTGAATAAATTGCCATTTGTTCGGTTAACGGCAAATTCAGCGTATATTTAATGAGGCTGATGTGACCTGATTGGCTGATTTCTTTAATCGTTCTCGAATGCTGCTTTCTGCACGATACGTTTTGAAAGGATTGGTCAGATTTCGATGAAACTTTCCTGGTACACATGTTACCTTAATCCCTTGCCAAAGTTCGATAAACGACGAATTCCGCAGATATTAATTGAGGCTGTTGTGAACTAATTTACTGATTTCTTTAATCAATCGATGGGAAAACTGCACAATTTATGATGAAGGAATGATAAGATTTTTTAGAAACTTGGTATGTAGACTTAATACCTTAATTCCTTGTTCAGATTCGATTATCGGCAAATTCTATGCATATTTTATGAGACTGCAGTGACTTAATTGGCTGATATATTTAGGCACTCTTACTGAATGCTTTCCGCACGTTATATTTTGAAGGAACAAATTAAATATTATGAGACTTGCTTGGTAGACTTGTTACCTTAACCCCTTGTTCAAGGTTGATTATTGGCAATTTTTTGTGCATATTTTATGAGGCTGCTTTGACCTGATTGGCCAAAGTATTTCAACACCCATAGTGAATGATTTACGCATGTTAACTTTTGAAGGAAGAAATGAATTTTGATGAGACTTGCATGGAAAATTTATATCATAATCTCCTCACTCATGTTGCACACTCACCGGTTATAGTTTGTATTACTGGTAATAGCTTTCTTGCAATTTTATATATCTGACTATCAGATGCTGTATTGTAGTTTATAAATTTGAATAAACTATCTCACTTTTTGTCATACTTGAGCGATAGGTGAAATATTGATTAATCCAGCAGCACTCAAATTAAGTGACAAATATTCTATCATTACCGTCGGATAAAACATTCACAGTATTATGCTACTAAATTCCTATTCTATTTATCACTATCAACGGAACTTTAAACCGAACGTAAACTATGAAATGGCTTCAATATCTTAATTTTTCATGTTGCTCACTTTAAATGTATATATTTTACAAATGAATGGGCAGGGGATCTTGATGAATATGTCCTTGTTTATACTTGTGATGATATGATGGTTTTGCCAGGACAGAAAAGTTGACGAACGAGACGGTATCTCATGGCCATCAAGCTACTATACATGGGTATTTCTGTGTATCTAAATACTTTTAGAAAAGGGCATTTTTCATTCCTATTTCATATAATACGTTCCACACAGGTTTTTAATCATACATGTGAATGTGTGATAATGTCGCAAGCGTCTTGTTTTAAGCGACGACCTTCTCTAAGCTACCTGTTAACGTTGACCATTTTCATTAAGATCGGTATTAGGCATTCCGTTCCTTTCTTGTACAAAGGACAGTTTCTTAAGGCTTCCCATTTTAGTTTACATAAATTAGACAAGACCGCTTCTGAACTTCCCGTTGGTGCATAACTATAATATCTGAGAGACCCAGTGTTAAGAGATGGAGGCACCAGGCACGACACTTTCGACTGTAGTCACGCCGACTGTATCTCATCGCCTGTTACAAGAGACTCCTTACTTGTATAGCAGGTCTCTTTCTTGTCTTGGTGGTTTGGCTCGGTAGTTTTCTCCAATTTCCTGTGTAAGGTAAACGCAGAGATCAACAATAAGAACAGTTGTATCTCACGTCACCAGCAATATCTGGATTTCCCGTCTACTTGTCTTTCGAGGGACGTCTCCTTCTCCATGGTGCAAAAATATATTTATCATAGCAAGATGAGATTTATGTGTAACCATCATGTGGTAAAATCACTTGGTAGTTATTTAAATTATTATTACATTAGATGGATCGGAGGTATATGTATCAAATGTCAAGAGAATTATAAAGGCTTATTTGTAGTCAATACAACAAGGCAATGCAAAAACAGTGTTAGTGCGAAAGTAAATATGATAGAAAAAGAGGAACCTGGGAAGGATGTACACGGAAGACGTACTGTACTAGATACATGGGAGACATACAGTACATAAATATGTAATATATGACCATGCAAAATATTACGTCTATCAATAATTTAATAGTTATGCTTTCAAAATATAACAATACAAACATTACGCTGAAATTCTTTCAGTAGCATGCACTACCTAAAATTATTGTTATTTTGACGTTTCATTTCTCGCCTTCCGATTGAGACCATTTATCAGGTGTTCTGAAGCCGCCATTTAGAAGCTGTTTCGTTGTTTCAGGAATATCTATGTAATGGAATACAGATACCTTCATGTATATAGGATTAAATGTTTAATACGTAATACGCGTACTAACCAAATAGCATGGATATCAATGCTCATACAAGTAGGAGCCCAAGTCGTTACATGCATAATCACCACTGTTCATCAAAAAGGGGAAAATCTATATCGACATTAAAGTATATAAATACATTAATGACTTGTATAAAACAAAATCAAGGGCCATATTTTAAATGTGTGAATACTGCAATTTAGTATAGATAGTACACGTCAAATAAATCCATTGAAACGTTGCATAATCGCATAAACAGTGAAACATCACGGTTTGTATAATTCCGTGATGAACGGGCACCGTTTGTGATCAAAACTTGTAATCCCCAAACCAAGACAGGAAGGGATAAGTACGCTAACAGTGATGGCCTGGCTTGTTTTATACTGATCCGATCTGCATCATACTACCACAGCCCCAGCTACTCGCAGCTATCTCACGCCTCGACAGTCAGCAGCGAACGCCGAGTTGATTCGCGGCATTCTCCCTAGGGCAGAAGTGGTTAATAATCTTGGCAAGGATTCACATCTGCCGTACAGCAGAAACGTCAGAAGGATGACACGTGTTATATCGATGGTAGTGCTATCTCAGACAGAGGCCTGACCAAGATTTCAACGCGGAGGCAAAATAGATTACAAAAAAGCTAATTTTGTAGTTGTATCAGATACAGTAGATTTAAGCTGTGTTGTAGGACTCGTTAGTGATGCTAAGGACCTAAATGTTGAACCATATAGGCACAGACAGTAGAACCTGTCTACTTTGACGTTATGTAAAATCCATCGCAATGGTTTGGTTAGGTACGGTGTCGGCATAAACAGCTTTGTTTGGTGGTTCGGTTTGGTCAAAGTATTAGACAATAGTCGCCTAAGACAGTTTGTTGAAACACATGCAGGTGATATTAGCCAAAAAATATTCAGGAGTCGGGTGAGTAAGGTTTGTAAAAATCCTTCCTGAATGGTAAAATAATATTCAACATAATATTCTCTGAAATTTTATGGTTGTCCTAATGTAATTCCACACCCAAGGCCCCTAACATCACTGCAATCAATTTATATATATATGTACTTCCAAAGAGTATCTGATTTCAATCAATGACCAATAATCCAGCAACGAAGTTACTATCAGTGGTTAATCCATCTACCAAATAACAAGCATCCAATGATACATTTTCCGAGCAACAACCAACCAATAATCGAGTAACCAAGCAACAATCAACCAATAATCGAGTAACCAAGCAACAATCAACCAATAATCGAGTAACCAAGCAACAATCAACCAATAATCGAGTAACCAAGCAACAATCAACCAATAACCCAGTAGCCAAGGAACAATCAACCAATAATCCAGTAGCCAAGCAACAATCAATCAATAATCCAGTAACCAAGCAACAATCAACCTATAATCCAGTATCCAAGCAACAATCAACCAATAATCCAGTAACCAAGCCACGATCAGCAAATAATCCAGTTACCAAGCAACAACAACCAAAACTCAATCTACCAAGGAACAATCTACCAATAACCCAGTTACCAAGCAACAACCAACCAGTTATTCAGTAACCAAGCAACAATCAACCAATATTCATCTACCAAGCAACAACCAACCTATAAATCATCAGTCAGCAAATAATCAAGTTACCAAGCAACCAATAAACAACCAACGAACAAAAACAACAATTTAGCCAATTAACGACAACCACTCACTGCAACCAATAATCCAGCAACCAAGCGACAATCAGTCAATTATCGACAACCAATCAACCTATAAACCAAAACAATAAACGACAATCACTCATTGCAAACAATAATTCATTAACTTAGCAATAATCAGCCAATAATCTAAGAATAGGTTATCAACACCAGCACGCACTCATTTTATAACACCAATGTATGGAACGATATGTGTTTTCGTGTATTTATCACAATTCTAACTTGTTTATTAAATGGTTTTCAGTGAATCGTTGATTTTATAAATACTAAACATTAAAAATAAAACACACTTGAGATATCAGCAATATAATCTGTAATCAATAACTCAACGATAACAACACCACACCATTTTCCCAGTTATACAGTGTATATACGATATCATTGTCAACATTTTGTCTCTTAATTGTTTGATAAAACTATATATTATTCTTATTAAGTGTACATTAGTAACAATATTGATACAATTTCTATCATAGATTTCAGTATATTTTGTTCAGAATAATGTTTAGCCGTTAAGGAATGGACACATATCCAGTAAAACTGTGGAGTAGCCCAGATAACGTGTACTTCCTTAGCTGCTTGACAGTCAAGTTTAATTCAGGCATAGTAATTGCATATACAAGTACTGTTCTTAAAGCAGTCTTTAACCAACGTCAATTAGAAAGTAAATTTAATGGAAGGCCTATGTGGTTAGTTGCTGTCCTTACTTTCGTAATTCTGACGTCAAAAAGAAAACAGGTTTACACATAATTAACACAAAAGTTTATCGAACAATAACTTCATAAGTGTAAATCTTAACACGTTAACAAAAGGAGTTCACGTTACAGAATACATTCACACAAAAATGAATGGTTGAACATACAGCTGGCAACACTTACAACCATATGCAATGTTTTACACAGGAAATCATCTATGCTTAACCAAATCAACATTCGTACTGCTTGAAAAACGTGTTTCTTTAAATATTAATGTTAAATCGTCACGTCATCAGAAGATATTGAAAAGCCGACGTAAATCATAGAGTATATTATGACGTCATCATTATACATAAAGCAATAATAGATTGCCTAATTATTATAATTTTTTTTAAAATTTTCTTTAAATTTCTCACAATCTATTTAATATTTAGTTTTCTTTGTACACTGGTTAGTATGATATTGCGGTTTGAACCCGCTAGAGTTCACATATTTAACTATATAGACTAGTTGCTTTAAACATTGCATGTTCATTGCTTGGTGACAATTTTGAAGGCTTGTTGAGTCTACTTCTCGATCAGATCGTCAGGTGATTTTTTGCTCCACTCTGTGAATCCTCCCTATAAATAAACATAGCATTTTAATTAAAACTTGTGCTGCACAGAAGAATGAATCATCAATTTATAAATATCACAAACTATCTGTTCCAATGCAGGAAAATGATTATCTTTACAATACTTGTTTACCTGAGTCAGTTAACTGTCGGGATTTGGGCGTTACGTAGTCCAGAGAATGAAATAAGCTATTTGTTCCAATGCTGGAAAATGAAGATCTTTACCAAACTGTCCAGATGTTGGCGTTATGGAGTCCAGAGAATGACTCGTCAGATCGTTTTATAATAGTACATTAGTGAGATATGATGCTGTCTATCGATACCGCCGCTCTGGTTACTCTAAACTTTTATTAAAGTTCCCCCTGTCCAATGTTGCCAACCCTAATATAATTCGTCACACATAAGAATCGTGTAACGACTTGTTCTCAAATTTGAAATTTAAATTTAAGGTTTTTCTCAAATTTAGTTACTTAATTTAAGGTATGTGAGGTAGTTCTTGAGAGCATGCTTAGCAGCACATGTACTTATGGTTCCTACTTCTGCTTCATTGAAGAAATCGGGTGATCATAATAAAAATGCTTTCTCTTTACGAAATATCTCAACATTCAAGATGAAACATGTTTTTTCTTGACAATTTGTATAATTTGTATGCATATAATAGTTGTACTGAAGATTCAATGAATTACAACAGATATGATAAATTAAAATATAAGGTACCTAAGTTCTAGGAGACGAGTGGAATAAACCATACATATCACTTCAATATTGATGACACTAAATACGATAGAAAAAAGATCAATATAGTTGATATGACCACGTTTGAATCTAGTTCTTAATGTTTTATTATACATTTTTTACGAACGATGCATGGTGTATAGATAAGTAACGCTGTCTGAAGGTAGCTCGGTGAAGTGTACACGGATTTTTTGGCGACTGATAAGTTCACAACCTTATTCTGCGTTAACCAAGGAACGTATGATGTTATCCTGCTTGTTACTTTCCGTATCCATGGACCAGACCAAGTGTATACAAATTTTGTAACGACTGATATATTCACCCCTTACTCTTCGTTGCCAAGGAAACTAATGTGCTTGGATCACCTGACAGATAAAACATGTGGTATCCCTGGTACAAGTCAATGATTCGGCTCACATTTTCCCTGTGTCGTCTGCTGCATGTATGTTAGCAGATAGCAATGAAAAGGGAAAACAGTACGGTTCCGACAAATTATAGATGTTTAGTATAACTGTATAATACTTGTCGTGGCAACGCCCAAAATTTTTGCCCCGTAATCATTGACCACATCTGTACAATCTATTCATTGCACATGTCTGTGTCATATTGGTTGCATTTCATTGTGACGTGAATGAGAGAAATCTCCCCTGGTTACTAATTCTTCGGCTACACAGGCAGTATAATGCGAAAATTTTCCCATCCATATAGTCAAATGTGTGTGCAGTAATCCGGTCGATTCGCATATTCTAGCCGTCATGAACGTCGATGGCTTGGTGAAAGCTGACAGCAAGTTGCAAGCCAGATGGACGATACGCGGTAGTGATGACTGAGTGTATTGACTAACAGATCCATTTACGTAGGTCATTACAAGTGCCAAAATCGTACTTGTAGCAGCAAAGGCATAACCATTAGCATTAAAAGAATCACCATGGGGTCCATTCACATGAAAACATGTCACCTTGGCAAACACTTACGTGACGATGAATCAAGATAATTTGCTATCCAGAAGGCCAAAATATCAATAATATTTAGTCTTGGGTGATACTTAAGCGGAGATGACGAAGTAACTGATAGTTAAACTGAAACATCGCGAATGACCTAACCACATGATGATATGCAATTTTCGTAGTTCAATGGTAATTAAGACACGAAGAACATCATATGAAACACGGTTAAGTATATATCAACCTATTGTTAACATTTACAGGACAAAAAAGAACCTCTGATGGTTACGATGAAACATGACAAAGACCAAAGGTCACGAGATACCCTCGCCGTGGCGAAGACTTAGGCCATATATAGAGATAAGTCATTGCTTCGCCATAAGGACGAAATTATACGTGTAAATCTCGTGTAAGTGAATAGCAACAAATTATTACATCGTTTGAGATTTACGGAGGTCATTGCTATTGCTACATTTGCAGGCCGAAATACCCGAGTAATTATCACATATGTAGATACTTACATGGTATACAGAAACATTGTCGTTGCCACACAAAGCTGCTGTGAAGGCCAAAGTACACGATGACATGCCACTGTTGCAGTAACAGACCATGGGTTTAGATAGATCGATTCCAGCAGTGGTAAATTCTACAATTAATACATTGTCATATGTTATGGGAACTTTAATTATAAGAAATATGAATTTGTTCTTACACGCCGATGCGATGAAATTCATTCCACATTTCAAATTGTTATAAATTTCAATCTATCAATTCATAACATTCAAACTGAAATTAAAAAAAACGTATCTACCTTTTTTAAGATCGTCCAGATCTTTTAAAGTTCCTGTGGAACTGTTGACTAATTGAGACATCGGTAGATTTTTAGCACCTTTTATATGTCCTTTGCCATCTGAAAACAATTACAAAATATATTTTTGAATGCCTGGTATTTTATGGGAGAAAAGTTTGAAAATGAAATAAAGATTGCCCCTTCACATACACGGGAAAGAATTTAATGCAAAACACAATTAATTGTCCAAGGATATTGACAAAAGCGATGTTTGTTCGAATAGATAATGAATGTTGTTACACGTCTCCCTTTACTGTGTAAGTAAGGTTGTTTAACACATGGTATACAAGAACGTTCATAGACTAGAGAATCATTTTTAGATAAATTAACTGATAATGAATATTCATATTAAAACAGGCCTAGATAGAGATCTGGAAAATATAGCGTATGATTTATACAAGTCATACTGAGGGAGAAATGCATGTTCTTTAACGAGATGTAAGGAAGATATGCTGAAAAGATGACTGTGCCATCGAAATAAAAAAAAACTATCATCTGTACAATTCAATCTTAACCCAATAAATAATGTGTACTGAAGGCGTCCCTCATTTTCACACAAAAACACGAGTAAACACAAATGAAAATATGTTACAGAGCTAGATAAAAAAGGCAGACACATTAATTTATCTCTAGATCTCTCCATATCCGGCAAACATTCTCCACTGAAGACTTAAAGAAAAACATTTAAATAAGAGTTATTTTCTGGATTTCATATGCAAAAAAAAAAAAAAAAAAATGGATTCAGGTCACCAGAGGATTCTGTCGATCTCAGACTGTATGCACCGAGGTTTAAAAGGAAGTAAGCCCCAGGACACAGGAAAAGTGCGAGTGTAGGTTAGGGAAATATAGACCTACACATGACCAGTAATCAGACATATAGCCCCACGGTTTCTTCTGCTGACGTGATCAGGAACACATACCTGGACTGGTGTATTTCAATGTCGCCCGGCTGTCACACACCTGCCTATCCGGTCTCGTGAAATTATCTACCATGACTTCATACGTCAGTCTTATACTGTCATCTTTCGAACAGGTAAAGTTCCCTTCCTGAAAATATCAAAACACGTTTACCGCTATTTTTTTTGGAGAGTGCCAATCTAGACTAATAGTGCTGTTTAAATTTTGAATTTCATTGATAAATGCCCGGTTTAGTTCCGCGAAGTCATCGGGAGACAGGAGAAACATCGCTCACCTCTACTTTAAATTGAACATTGAACTTTAATTGTTATATTTTCGCGTGTTGCTTTACAAATGTTTTGTATATTTCAATATGCTCAAGAGAGGTACAGGGAACGTACATTATTGTGGATGGACTTTAGATTAAAACCTGTAACCTGTTTTTGTACGAACATTTTAAAATAAGGTTGTGTTAGAAATGTATTGAATAGAGAAACCATTAGTTTGAGCACGGATGTTCCTTATTCCTATATAGGCAGTTGTTCTGTTCTCTTCTTCAGCCTTCTGAGATTATAAAAAAAAAAAAAAAAAAACATACATGAAAAACACCACTGAACACATAAGGATAAAAAGCAGATCTTATCAATGAATTAAACTGTGTCATTTAGATGTTTCGTCCTTCTAGGACTCTACAGTGATGATAAGGGCCTAAATTGTAAAACCAGGAGGTGACTGATTGAAAATCCAAAGTGACAGATCGAAAAGTCAAAATCTCAATGGGGAGATGCACTTGGCAAATAACTGATTCTTATTGTCCGTCAAGTAAATATGTGTATTCTGAACCGTACCATTATCAGAGGGAGTAAGAGAGCAACGTGAAGGTTACGGCAAACCTCAGGGACTAAATGTCCATCAGCAGTGTCTACTACCTGCTATCTCAAAGATTGTATAAAAGACAGTCAGGTAAAAGCACATGATATCATTATATACATGTGCCACACATGTGGGTCAGCATATTTTGATGTGTCTGACACGATGACAGTATATAGTGTTGGATTATTGTGTGGCCCGCCTTCCACTCATTATCATCTGACAGATGCCACAACACTAATTTGTTATTTATCATTGTGTTATTGTGATACTAGACAGCGAAATAATTGTTATTAACACAGCCATATATATTTAATAATTGTACCAATATTCCTACTTTCTCTTTTAGTGTACCACTATTGTTTATAAATGCTTGACGCCGAATTGATATCCAATCTCAAGTACCTTAAACATTTATCTTCCGCACACAATTCACCAGATACATAAGTGATTTGAAACAATCGTTCAAGCTCATAGTCTCATCTGTGAATTTAGCTGTAGAAAAGATCCTATTAATGTTTTCCCAATAGCATCCTGACTATAACCTTCGTGGGTTGAGTTACCGGGAGATTGCTTTATGTGGAATGATAACTTGGACACGAACTCTTAAAGAATTGAGAATGTTGCCATCTTAACATTACCAATCTATTTTCAAATTTATCAGAACAAAATTGCTACTTTCTGTTGTGATTCAAGAGCTTTCTTAGAATGCCTTGCACCCGTTTCATTACATATTTGCAAGTTAATTATGTGGAAATTGGCGTTTTAGATTCTATCTGTTAATCTTTAAACTTTATTTATTTTATAAGAATTGCGAAATAATGCATTCGAACTTATATTAATTACTCTTGTTGCCCCGTACGGAAGCGCGCGAAGGGTCTTACTGTGGAAGGAAACCGGAGTTCCCAGGGACACCCTACGTGGACAGATAGGTACCTTTATACCTTTTCACTTCCGTTCTGGGAATCGAACCCCGGACGCATAGGAGAAAGGCGAATGCTTGACCACCGCGCCATGTAACAAAACAGTGTTCAACAAATTGTTTTGAATTATAAAAGAGCGTATATTTAAATTATATAGATATATATGTTTAGGTAAGTGTTATGCCGATAGTCGAATTGTGTAACTTTGTATCGTTAAGTTAATCGACCAATGTTTACAAATCGTGTGGCCAGGGATGTGTATCCCAAACTTATCGTCATTTTGTCACACTACTTACCACTTTAGTGTACATAATATTATACTACAGTCAGAAAGCCTTTTAATCTTATTACCATCTCACGCACTGTACAAGATTTATTGACTCTGTTGACTTTGGACACTGCAAACAAAGTGACTGATACTAGCCTCTTGACCAATGGCCAGAACATGCAATGATCTAACTAAAATTGTTTACTTTCAAAGCTAATGACACCCGTAATGAATTTGTTTTGCTGTTTGAGAGATGCTGACCAGGAAGTGCTGGCTGACTGCCAGTGGTCACAGCAGATAAATAGAAGCGGCTGTCTAAGCACGGACAGTTTGCGGTCACGACATCGACAATGTTGACATCTGGCTTGTGAAAGGGCGCTCGGAACTCTGGCTTGTGAAAGGGCGCTCGGGACTCTGGCTTGTGAAAGGGCGCTCGGGACTCTGGTTTTGAACTTACAAGAACTGTGTATGCTGGAATTTGTAGTCTCAATAAAAGGATGATAAACTTTCATCACAACCCGGACATTGTTTTCTATATTCAACCTATGTTGTTACAGTCACCCGACCACACATTTTATCTGTCTGGTACACGCGATAACGTCTATCTTTATTAGTTACATCGGATAACTGCAATGAATGCGAACGGTCCTTGTTTCTTGTTGTTTGAAGTAAACGAAAATTTCGAAAACTCAACACCTCAAAATATTAAAAGTATCTCGTTTTCATTACCAAGGTATTTATATTCAATGAACTTGATAATAACTAGAGTTTGAAGGAACGTCAAATGCATGTCTGTATCCTGGGCATTGTCTTATTTATAGCAAGTTACATTTGGCATGAATGGTTAAAGATTAATCTCCAAGAGGGGACTGGTACTAATTACTAAGCGAATTAGGAAGCCTAATCAATTTCATGTCGATCTTCATACATGGAACAGAAAAAGATAATTAATGCTGGCATAACATTTGTTATATTCATCAGCGGATATATCTACAAAGCCGGTGTTATAAGCGTGTCTGTCATCAGCTGACATTATACAAACTAAGAAGGCGTAACTAGAACCCACATCTTTGATCTAGATGTATACACTTGGTGACATCATCTATTTAATATGAACTTTTTATATACCTTTGGACTTGGTACTTCACTGGTCACGGGATAACCTTCGGGTTCTTTAGACTTCCATCGCTGCCAACCGCCGTCAAGAATGGACACTGTTTTATGTCCAAACAACTGAAACAACAGGAGTATATTGATATAACGATTCGTGGCTAATTTGTGAAGTAATCGAACTCTGGAAAATATACGTTAAATCATTTTTACCTAATCCAAAATTTAAACTTTTCATTGGTCAATCGAAGTTGCTTAACATCTTTGAAAGTGTAGCCATCTTTCCATTTTGCTCATACTAATTACATTTAAATCTCACTTATCTAAGAATTTATTAGCATATAAATATCAAAGCCCAGTTGACCTTTTAAAGAAGCTTATGATAAAAAAATGTCAATCGTTGAGTTTAGAAGTTTTACTCTATCGTTATATATTATAATACTTGGATTGTCCACCGCGGTACCAATAGAAACTCCATATCCAGAGGGTATCAATAATATTTCACCGTCAAAGAAAGTCAATTTTACCTTGAAAGTCCACCATGCGCGCCCTGACAGGAAGAACCCACATGCGTCCGAGTCACTATACACGATCACGTGACTGTCGGCGTTGACTCCTGCTTTCCTGACACTGTCCTGAAATGCTTCGATGTCAGGGACGTTACGGGGAAACATGTCATTGTGAATGCCTTCCATTACGCTGAGGTACGACGCATTAGGCACGTGCTCTCTGTTGTAGAAAACGAATGAACCAACGATTGCTTGATTGATTGATTGATTGATTGACTGACTGACTGACTGACTGACTTGACTAACTGACTGACTGACTGACTGATTTATTGACTGACTGACTGACTTACTGACTGACTTGACTGACTGACTGACTTGACTAACTGACTGACTGACTGACTTACTGACTGACTTGACTAACTGACTGACTTGACTGACTGACTGACTGACTGACTGACTGACTGACTTGACTGACTGACTTGACTGACTGACTGACTGACTTGACTAACTGACTGACTGACTGACTGATTGACTGACTGACTGACTGACTGACTTACTGACTGACTTGACTGACTGAATGACTGAATGATTGACAATCGATTTTTATGGACTGAATGAGTACAGCTGTACATGAAGGTACAGTAAAAAAATGTTACATGACAATTAACTGTTTTATAGTAAACAACTGATTATATGCTGTCACGTAAGCATGTATATTTTGTATACACTTGGGGTAAGTCACCTTAATGGTAGGGTACCGCTAGGCGGAATTGCGTCACGGGTAGGTGTGCACGGGGTGAGATTCTCATGACAGGTATTGTGTTATTGTTACCGTGCACCCGATATGGATTTATCGGCATTTAGCGTCATGTGAGACAGGCACAGGGGACTCACTTTGGTAAGTAATCTTTATCTCTTTTTCTTTTCTATATTAGTTGGTATTGTTGTTTTGTACCAGTCCATATATCGGCAAACAATCTAAGTATCTGTGCGCTCCAGTCAGCCGTGACCATTGTTTATTGTTTGTATGTTGATAACTTTCATTTTTGTTGTTTTCGTACTATAATTGAATATATTATGTTTGTTTTCCTAAATATGCACATGATATAAACCTATTGGAGTGTTGTACATGAAACTGCATAGTCTATGTCATGTTTCGGGTCGATTTTAAAATCTATGGAAGCCCTGATCAATTTATTAGTGCCGAGCGTAGCGCGTACGCGAACGAGTGGAAAAAGTATGGAAGCCTTGAGGTGTCAGTTGGTGTATTTCGTAATTTTGTATTATTTTGTTTGTAATTTAGAGCCGCACATTATTTCGACGCTAATATGAACGTATTTCAGTATTTTCTAATTATGGTTCATTCTAAAGTTGAATAATTATGGTAAATAATAAGAATTTTTGTACCATGTGTTTTGTTAGTATAGTATGGAAGTGTGAGTGGAAATTATAACTATTTGTGTTAATCATTATAGCTTCACATGACGGGTTGGAACATTGATTGAGTCAGGACCATTACATTGCGACCCAAGCGTCAGGACCGACCAGAAGTAACGACTTTCATTCAGGGTCAAGGTCAGCGAGGGAGCATACTTAGAAGTTACACTGCCAGGGTCGGCGACTTGAATTCAGCACTTAATCAGCTGTCATGTCATTGACATAAGTGCGTTGCCTATTATGGTGGTACAAGCGTGGAACTGCTTGAGGACGGTGACTCTGGATTGAGTCACGGTGATTCAGAGTATGGAACTCTATTGGGTTTGACAGGAACACTGTTCTGTTTCGTGAGCTAGAAGCTACAGGGACACTTATCATTATTTGGTTTATGAGTGTGTGAGTTAGCGAGTGTGACATCTTTAAATATATAGTTTATTTGTTTCATTGTAAATAAACATCATTGTTATACTGTGATCGGTTCTTCCAGCTTTCTTTTCCTGGATCACCAACCGTCGCTCGTCCCACGTTAACATATGCGTTATACCTAACTATTGACTAAATAGTTTATGCAGTGGGTTTAAAGGTTGAGCCGATCGTGTACGTGGTCTGGTGAGTGACGAAGGAGTATTCAACGATCATAAGATAAAACAGAACTTTAATGAAACAAATAAACACTCACATGTTATACTGCTCCTTCATGTCTTTAGTGCTTGACCAGGATACATCGAGGATGACCACTTTATCCAGATCGTCACTGTCCAGTTTCTCCTTGAGCCATTCCACGCTTACCAAGCTAGGGTTGTCCATAGTGACTTCCTTATAAGGTAATACGATAATTACATTTGAAGTCTGGTTCAGAGTACAGTGATCCACTGATAATAATACTGAACTTAAGTTGGTACAGTGATGTTCAAAACAACACAGACAAAATTTCCTTTCAACTACAATTTTATATAGTAAATGTAGTAGCCAATTTCATAGCATAATTGTGCTATTTACTTCTCCGACACCTGGCTGATGCACTGGATGGCATATCATATGACTTGTGACTCACTATAATCTGTCTAATTAAGATTCAGCGCTGAAATTGTTTTAGCTAATTGATAATGAGGCGGTCTTAATATCCAGATGATCTCATTGTGGAATGATTCTGATAGTGAAATGGTGTCCATCATCAGGTGAACTTGATAGTAAGGGGGTTTGGTAGTGATCCTAATATTGAGGGGGTTTTAATAGTGATCCTAATAGTGAGGGGGTTTTGATAGTGATCACAATAGTGAGGGGGTTTTGATAGTGATCGTAATAGTGAAGGGATTTTGTTAGTGATCCCAATAGTGAGGGGATTTTGATAGTGATCCTAATAGTGAGGAGATTTTGATAGTGATCGTAATAGTGAGGGGATTTTGATAGTAATCCTAATAGTGAGGGGATTTTGATAGTGATCGTAATAGTGAGGGGATTTTGATAGTGATCGTAATAGTGAGGGGATTTTGATAGTGATCCTAATAGTGAGGAGATTTTGATAGTGATCGTAATAGTGAGGGGGTTTTGATAGTGATCCTAATAGTGAGGGGATTTTGATAGTGATCCTAATACAAGGGGTCCAACCTAAACCGTAGGTCACGGCCTAACTATCCCCGGTCACAACCAAAATGGCGGCGACCATCCGCTTCTCGACACAGCGGTGAGTAAAATAAGTGTTTTGTCTGCTTACAGAGAACGTTCCTTATCACGTCAATATTGCGTTTCGGATCTAGAGGAATTTATCTTTATATTCGTGCAACGAATTCACAATATAACCCAGTCCTGTAAAAATAAACGTGAAAAAACCTCAGTGTTTTGACAGTCAAAACTGGTATCGAGGTCGGTTTTCCTACTTATTTGACTAATATATTACATATCAAACATTTGTATGGTGTAACGATAACAGAATATGCAATATAAATCCTGAATTGTGTAAAAGAAATACGGGTACTGGTATATGAAACACCCACTGGTTCGATTTTTGTTAGTTTAGGAAAACCTTCGTCGGTCACGCCAAGTTTAGGACAATGTATAGTCTACCACAATGTCCATAAATGATCTTCTCACGCATGTTATCTTTGGTTAATTTCAGAAATGAAAAGAAAAAAAACGTAAACTGTCACTGTCCCTTTATAGGGCAAGGAAAAGGAAAATCGTGTTTACACCAAGTAGATCAACATCGAAGAAATTTAGACCAATAATCCGTTCTCCCGGTTTAATCCCACCAATCAGTTCATCTCCCTGCAGCCTAATATCACCAAAAGGACTACAATCATCTCGAAGTCCGACTGTTTTAAATGGCTCGCCCATTCGGTCACGTCGTTTTCGAAAAAGACTAAACTTGTCCTTTAGAAAACATAGTTCCAGCACTCACAAGAGTGACAATTGGGAAGATATAATTTGCCTGTAAAAATGGGAACGACGAAAATGACACCCTAACCTCTATTGGACCAACGAAGGTGTGCCTAATAAGTCCGAAATTGAAACAGTGTGTTATTCATAAGCCATAATTTGCAATTATGTTATACAATTCAGGATTTATATTGCATATTCTGTTATCGTTACACCATACAAATGTTTGATATGTAATATATTAGTCAAATAAGTAGGAAAACCGACCTCGATACCAGTTTTGACTGTCAAAACACTGAGGTTTTTTCACGTTTATTTTTACAGGACTGGGTTATATTGTGAATTCGTTGCACGAATATAAAGATAAATTCCTCTAGATCCGAAACGCAATATTGACGTGATAAGGAACGTTCTCTGTAAGCAGACAAAACACTTATTTTACTCACCGCTGTGTCGAGAAGCGGATGGTCGCCGCCATTTTGGTTGTGACCGGGGATAGTTAGGCCGTGACCTACGGTTTAGGTTGGACCCCTTGTAATAGTGAGTGGATTTTGATAGTGATCCTAATAGTGAAAGGATTTTGAAAGTGATCGTAATAGTGAAAGGATTTTGAAAGTGATCCTAATAGTGAGGAAATTTTGATAGTGATCGTAATAATGAGGGGATTTTGATAGTGATCCTAATAGTGAGGGGATTTTGATAGTGATCCTAATAGTGGAAGGATTTTGAAAGTGATCGTAACAGTGAGGGGATTTTGTTAGTGATCCTAATAGTGAGGGGATTTTGACAGTGATCCTAATAGTGAGGGGATTTTGATAGTGATCCTAATAGTGAGGGATTTTTGAAAGTGATCCTAATAGTGAGGGGATTTTGAAAGTGATCCTTATAGTGAGGGGTTTTGAAAGTGAGGGGGTTTAAAGTGATATTGATAATGATGGTTTTTATAGTGATCTTGGTAGAAAAATCAACGCTATATTTAATACATTGGCCGATAGAAGACCAATTTGGGACTGAAATAAAGTGATCTAACGGCATCGTCATGATTTAATAATCATGGAAGATACTGATCGCAAGGAGAATAAAAAACAAACACACAAATGACAAATTTTCATGCAGAACGAATGGAGAGAGTTTGCTATAGTTATCACGGTAATAACAAAACCTCTGAACCTACTGAAATGTCACGATGATAGGGATAGCCCAAATTACGTCTGCTTCATTAATAGCAACTGGTGTTTGCAAAGATATTTTTCGCAAATATGATAGAGAGACCTGTACAATTAGCAGATTAAACGATACCAGATGTATCAACATCCCCGCCAAAAAATGTAGGAATTATTAACTCGAGAGATCAACCAAAAAGAAAAATATTAAGCGTTTCCCTCTAAATCAAATAAAACTTTCCATTGGAATATCTTTATTTATTTCTCCCAGGTTAAAATCAAGGTCGGATAAAACATTGTGTAAAGGGACATAAGTCATTCATTGCCTACGGCTGGACCAAAAGGGGACACAACTCCATGCCGCACATTTTTCGGTTTCCTGGTTATAAGGCCAACTACAAATGTAGTTTTTGTACAAACTTTACAAACTAAACCGTGACATCAGAAGACAATGCTGAAGTCCTACAGTTAAGTAATATGATATGTATATATACACAACAGAACAGTTTGAGCATGTATATCGTCAGGAAGTCACTTGAAATGATTTATTGAAGTTGTGAAGCATCTCGTTAATATTCTTTATCCACGGTTTTCCCTAAAGCTTGAACATACTATGTGCAACCTTCATTTCAACAAAAATAAGGAAGAAAAGACAAAAAATACAGATATAAAGTGATAGAAAGTTATGGTGACATACCAGTTTCGTCAAGTGGCTTGCTCCGTTATCTCTGTTACAAGGGAGGTAACCCAAATGAACTCGTGCAACAGCTGTGGTGACAAGAGTAAATCAATAACAATGTCATCGTAAATATAGTGTTAACGATTATGGTATAGATTATTTACACTGGAACAGGATACGTGTAGACATTGGACACTGCCGGGCGCCCAAGTTGTTCACTTTATTACCCCGGACCCTTCACTAAAGTACAAACTGAGAAAATATTAGAATTCTATGCAAGGCAAGAGACAGGTAGACCCCATATTTCAAGTTTTAAAAGATCTTCACATCTGATTGTATAGAAAATTTTCACAAAAACCACTTTGTAAAATTTTGTCAGTTTCATCTTTCAAAGTACACCAATGAAAAGAATGGAGAACCTAACACAATGTAACTGATTGCATTGTCTATTATGTGAATGTATTCAAGTGTAAACCTGATTCGCGCACCGAAATCAACACGGTTGACAAATACTTAACACTCATAAATATCTCTACCATAGAATAACAGAATTGTATCTAAAACATATGATCTACATGTTTACATAGATACTGGGCTTACCATGTTTTACAGTAAATATACTCACTTTTAATTGTATGGGCACAAACACAGGCTCCTGACATAATTTATTTCACTGCAAGTTGTCTGCTATAAAGCATGCAGTCAATGTACAAGAAAAACAAAAAGTATCCAGCGCCTATGGTGACAAGGATTTTGCGCGCGAGGCGTGAACAATCCCATCCACTGTTGTTGACTGTTTACCAAAGGTTTCCGACCAGTAATGATGGAATTCACACTTAAGGAATTTTCACTCGTCATTCCAACTATGGAATTCTACGAATGGTTTTATCTAAGGAATCACTTAAGGTTTGATAAAAAATATTAGAAGGAGGAAACACTTCACCACTGAGAGTAAAAACGCTTCATGTTCTAAATATATTTGTTCTATGATAAGTTGCATTTGCTCCAAAAATAACTCATTATTGCTCACGGATGTCATCTTACAGCTGTTTGTTCATCCTACAGTACATTAGTAGGAGGATTACTTACCTGTGAATGGTTTCATGCACGCTGTGTGCAATATCATACTTACCACTACAAGTAGCCGTGATCTCCCTTCCAGCAATATCACGCTTTGTATATAAACATTTGTCAAATCAACTTCAGGACTTTAAGTTAGTGTCAAATCGACCTATTATACACAAGCTTATTCAAGCCTGTCGCCAGATCCACGTTCACAACGAAGTCACTGACTAAATGACATCTACTAGTCCTTCACAAACCGTATTTATTATATGTTACGCTTGGCGTGCACACTGTTCGGAGCCTCAGCAAAGTTCATGTCATAGCCGAACACTGTAATGATGCACACACAACGACGTCCATACCCCTCGGTAGCCTAAATAACGTCTTACACAAAGTTTTAGCTATCTATATCACAAGTTTACTGCCGCCTACCTATATAGCACTAGTTTGATTCCAGTGCAAAACTCATAGATAAAGCAATAAGTAGAATTCTGTCGCGAAATGAACTTAAATACCGTAGCTTTTAAAATTATAAATAATTTTCTATATATCTATACGGAAATGGCATTATAGAAATCATCAAGATGAAAGAGTGATTTAAAATACACCCAGAGCAAATCACATCTCAGATGTTGCAGATGACTCGGTGCATGGCCATTACAACGTCATTGGCATAGAAATGGCGTCGGCTCATCGTCAAAAGAACCATACTTCTGTATAATTCAAGGTGTAGTTGGCATAAGACAGCAGCATGTGTAGGCAATATAAATATAAGTACAGTATATAGTCTTTATGTTCGTTATAAAAACACAGGTATGTAATTTATAGTATCATAAATGCCATATCACGACCGTTAAACTTTAAAATTATTTCATGTCAAACAATTTTATGTTTTACATTCATATTATAAAAATCGTAACCGGTTTTCTAGAATGATACACTGTTCTTGGCCTCTGTATTTACACGTCATTTGGTAGTATCGGGGCGATCTTTAAGATTTTGGTACCTTTCACGTGTCAAGTATGATGGTTAAAACCCCTTTAACTCTTTGACATCAGCCATTAACTACACAAACTTCTTGGGGGTTAAAAATCAGTATACAGAACCTCTGCTGGTTTTCGAAAAAGAGAAGGCTAATTGCTAGCCGCCACTGAGTATAGGTTTATAATAGGGAAATATAGAGTTAGACTAGAGTAGGAATAGGCGTTTCTGTGACTGTCCAAAATTTCCCTGTTTTTTGTTTTGTTTTGTTTTTTTTCATAGACGTTAGGGTATAGAAATAGTCAGATCTGTCCTCCCCACATTAGACCTGTTTGATGATTACTAAAAAGCGAAATTGCACACCTTAATGCCTCGGCCCTACCAGCCCCCTCCCCCTTAGTATCCTAGGCTCGGTTATAACCGGAACAAGGACGTTAAGCTCAAAAAAAAAAAAAAAAAAAAAAGAATTGGATATTGTCGATCGAGTATACTAGCAATCAACAGAACAAGAATTGCTTAACTTTAGGAAAACCTGTACCATTTGAAAATTGTTAGTGTAGCCACTCATCTCGATTCTTAGTTCTTTTCCATTGTTTAATACTCTTTGAAGTGACTTTTGGATTTTAGAGCATTTATCTTGTGATTTTGAGACAAACTATTTTTCACAAGGTCATTGACGGACCTTGGTGTTACAATCATGAGATCTGGAACAAGATAAATTGGTCTTTTCATCATTGCTGTTTCTGAGAAACGAGATGAAAACGTCACAAGTTAAAATCCGTAATGCGAAAATGCAGTTGAATATCAAAATGTGGCATGCACAACATGTTCTTGGAATTTCAAGATTATCTTTTCTGAAGTTCTTTAGAGTTCGAAAGAAGGCCTCAAAAGTCAAAACCCATTTTCTACATAGCTCCCATTCCGTACAGGACATAGCTCCAATTTCGAACAGGACATAGCTCCAATTTCGAACAGGACATAGTTCCCATTTCGAACAGGACATAGTTCCCATTCCGTACAGAACATAGCTCCCATTCCGTACAGTACATAGTTCCCATTCCGTACAGAACATAGCTCCCATTCCGTACAGTACATAGTTCCCATTCCGTACAGAACATAGCTCCCATTCCGTACAGTACATAGTTCCCATTCCGTACAGAACATAGCTCCCATTCCGTACAGTACATAGTTCCCATTCCGTACAGAACATAGCTCCCATTCCGTACAGTACATAATTCCCATTCCGTACAGAACATAGCTCCTATTCCGTACAGTACATAGTTCCCATTCCGCACAGAACATAGTTCCCATTCCTTACGGTGCATAGTTCCCATTCCGTATAGTACATAGCTCCCATTCCGTACAGAACATAGCTCCTATTCCGTACAGTACATAGTTCCCATTCCGCACAGAACATAGTTCCCATTCCTTACGGTGCATAGTTCCCACTCCGTACAGTACATAGTTCCCATTCCGTACAGTACATAGTTCCCATTCCGTACAGAACATAGCTCCCATTCCGTACAGTACATAGTTCCCATTCCGTACAGAACATAGCTCCCATTCCGTACAGTACATAGTTCCCATTCCGTACAGAACATAGCTCCCATTCCGTACAGTACATAATTCCCATTCCGTACAGAACATAGCTCCTATTCCGTACAGTACATAGTTCCCATTCCGCACAGAACATAGTTCCCATTCCTTACGGTGCATAGTTCCCATTCCGTATAGTACATAGCTCCCATTCCGTACAGAACATAGCTCCCGTTCCGTTCAGAACATAGCTCCCATTCCGTACAGTACATAGCTCCCATTCCGTATAGTACATAGCTCCCATTCCTTACAGTACATAACTCCCATTCCGTACAGAACATAGCTCCATTCCGTACAGAACATAGCTCCCATTCCGTACAGAACATAGCTCCCATTCCGTACAGCATATAGTTCCAATTCCGCACAGTACAGAACTCCGTTTCCGTATAGTACATAACTCCCATTCCGGACAGGACATAGCTCCCATTCCATAGAGTACATAACTCCCTTTCCGTACAGGATATGGTTCCCATTCCGAACAGGACATAGCTCCCATTCCATAGAGTACATAGCTCCCATTCCATACAGTACATAGCTCCCATTCCGAACAGGACATAGCTCCCATTCCATAGAGTACATAACTCCCCTTCCGTACAGGATATGGTTCCCATTCCGAACAGTACATAGCTACCATATAGTACAGTACATAGTTCCCATTCCGTACAGTATATAGCTCCCATTCTGTACGGGACTTAGTTTCCATTCTGTACAGGACATAGTTTCCATTCTGTACGGGACTTAGTTCCCATTCTGTACAGGACATTGTTCCCATTCTGTACAGGACGTAGTTCCCATTCTGTACAGGACGTAGTTTCCATTCTGTACAGGACATAGTTCCCATTCTGTACAGGACATAGTTCCCATTCTGTACAGGACATTGTTCCCATTCTGTACAGGACATAGTTCCCATGCTGTACAGGACGTAGTTCCCATTCTGTACAGGACGTAGTTTCCATTCTGTACTGGACGTAGTTTCCATTCTGTACGGAACTTAGTTTCCATTCTGTACAGGACATAGTTCCCATGCCGTACAGAGTGTAGTTTCCATTCTGTACAGGACGTAGTTTCCATTCTGTACAGGACATAGTTTCCATTCTGTACAGGACATAGTTCCCATTCTTTAGCGGACATAGTTCCCATTCTGTACAGGACATAGTTCCCATTCTGTACAGGACGTAGTTCCCATTTTGTACAGGACATAGTTCCCATTCTGTACAGGACGTAGTTTCCATTCTGTACTGGACCTAGTTTCCATTCTGTACAGGACATAGTTCCCATGCTGTACAGGGTGTAGTTCCCATTAATTCTCTACAGGACATAGTTTCCATTCTGTACAGGACCTAGTTTCCATTCTGTACGGGACGTAGTTCCCATTCTGTACAGGATGTAGTTTCCATTCTGTACAGGACCATTCTGTACAGGGTGTAGTTCCCATTCTGTACAGGACGTAGTTCCCATTCTGTACAGGACATAGTTCCCAATTCTGTACAGGACGTAGTTCCCATTCTGTACAGGATAATTCTGTACAGGACATAGTTCCCAATTTGTACAGGACATAGTTCCCATTCTGTACAGGATCATTCTGTACAGGACGTAGTTCCCATTCTGTACAGGATAATTCTGTACGGGACGTAGTTCCCATTCTGTACAGGACATAGTTTCCATTCTGTACAGGGCGTAGTTCCCATTCTGTACAGGAAGTAGTTTCCATTCTGTACAGGACGTAGTTCCCATTCTGTACAGGACATAGTTTCCATTCTGTACAGGACATAGTTCCCATTCTTTAGCGGACATAGTTCCCATTCTGTACAGGACATAGTTCCCATTCTGTACAGGACGTAGTTTCCATTCTGTACTGGACCTAGTTTCCATTCTGTACAGGACATAGTTCCCATGCTGTACAGGTTGTAGTTCCCATTGTGTACAGGACGTAGTTTCCATTCTCTACAGGACGTAGTTTCCATTCTGTACAGGACCTAGTTTCCATTCTGTACGGGACGTAGTTCCCATTCTGTACAGGATGTAGTTTCCATTCTGTACAGGACCATTCTGTACAGGGTGTAGTTCCCATTCTGTACAGGACATAGTTCCCAATTCTGTACAGGACGTAGTTCCCATTCTGTACAGGATAATTCTGTACAGGACATAGTTCCCAATCTGTACAGGACATAGTTCCCATTCTGTACAGGATCATTCTGTACAGGACGTAGTTCCCATTCTGTACAGGACGTAGATCCCATTCTGTACAGGACATAGTTCCCAATTCTGTACAGGACGTAGTTCCCATTCTGTACAGGATAATTCTGTACAGGACATAGTTCCCAATCTGTACAGGACATAGTTCCCATTCTGTACAGGACATACAGGACTTAGTTCCCATTCTGTACAGGACGTAGTTCCCATTCTGTACAGGACATTGCTCCCATTCTGTACAAGGTGTAGTTCCCATTCTGTACAGGATAATTCTGTACAGGACATAGTTCCCAATCTGTACAGGACATAGTTCCCATTCTGTACAGGATCATTCTGTACAGGACGTAGTTCCCATTCTGTACAGGATAATTCTGTACGAGACGTAGTTCCCATTCTGTACAGGACATAGTTTCCATTCTGTACAGGGCGTAGTTCCCATTCTGTACAGGATAATTCTGTACAGGACATAGTTCCCATTCTGTACAGGACGTAGTTCCCATTCTGTACAGGACATAGTTCCCATTCTCTACAGGATCATTTTGTACAGGACGTAGTTCCCATTCTGTACAGGATGTAGTTTCCATTCTGTACAGGACCATTCTGTACAGGGTGTAGTTCCCATTCTGTACAGGACGTAGTTCCCATTCTGTACAGGACATAGTTCCCAATTCTGTACAGGACGTAGTTCCCATTCTGTACAGGATAATTCTGTACAGGACATAGTTCCCATTCTGTACAGGGTGTAGTTTCCATTCTGTACAGGAGGTAGTTTCCATTCTGTACAGGACCATTCTGTACAGGACCTAGTTTCCATTCTGTACGGGACGCAGTTCCCTTTCTGTACAGGACATAGTTTCCATTCTGTACTCTGTTCAGGACATTGTGTAGTTTAAGGAACAGGAGCCTAGATCAACCCATTGTTTTATCATAGTGGGCTAAACACATAACAAAAACAATAATTTTAGTGAATACATTTTAATATGGACACCAATAATTAAGGATATATGTCTCCCACATACATACTGATGATGTCACTAACACACACATTAACTCTCTAATACTTCACTGATCAGTGAGGGATCCTTCTCACCCTAACATATGTATCCCCGACTCTCATATTTTCCTCATCAATGGCAAGTTTTTATGATGATGTATATTTTGTTTTCTTTCTTTTCGATTCATTGGCAGTGGTCCCGTGGACTGCCCTGTAATAAAGCTGCTTGTTAAATGATCAACTGTTCAATTTATGGACCAAACAGCAGCAAGAGAAGACCATGGAAACAAACCGAAATACAATTTACATATATTGGTTTTATACCGTATTTAACAACATCAGTCTTATGATGTATCTGCTTTTTTTATTGGCTGTTTAAAATTTTTGCAATTTAACCACTCATTTGAGTCATAGACGATACAGTCACAAAATTTCTCGAAGGTAAAGTAATCAAATTTCATGTAGATTTTGTTTTTGTTCAATTTGCCATTACTCTTAAATCCATGAATTTAAATATCCCTGAAATGATAAACTGATAAAAATTGACATGGATTTTATTAGTACTGGATTTCACTGGCATAATTTATCCAAGAAAGAAAATGCCAACGAAATTGCAAATGGTGTAAAACACCAAAGGAAATATATTATTTTTTTATGTTGAATGCCATCCTTAAAAAACTGCATGAAATAACAGAACGCCATTAAAATAACAACCTTTACATTAATTGTGTGTTCTCATTATATTCATAATGAGTACAAAGCTGTATGAGGGTAATTATATATGGCAACATCTGTTTCTTATGTTGATTTGACTGACCACCTTTGCTACAAAAGCAAAGATGACATATACGTATCTATTTACACATATGTCACTGTATACTTACACTTTGTATTAAATACAGCACTACTTCTAAGAAGCAAAATGATAATAACATTAACAATAAGGAACAAAAACGTACACAAAAAGAAATAAAATGGATTAATGAAGTCAAACTGCGCACAAAAATATTATGTCCCATGCTGTTAATTTGTCTCAAATTCTTTAAATTTTCAGCAGTCAAATCTAAGTCTTAGTTCAGATAACATATCATTATCCCATGAACAATTTGAATTGGTCATTGTAATCAGGAAGAAAAAGCCTTTTGAAGTGAAAAGAAATTAAAAAATAATTTCTCATTAAGTGTACTTGTTTATGTATATTTCCTAAAATTCTTATTTATCCTATCCAAAGTTACAGAATTTGGCCATTTATTCTGAGCCATAGGCATTGAGAGTAAGAAAATCTATTCCTTTTCAGAGATTGGAAGTAATGGTGAATGGTATGTGCTTAACAACAAGAAATTGCTAGGTTGTATAGCACCAAAGAGTTATCTCCCTTCCTCTTCAAGATCATTAGGACGGAAAATATATTAGAAAGCTTGAACATGAAGTCTATCAAACATCTGAGGCTTTTCAACTTATAAAGACTTTAAGTATTACTATAAATGAAATATTTGAATTTTGAAATCAACATTCATTAGTTACAGTAATATCATTAAATGTCTCAATATAAATGTACAAATTATATCACATACACACAAAAAAAAAAAAACAAAAACAAAAAATATGCAAAGAAAAATAATGGATTAAACAGAGAGGTTAAAAGAAAAAATCCATTTGAAACATTATTTCACTTATCTATGTGAGTAAGGGTTTTGTTTATGGCACGAGATTACTGTGGAATATCATATCTGTGTAATGTTTGATCTACAGTGATATACATCTCCATTAACTTCTTCATTTGATCATGTTTCACATGTTAAAAATAAAAAGTTTTTTATACAGAACATAAGTGAGTGTATACCACTTAACTTCCAATTCTATAGTTTAGCCTCTTAATTACACATATAAATATATTGGATCTCCATGAATTTCCATTCAATATGTGTGCCATATCCACATCCTTTGTCCTAGTGGCTGTCAGGCAAATCGCCATACCATCATCCTGCAATTCTTTCTTTCTTCTTTCTATCCTTTTTTTCTTTTTCTTTTTGCAAATAAATAAAAAAAGCTCCTTTTTTCAAATCTGATAATGCATATCACTTAAATTTCATGTGCGATTTATTTTCGCATAAATACGCAAGAATAGTCATTTATGAATTCAAATCCTTCACGGTTATTTGTACAGAAATAATTCTTAAAAGACATCCATGCAGATTTGGTTACTGATATCGAAGTCCATGTATCTAATAACCCATCATTCACGAATTTAAAGTGATTTCTAGATCTTCATTCGCGAAATCATATATTCATGAAAATGTCTGAAGAGGCAGAATTGTGAAATAAAGTATTAGGAAAATCTAAGTGATGTACAGTAGTTTGACCTTTTAACAACAGATCTCTGAGCTTTGTAAACCAAGTCTACGAACCGTTCTTTTAAAGATTTACCAGAGGTAGACTTAAAATTATTTGATATTTGACAAGTTTTTACATAAATCTTGAAAGCAATGGAAACTGTACTTATGATTTGTTTTATCACATAAAATCATTTTTCTGTTGCAAACAGAGCAGAAAAAATAGTTTTTACGTCACTCCTGAAGTAACAATATCTGCTTTTTCTGTATTGACATAATATGATCTGTATGTGAGTGAACTTATTTACTAACATTTTGCAAAAGATCAGATATTATCTGTAGCAAACGAAATATAGCATTGGTGTAGCCACTGAATAAAACAGTGGTAGTGTAATAAATAACTGATTTATCCAAATCAAGCAATAGCAGAGAAGGATATATACATTTGTATGGTTTAAGCAAAATCAAGCACTTGAAATTAAAGTAAGTTTAAAGATAACCCCATCAAGAAAAAAAACCAAAAAATACACAAAATGAAAAAATCACACAATTTGAATCAGAAATGGTTTTCAATAAATACTGACATGAAAAAAAATATACACAAAATAACTAAATTATGATTGAACTACTTGTACATGCAGTTATATAACACACGAGAACTTACAGGGAGACACATTGACTATATCACATCACAACACTGCTATATACAGTTCATATACTGTCAAGTTAATTTTTTCAATTGTTCAAAGTTCCAAAATTTTACAAAATGTTTGAAGCAAAAAGCATGAATTTTTCACAGAAAGTCATGGAGACAGCATTTTCTTCCAGCTTGTTAATTAAACTTAATACAACTTTTTGCATGTTTGAATCTCATACCCACAGCTAAAAATAGAAATCCTTGATAATACCTAACAACCTTTAAAGTATATGGTTCACACAGGTTAAACAATTACTATTCTTTTCCTTATTGTTAAGTATGAAGAGGCACCATTTTTAGCTGATCCTAAAAAGAAATTTTCAATGGGCCGTTTTGAAAATTTACATGACACCAACTGAATACTGACAAAAACAGAAATGAATAAAGAAAAAAAAAACATGTCTTGTAGAGAACCTAGTTTCTCAGAGCAAACATACCAAATAATTTTCAAAAGCAACTTATCAAGCCTGATCCTAACTACATCTTTAGAGGTCATGGTTAGATGACAAAATGCCATTTCAAGAAGTAAGCTGGCATTCAGTGATCCTCAGAAACGAGCTAAACCATGGCCTGAGGTAGTGAATTATTATCTCATATTTTATGTTATAATGACCTTCAGAAAAATAATTAAAATTGTTTTTTCCTCTACACAAACTTTTGCTTTCATTTACTTATCATACTTTTTGACTATTTGATGGTTTGTTTAAATGATTTTTTACTTTTTATGGTATCTTTCAGTGACAGACAAAGTACATGTAGGTACTTTTTCCTGGTGTTATTTGTACTTGCCTGAGAAGGAAATGGTAATATAAAGTGATTACAATATTTAATAGATAGCTCAAGATTTTTTTGGGTGAATAACTTTGACTTAATCCTTCTTGTATGTGAGAAAACATAAGAAAGGAAGTTTAGGGAAGCAGCACCTATAGAAATGGGAAGCAGCACCTATAGAAAAGCTAACTGGTTTACTACTTTATCATTGAACCAAGGCATAAAAATGAATTTGCACAAGAATTACAAGGAAGATTCCCAATTCTTAATGGTTTTGGCTGTATATGTAATATTTACAGGTGATATTATTGGGAGCTCATGGCACTTTATATGGTGTATAATAAATGTATGTCCATACAAATAAATGGTGTTACAGGAAAACATGATATTAACCAGAATGTGATATTAAACAGTGAGATATGGGATCTGATGAATAACTTTGAGGTATACAATACTATGGTTAAACCATTTGAAACATGTCAACTATATAACATACAACAAATAATAATAATCATTGTGTCCAACATGATAGTACACAATGATGTGATCACGAAAGAAGACAATGATTTTTTTCTTTTTCGATTTTTGTATGACATAATTATGGTATGTACATATAACCAGTTCTCAGAAAAAGAAAAAAAAATATGTAAGAACTTACATTTTGAGACATCCTTATTATCAACGTTAGTCTACAACCATAACATGGTCTGTAACTGAAATTCAAATAATCAATAATCAAACTTGTTCCCTTAGATGAGATTCTAATTGTAATTTGTTTTGCAAAATTTGTATATCAATCACTATGCCAATGTATTTCAATAACTATTAAAGATGAACATATATTTCAAATTCAAGAGTTTGGCAACAGTTGAAGGATTTCAAATACATGTAACATATTACATATGTCTGTCAATGTATTTACATTTGCTGAAGACTATTGCCAAATCTGTGAATGAACTCAGTGAACTGTTTCCTTGTAAGCATATCCATGTTCAAGGTTCGGACACCAAAGTTGGACAGAATAGTGTCAAGGTCGTCAAGACTGGAATGGAATGTGTCATGCAGCCTGACCTGTCCTGCCCCAAGACTAGTCACAAGAGGAGTCAGTGGATTGGAAAATGGTTTACCTATCCCTAATTTGTTTGGTGCCATCTGCCTAACAGCAGGAGGACATACAGTAGTCTTTGTAGCATCTTCTTCCAGACCCTCTGAGGAAGTTGATGAGTGAGACAGAGTAACTTTATGAGGTTTTAATGACTTTATATCCTTAACTACCCCACACTCCTTCATACCCTTCTCTTTGATTGGCAGTTCTTGGTTTTTATTCTTAGTGTCAAAAGAGTTATCTCCCCTTTCAGTTACCTCCCCTTTCACACCGACTCCACCCTTAGACTCTGTTGCTTGGTCATTATTCCACTTGATTATTCTCTGGACACATTCTTTGTCTGAAACTGTTTCCTTCTTACAAACATCCGGGTCAGATTTTAAATGTTTTCCTTTGTCAGTAATTTTCACATGAGCTGAATCCCCTAAAAAATCAAATACTGTGTCCTTGGTAAATTTCATAAGACACGCTGGGTGATTGGTGTGTTTATCATAACAATGGAGGTGTAGCTGGTGACGTAGCGGTGCAGCATAGAAGCAGTATACACAGCTGAAGCCTACTTTCAGTGCCTCCATTTTTCTTGGATGTAATGTATATGATGTGGATGATTCTTCACCTGAGAGAGAGAAAAATACTCATTTCATAAATAAAATTGATTATTGTTATCTTTAGGCTTATTTTTACTTAGATTTAAACTTCAGGTGATGAAACAAATCAATATTCCATTCAAAACCTTCCCCCACTCTTAAAACTTTTTTTAGTTAAAGCAGAATTTATATGTGATATATACATATGCTTCCTTGAGAGGCAGAGTAGGAAACACGTCTTATGAAATATTGTCAAAATATCAAAATATGACAACTGAGATACAAAGTCTAATTAATGTGAATACTCAGTTCTAACTAATGTGCACAGCATACTCAAGATGAAGACACATGTGAAAAACCACATTTCAGTGAAACAGAAAAAGAACTTGCTCTAAAATATGTCACCAATGAATCCTGAGTTTAAGATATAGGTCACAAAAAATTCAAATCCCCAAAAAACTTTCTGTATTTTATATATCACAGCTGGATCAGACAAGTTAGAATAAGAAAACTTTATATGTTACAGTTTATATTTCATTACCTTGTTTGTTTATGCAAATCTGTACATAAACATTTGAACTGTCTGTTACAATTTTTTGAAAATAATTAATTTTTCATGCGAGAATTGGAAATACTTTGCCTCTTTAAAGTAAAAAAGGAGGGTTGACCATCGCACAAGAGGGGGCTTTCTTTAAAATGTTAAAAGTGCATAACAAAATATTCATTTGGTAGCAAAAATTACATTGAAAATTAATACATCCCTCCAAAAATTATTTTCTATGCTGAAAACATGCTTTCAATTTAAATGAAAAATTAAGTAAATGAATAAACTAAAAATACACATAATTTTAAAACTGTTGCACTGAATAATTTCTATCTTTTAAACACCCATACTCACAACCGATATCAAAATAAAAGGTTATGGAATGAAATGCAAGTAAACTTTTTTGACGGTTTCACAAAATTTCCAAACATTTCTATGGAAAAATGAAAAGGGTGACAGAAAATAACATGTTTATCCTCACAATCAGGCTCCAAAAAGGCCATACTCCAAATAAAATCATATGAAACTGAATTCTTACACAATGATATATTGTGATTGTACTTTTAGATTGATCACATTCATCAATATTTACAAATTTACTCAACATTTTTCAACCATTATGGAGATAGATGGTATATGTAAACAGCAGCTAAATTTGACATTCATCCAGGTTTTTTTCACTCTTGCATTAAACTGTTTTCATCCAAATAGAAAAATTGAAATGCAAGTAAATATTCTCCTGTACAATGTCATAACATAGCCTACACTCACAGTCAGCTAGTGAGGAAAATTACCACACCTAGTCACTTACCTGGAAGTACTGTCTCGGACACCTTGACTTTTCCTGTCTTCCCCTTACGTTTGGCAATAAGCTGTTGGAGATTTTCTCGATCTTTGATAGATCCCAGTTTCATTTTCCATGTCTTAGGAAACTTCTTCAATTTTGGCATAGTTGGAGACAGATCAGAAAGAACAGAATCTGTTTCAGTGCTACCTTTAGAAGACTTTGGCGTAGAAGAACCCTTAGGTGAGGAGAGTTCTAAGTTGAGGTCTGGGTCTGGTTTCACCAAGACTGCTGTTCTGTAAACTTTTGGTTGCATTCCTTTGTGATTACGTCGGAAATGCTGGACAGTGAGAGTTTTTGAGTGTGATTTGTACTTGCATTCTTTACAAACCCAGTTCACAGTGTCATGTGCTAACATCAGATGCTGACCTACACCACGCACTGTTGAAACATATGAACACTTAGGGCAACGGCCTTTCAACACTTTAGCCCTGTCTTCAGCGACAGGTGTCGTCACTGTACTTGTAATGTCTGGTGCTCCAGGTGACTTGGAAGGTGAAGATTCTGAAGACACACTGTAATCATAGATGTCAGCCTTACCCGGAGCACGCTGCTTAGAGGGTGATGTTTGTCCTTGGAGTGACAAGGTCATAACTTTTCCCTCTATTCCTGGTGTAGTGTCTTCTTCTAGGTCTTTTAACAGACAGAAACTGCGCACTAAACTCACTGTTTTTCCTGGGTGATCCTCTTTGTAATGTGCAAGACCTTCAAATCTGTTCAGGGTGAAGTATGGACACTCAGTGCATGTGTACTTACACATTTTGTGTACCCAGAAGGCATGAAGTCTTACCCCATTGATGGACTTGGACTTGTATTCACACAGTGGACACTTAATCAGTTGTGGATCTTTGGCATTCCCCATTACCTTGCCCTGAGATTTAGCCTTGGCTAACTTTGAATATTTCTGACTATACTTCTTAACATAGTTTGTCATTCTGGCAGACTTTAAAAGGGTAGGTTTCTTCACCGAGTTACTAGAATTTTCAACATTTTCTCCATTATCATCCTCTGTGGCACATAGGCAGTTTGCTCTCCCTGGACTGGCATTCATTCTCTTCTTCTTCCCATCTAGAGAACCTTCTTCCACTGGACTTTTATCACAACCAGAATGTATAGCCGTTCTTTGTTCAGAAACAGTCCCTTTTGATAATAAATTGAGATTTTTCTTGTAAGGTCCTTTTACTAAATCTATACTGTTCTTTTTTACGGAAGCTGGTCTTCCACGTTTGCGTTTCTCAGGACTCTGAGTGGAAGATAGTCCAGTTTCATTAAGATCCCTTTGCTCATCCATTGTACTACTTGTACTACTGGTAGAAAGTAGCAAAGAGGAATTATTGGACATGGAACGGCTTTTGTTTTTCTTTGGTGGCATTGTAAGACTTTTTGTTCGTTTCACATATTTCCTTTTCACACGAGTGCCTGAGGCTGTAATGTTGTCCTGTCGCCTCTTCAGAGCTAGCAGACTATTGTTGATAGTCTCCTCTGTCAGAATACCAGTTTCACTGGCCACTTTTCTCTGTTTCTCCAAGCCCCCTGTTGCTGGGTCTGTAACACAATCAATCTTTCTCTTTCTTCCCACCTTTTTCCTCTCTGAGGAACCATCCCTTTCAGAACTTACATTTTCTTCTTCTTTCAAATCTGATTCAATTTTTTTCTTTTTGATTCCCAACAATTTATCTTCTTTTGGTGTATCATCAGAAATTTCAGATCCTCTCCTTGATTTTGTGACATATTGCTCAGATGATGTTCCTACAAGCTTCATTCTCATGTATTTCCGCTTTAAGGGAGCAATTCCACGACCCCTTGCAATTGCACGGCCTCTTCTTTTCTGTACTGGAACTGGCCAGGATGGGTCACCTTCAGATCCACTTAATTCACTTTCAGGAACAGAATTATCTGTTGAAGACTGGTCAGTTTCCACATCAAAGCTCTTTGAAGTTCCTCGCCTCCTACCTCGTCCCCTACCAGCTTTAAAACCAAACGAAAAATTCATGCTGCCTGCTTTGTTTGCTTTTGCCTCTGCAATTTGACCATGTGAAAGTTTTTGCCGGCGCACACCATTGTCTAAATTCAAAATTTCTCTGATGGTTTTTGTTCTTCCTTTCTTTTTCTTGTCTTCATTTTCAACAAGTTGTCTTGTTGGGTTTGCTTCTGTGACAGGAGGTTTGCTATGTGTGATTGAAGATTCAATTTTTGGTTGCTCCATGGTGTGCTGATGTACAGACATCTGCGTTGGTATCTGTGTTCGTATTTGAGCAGGTACTTGTATGGGAATCTGCATTGGCATTTGCATTGGTACTGGGATAGCTATTCCCCCAAAAGTCTGAATAAGGTTTATACTACTCGTCTGAGTGGCTGTTTGAGCAGACATTACAGGCCCTGGATGAGGGAGAGCTACCAAAGGAGTAGGGCTTCTTTGACTTATCAATGGTGGATTTACATTAATACTACTGGTACTTATCTGTGGTGCAATTTCAGTATTAGAACCAACAGGAAAGGATTCCAGCTCACTCTTTTTCTTTCTGCCTGGTCCTCGTCTTCTTGGCTCAGCAGGACTATTCCCAAAAGTATCATCTGCAGCTCGAACAGTGGAGCCATCAGGATAAGTTACATACACCTGTTCTTTTGTTTCGGGAATTCTTATAACTTTTTTCCGTTTCCCTGTCTGCCTCTCTGACTCAGAAGACTCATTTGTACCTTTTATGGAAGAATCCAGTTCCTTCTTCTCTATGAATTTCTTTGAAGATGTACTTTTGAAATGTTTGAACATGTCAAATGTGACAAGAGTACAGTCTTTGTACTTAGAAGGGTTCCGTAATGCTGCTTCTGAAGACTTTACCTTGCCTTCAAGACCAATACACATATCCAGATACTTATCTAAAGCCTTGTCCTTTTCATCTTCTGGAGTAAACTCAAAGTTTTCAAATCCACTATGTCTTTTCTTGTTATGAAAATTGAGCGTAGATTTATCTGTGAATTTGCCACCACATAAATTACACAGGTAAGGTTTGTATTCAATGTTAATAGAAGCATGTCTACGTAGGTTAGTTTTGATGGGAGTGTTGTACTTACATCCCTTACACTTGTACGACCTATAGAGTCCAGTGCCTCGACTGTATCGATCTGGAGTGGACAAATTAGAACAATCAGTGCTGACTGAATCTTCCAATATAGAAGTATCAGATATATTCAGCTCAGGATCATCTTTGCTTTCCTCAATCAACAGTCTGTCGCCACTTTCACATTCGTCCTCAGGACTCGGTGCTGGCACTGTTTTTTCATCTGGTGTTGAAAGGTTACTTATGTCATTTGTCGGCTTTGTGACTAAAGACAATGGTTCTATTTGTACATCTGGCATTGTTTGTTCTTGACCTGTAGTATCAGACAGTGTTTTAGGTGAAGTAGCTCTTTGCATTCTACTTTGCTTTGGAGTTTTTACATCATCTTTTAGAATATTATCTTCCTCAGAAGCTTGTGTTTCACAAGCATTATCATCTTCATCGTTTACTGATTGTTTTTTCAAAGTTTTTTCGGTTTCTTCATCAGTCTCCATAACTGATGTTTTGTCATTTTTCACTTCCTCTTTAGTTGGTTTGTTTTTGTCTTCTGTACACAATGTTTCAGATTCAGATTCTATTACTTGATTGACTTCCTCTATTGGACTGCTTCTTTTCTTGTCTTTACAAGTTCCTTCCTGAGTTACAATGTTTTCTAGTTGCTGCGGTGATGATGTTTTCTCTTCCACATCTGTCAAATTTTCAGTGATTTCTCCTTCTGTACCCTCTTTCTGCGATGAAATTTTAGATGTTTCCATTTGTGATGTCACTTCCTGTTCACTTTGTGGTGTCACTTCCAATTTTGTTTGCAATGTTCCTTCCTCTGTTTCCAATGATAATGCCTCTAATGTGTTCTCTTTTTGTACAGATGTCACATCATGTTGTGTTGGTGATGCAACATCGTCTTTTTGTGGTTTTGATGTATCTATCTGTTCATTACTTGTTCCTTTGTTAATAACTGCTGACATGCTTTGCTTAGAGTTTTGATCATTTGAGTCCTTTTCAGTTTTTGTCACATCAGATGAACAGGGACCAGGTTCTTTGAGTTCTTCATTTACATTTTCATCTTCTGTGGTCTTCTCAGGTGTCAATGTAAGTTCACTGCTTTGTTTCAGGTTTTCATCTTTTTTCTGATCTGATTCAGTTTTTCCCTCCTGGTTTTCATGGTTGTTTTCTGTCTCTTTTTCCTTATCTTCGGACTTTGTTTCTTTACTTTCTGTAATAGCACTGCAACCTTGGTCAGTTTCAATGTTTTCAGAGGCTGAAGCATCCGAGACAGGTTCAGTCTCATCTTTGGCATCATCAGCTGTCTTTTCGGCGTTGATACTGGATGTAGCCATACTATTCAGTGCATCAGCAGGTAGATTGGACATCTGGCTCCTTCAATGGTCAACTAAAAAAGTTAACAAAAATATATTTTAATCAGAGTTCCAACACATGCGACATTACACAGTATATAAAGGTTATTTTCTATGGGTTCATTATATTGTTATTTAGGCGGAAGTAATAAATTTGTGAAAATAGATACATTGTAACTTGATAATGAAATCGGTAGAGACAAGTCTACAACTATATGCTCCCTCGAAAACTTTTGGAGAGCAAAAAAATAATAATTGATCGCCTGAATTCCTTCCAAAAATAATGATACATCTCATGCTTTTAGTGATAAAAGAAAAAACTTGAACCATTGGAAAACAACCTTTAGATGCAGTATTCAGGTAACAAATTTTAAATGTGTACATGTAGAATGTACAAGTTATGCCTTCGACATACTGGAGCACTAATTGACAGACTGACTCACACACTCACAACCTAAAAAACCTACAGTTCCTTTTTGTGATAGCTGAATACTGAATAGTACCAGTGGTTTAGTGCAGAAAACTGTATTTTAGACATTTGGATGAGAAAATGGATTTATTTCAATTTCCGTCAAGTATTTTTTTTCCATTCATAAACAGTACATAAATGTAACATTGCTATGTTTTTTGTCTTTATATGAAGCAATGGATTTTATATTCTGGAGCTTCGTCCGAAATCAGTTTCCATGATACATAGGTTGACAGTTGCTGGAACTTAAAGAAAGAAAATGTTTCAATAGAGCCAGGTTGAAGACGAATGTGGAAAAATTTACAGCTTGCTTTCATAATATCACCTGATTACATGCAATATAGAAATTATGTTTATGTTAATTTGTACTTCTGTTTGTTTTATTGTAGTTATACTGTGTCATATTTTGAACATGTGACATCTTTCTAATTGACTTGGACTTTTATCAGAGGATGTTTACTCTTCCAAAACAACCTGTCCATACATCTTTTTTCAAAGGGCTTCTGTATTAATATTTATTAAATGTTCTAACGCTATTTTATTGATTCTGAGTGAAAATTGCAATTTTGTTTACATGTCAATTATGTTTAATTTTTCATTTTATTCACTTATCAAAAAAAATTATTTCCTGTCTAGAATGAAAACAATCTAGGCATATCAACTACCCAAAAGACCCCCCTTTTTTTTTTTACAAAAACACATTAATTGTAACATCACAAAGCAGTTTTTTTTTGTGAAATTATTTGGATTTTAACCAAATTCCCTACTTTCAGGAACACTGATTGATTTTTAAAAAAATCATGGAGAGATTGATACTAACATGTAAGTTTGGCATCTCCAAAATGTTCCTGCAATTTTACAAATTGAATTTTTGTAAACTGGAAAATATTACTCTGTATCATCAATGCATGGCTTAGTTTCTTTTTCTTAATGAAAGAAAATAAACTTGAGTTTGAAGAATCTAAGCTGGAATCAATGAAAAATACCAGCAGAAAAAATGAGTATGTAGAATGTGAATTGGGTCTTCTGCTACAGATCATTTTATATCTGAATTGTCTCATTGAACTGAAAAAATTACCCTTCTGAGACATCTACCTCCTTTTTCTGATGGATTAATCATGTTTTTAAATTATAATCAATAGTTTAGTGTTAGTGATACCAGTCTAGATGTGTCAGAGAGCCATGTGAATGCCTCCATCAGCTACCAATAAGATACTACTTTCTAAATTTGAACATTACCAGATTATCATTGTTCACATAACAAAATATATAACAACAAGTGTAACACTATATGTCCCATGATTGGGCAATAGAAATCTGGATTTTCCCTACAAATACCAAAAGGAATGTATACAATTTATCGACAGACATATCATGATGAGTGTGGATCATTGTAGAGATATAACTTCAAATTCAAGGAGTTAACACTGAATACATTAATTAAATACAGTGTTGACAGAGTAAATATCAGTAAGTACATTTTACATTCATGTGTACCATGAATCTTGCAAGAACAATGAAAGTACAATAAAATAAGATATAATTTCTATGGATTGTCTATTAATTCTGACAGTAAATGAATTTAAGTTATCACAAAATTTTATAGTCGATTGCAAGCATGCCATATACAAATTTAAATTTACATTCAACTGTAGCTATCTTTCAAGAACTGTATCATAATTGTCATGAAAAAATTGTTAAATGTTATCAAATAATGAAAAGTTAAATTACAAAATTTTCATTTCAACTATTACACAAATGTACAATACAGTCCTGCCCTTATTCTGAAAATTGTTCTAAATTATTTATATGTCACAATATACTTAGCTAGTATATACTTACTTCATTCTTGTTTTATTTTCTTCATTTTCTCAAATTTCATTTCAAGTGTCTAATTTCAAAATTTGTTTAATTTGTCATTTGGCTTTGGAACTCATGTGAAAGACAGGAGATATCTTTTTCTTGCTGAGTGCTAAGGCAGAATTCAAACTGTGGTCTCTAGTGTAGTAACATGATATTACAAACTAGGAGAAAAAGAACATACTCTTTCAACTGAGTGACAAATCGTACATATTTAACAGCACTTAATACAAGTCACAACAACCTGCTCCATTTACTCTACACGAATTACATGTTGAGATAGTAATGTTGAAACTGTGTTGAATTATATTGTGTAACTTTAAGTAACAAAATATGCTTGAATAGTTATACAGCAAATATTCATATCAAAATATACCAATTTAAGTTTTAGATTTTACTGGCACTGGGCTGACCATTTGACTAAACATTTTCCTTAATCATCATGGATCATGTGCTTGTTACCACTATTGGTCTGAAAGTCAGGCACTATACATAGGCTTTAATGTCGATGTCACCTTTACATTCATTTATTATTTGTTTGTATAAGTATACAGCAGTACACATCCATTATCCATGCCTTCTTAACCCTTTAGAAAATGCTATTAACATGACTTGGCTGCTGAGATATACATTATGTATATATACAACACAAAACATGATGAATCACCATATAGATATACATTATTTACAGAGTTACCTAGAAATACATACATATGTACATTTTGTAGTTTTTATCAGAAAAATATGTGCAGCTGACAAAGAGATAATTTTTATGTAAATTGAGCACAACTATATCTTCCTATTTCAATATAATTTAAACAATATTCAATTAAGTTCTTAATCCCTTCCCCAACCCCTTTTTTAATACAGGCTATACAGGTTCCCCCCCCCCCTCTCCCCGCCCTCCTATAGAGCCTTTTTATCACATATTGGTAAAGAAATCTATTTATCGAAAAGGAACTTTTAAGGAGTGCACTTATGAAATCATTTTAACTGCGAAGAGGGTATATATATGTATATATATACACGTTATCCTACCGGTATGTATAATTTTTCCACTAAAGAATGCACAATCATCAAAAGACTGCTAAATTATTCACTATTAAATCAAGAATATGGAAGAAGAAAAGGAGTTATTTTAAGATACTCATCTAAATTTCCCTTTGTCCTAGAAATTACTATTAACATGCACACTGTGCTTAGAGATTTGAAAAATCTGTATGTCATACTTTCAATACAATAACATTCATGTTCCAGTATATATCAGCTGTCAATATAAACAAAATCCTGAATAGTAAATTATTCATACATATACATATTAACTAGGTAGACATAGACATCAAGACATTGTTTACGTGTGGTAACTTATATGTGCACATATAATGTTAACACATACTACATAACATGTTGCAGTATATAATACCTACATTGATTACATGCTACATGAATGTAGATTAGCTTACAGCATGTGTAGTTGTTTACTTACCAGTCTGCCTACATATTCCCTGTTATTGTGTACATTATGTAACATTATCAGTCAGTAGAACAACTGTATGATTGGTCTCTTTTGCAGAAATACAACAATAGCTGAAAGTAAGTCAGCATATCAATGAACGTATTGATTGCCTAGGGCAATTGACATAAGGCTGGAAGAAGCCTGCATTGTTATGTTAACTGTTATAGACATCATTTCTAGAACTAATATAATATTTACACTAATCAATATGGCCTGCTTGTGCAGAATGCAGTACAAAGCATTTAATGCTCTATAACATTATGAAGGACATGTAAAGACATACCATGTATCAAATTGCACACCCGATACTTGGTGTTAGCTTTACATGCAAATACATGCACATACGTAATAATGTTTGTAATAACAAACATATGATCACCAATGTGTTTAACACTGGGCCGTTTACCACAAAGCTAAAAATCATCCACCCGAGAACATCGTATCATGTTAACAATCTATAAATACCGTCGTTACATAATATGCATTTAAGAAACTGCTGTGAGTGTATGCATAGTGCAATTATTCTATTATCTAAGTCGAAAATTGTATATCCATGTATCAACGACGCGTAAGGTCATGCCTGATCGCAACTCTATATTGTTTACAAGTAAAATTTGTAAGAGCGGAAGTGGTCAATGACTGAAGTTTATAACCCAGACACACATTTTTATACATGCGGTGTCAAACCACTTTCGGTGTCTCAGCAGAACACTCCAGTGTGATCACCATTATTTCATATTTACCTGATAAAGCCTTGCATAGTTGCTGACGTTCAGAACGTGTTCGCCGACGAGCGTCTCTTCGTGATTGTGTATTGTGATAATTTAAGCACTTTTCTGATCCAGATGAGTTTATGTGCAGCATCAACATAAGGCTCTTTATTCTGACGATGAAAACTCGCAGATGACCCAGAAAGAGGGAGATAACCCAATGTATTTTGGCGGAAATTTTCAATAGGTAGCTGTTAAATCCAACAATTCATTAAAAGATAACATTTGTACATAACCACTTATCACAACGCTCACAAAGATTGGTCATTATGAATAGTACTTAATTATTCATATATTCAAGTATATTCTTCATATTTTTTTCCTTCAAAAAGACACATTATATTAGATACGTATCTGATTATATAGATGATTAAACTTGTTTCAAATTTTCAGCAATGCAATACAATACTTTGCAAATAGTGCAAACAAAAGTGTCCAAGAGACCGTGATAGACATAATATATTTTAGTTTAAAATGTATACAAATTTCCTCGATAACTTGAGAGAGAGAAGTAGTCATAAAAAATGAAGTACACGATGTTAATTCAAAATCAGCCATCTATGACTAAAAAGTACAGAAGCATGTACACTTATCAAAGGTAGATATACTTAGTATAAAATAATATTGATACTTAATATATAATATCGACATGTTAATCATACCTTGCCCCCTCTAACAATTGATAAAGTATGAAAAATCTAGACCAAAAGAAAAAAAAAATAAACTAGACCTTCCGGAAAATACGCTTAGCTTCGTCAACAATCAGCTCGCAATGAAGATCAACGGAACCACTAAATGAAGTAATATGCATCTAACTTCACAAAACGAAATACAACGTAGTAGCTTACCCAGTGAGATCAGGTTGTCAACATTAAAAACTTCATAATTGTTCGTTAATCTAACTCTCGAAACCTGTTAGCTGTTGATCTTTCACTTAAATCACGATATTGGAAGCATATGAGACAGCATATCGAATCAACTATTGCTGAAAAATGTAAACATAACACTATGATGATGATGATGAAGAAAAAGACCGATCTTACGATTGTAAATTTATCCATTAGATAAATGTAACCCAAGAGGAAATAGGCTGGAGGCTGGAAGGATATGGTCACTTTAGGTCACAACATAAAAAAACTTTTCATTAATTACATCAGAGACATATATAATGTAATATATACGTCTCTGATTACATCAAAGCTGAAAGTTCAAAGGTCATAAGTGTCATGGTTTGGGTTGTATGACCCGCCCATCGCCCCACTCCCCCACCCTACCCTACTCTGAACAATTCTTATTAAATACCTTCCATTTCATTTGAAGTTTTACTTATCACTCTATTTGAGTTATTCAAGGTATTGAACATAGAGTGTTGAAATAACATACAAATTTATGACAGGAAATTTGACTGGTTGTTCAGTAATCCAAGGGGAGACAACTCATTTAAGAAGGCAAAGTTACGAAAATTATACATTAATGTATATATTTGTAATACAATAACTTTTTGACGTCTTGAGTTAAATATAGGTATCTGATCTATCTCACAAAAAGAGAGATATTGTTAAACATAAACGATCGTTTTTAAGAATATTTTTTAGGTCATCATTCAATTCCATTCAGAATGATAAACACGCCCCCTCCTGTTTTAGGGCGTTATCTGTTATATGAATTTTAGAATCAAATACTAGTATGAATCGGACATTACAGTAAATTCACTTTCCAAACCAATTCCTCAGAAACCTTTCACTAATACCCTTCACGGATAGAATATTGTTGTTTACCAAAATTAGGAAATTCGTTATTATTTCATCATTCTTACTTACTTCTGAAATCTTGAACTCTGACGTATCGAGCGCGTGATATGATTCTAGTTATATTGAGTACCAGGCGTAGTAAAGACGTCAAATCTTGAGTCCCGGGCATAGTAAAGATTTAAGATCTATGTCGAAGGCATAGAACTGTTGCCCAATCTACGAACCACGTCATAGTAAAAGTGTCAAATATTGTTTCCTTGAAATCGTAAAGACGCATTATCTTTAGTCCCAAACATACTAAAGACGCCAAATCCTCAGGCCCAGACTGATATAAAAAAATTTGGAAATTTCATTATGGTCAATTACATATGTAATTCATTTGCTTGGTTGTTGTAACATCATTCTATGTTCTTAATTTTCAAGTCCAATGCAATGAAGCACGCCCACATAATTAAAACTTCTTTAGTAAAGTGATAAAAATAAATAAATAAATAAATAAATAAATAAATAAATAAATAAATAAATAAATAAATAAATAAATAAATAAAACATTAAAATAAACTCCAGCGATTGTTGATATTCACATTCGGTGAACTATTATGTTTTGGTTATAACTTTGCCGCTATGTGGAGATGTCGTTTATATTTTATTATTAATTTCCTTAATTGCGTATAAAATCCTTTACTTCATATCTGATTAATATAAGTTATCAATTGTACTTTAATCAGAAAACAACTTAACTATTTACTATATATAAACAGTAGTCGGTCTTATTGCCTCCACGACACACGTACATTGATGTTGTGTTTACCTATAAAATGACACAACTAATTTTTAACTCAATTTTGTCAAAGTTATATCAATGTGTTGGAAAGTTACTATACTTGAGAGTCAGTGACATACATTTGGAGATATATTTATAAAAATGCATTTATTTCACACTGAAGTTGTCAAAATAATCGTTTTGTTAAAAATTTGGTAAGACTATGAAGAAGATTCATGTGTAAGTTTCAACTTAAAAAAATGGCACAACTAATTTTCATCTAAATATTTTAAAAGATGATATGTTTGTAACTAAGAAGTGTAAAATTTACTGATCCGAGGTATACATTTTGGAATGTTTATTTACAAAACGATATATTTGTATTTTTCTGAAATGCTGTTATAATTTCTATAGCAAAAAAAGACTTTACGAATGAAATTGACGAATTTCATATCTTAGATACAAAAAGAAACTGAAGATTAATTTGACCACATGATTATTTAGGCGTATATTGCAGAAAAGTGACATTTTCATGTCCAAAATTCATTTTGACGTCGCATGGGTTATATAACATATGAGTAATATAACTCGTATATTAACTGTTAGTAATAAAAGTGGAAATCATCTATTTCACCGTTGTTGTATATTTGTATGCTGATAGGTTTGATAACAGTCTGAACCACAGGGCATTTATTTTTACGGATATATATGATGAAATTATAAAAACGTTTTGAAAAACTAATAAAGAAAAAACAATTACTTTTAACAAATTGATTTATAAGTTTCAGTTATGGAAGTTTACAAGGAAACAGTCACTTTTAAAAAAATATTTAAAAAAATTCACAAATATAAATGACCTGATATCACATCCTAATTTTTTTTCACAAGTTGTGTAAATATCAAATAATCCTTTTATACCCTGCTCAGTTGTGTAAGTTAACAAAGCTTCTAACTGTGTTTTTTGTGTGTATATCGTCAAAAATGTCTGATGAAATACTCTTCCGTCTTAAGAAAGAACGTAATTGAAACTACGTCGCAAAGTAAAACTTTATCATTCATATATTTAGACACGGGGTTCTTTACACGAGTTGTCTCCCTTCTCCCGTAACCGGTCATCGATAAGAATAGAAGTAACGTGATTGGTCAGATGAAAGTTCACACCCCACCTGCCGGCCTGCAGGATCTTGCTCAACATTGAGAAACTCAGAACTGTGCTGACGCAGCTTGAAGAACAGGTAAGCGTTAATTTGATTGGTTTTAAACACGTAAATCGAGGTGTTTCAACGAAGCTTATATTGTTTATGAAAGTAAATACATTTCTTGTTAATGACAGTCTGTGATTATGTTTGGAAAATCGTTTGTAAAATGTGCAAAGTGCATAGTTTACTTCCGCTTTATCGATCGGACGGACATGTTTATTGACGTAAACTTGGAAACGCATCAACATTACAGCAGTAATTATACAATGTCAGCAATTATCGTGAACGTGTTATGATTAATTGTTATTTAACTATTGTGGCAAATTATTAAATGATAGAATTTATCACCGGTTGGTGTGGCTGCATTAAAATATAGTTACAGTTACTGCGCACAACGCCAGTGGCATACATACAGGTAATTTTTGTTGCCAAACCTTCCCCCCCCCCCCCCCCCCCCCAAGTAGACAAAATATATCAATGACTTGATAGCACAACCATTTAGAATGCTTTGGTACCAACATATGAAATAATTTTATTGTGTATTTTATCGCGACTCTCGCTTTATTGGTAATCTGAATCGCATGTACATTCTTGTTGGGGTAGTTTTGTTTGACGTCATTAACTCTATCATGGCTATATTTAAACATGGGTATGTCCCAAGTTCGCATTAACTACACACAAACATTTTGAGTGACAGGTAAGCATTTACAGTGATTTCGAAGTAGTTGTGCAATGTCCTAGTGGTGTATAATACATTTACCTCAGATGTAAAAGGTTGAGTGCTGACAAAGCATGTTCATGTCAGCACAATTTATCCTTTAAAACCAAGTCTTTTTCCAAAATTAAAGTCAGTACAATATAGGGACATGTGCTGAAGTACAACATGCCTTGATTGAAGACATCACTATCTGCTTTCCCTAGACTTTCTTTAGTCTTACTGTTGGTGCTGATTATTTTTTGGCTGGTCACTGGTATATTGTAAGTAAGATTTAATTTTCAGTCAATGTCATGTTCATTTTAAATTGTGCAAAAGGACACACTGGTTTAGAGAGGATTTTAAGACTTAGCAGTTATAGTGTTAATAGTATTGTAGTATTTTAAGGCATTGGGTTATAATGTCCTTATTCTAAACCATGCTCTTCTTCTCATTCTTAACCACTTTAGAAAGTCTGGCAATGCATATTTCATAGTGTGTAATAACCCAGATACCTGCATATTATTCTTAATGATGATTCAGTCTGAGCTTTAATGTTGTTTGTGTGATTGTATCTGAAGGAAGAATGAGAGGTAATTGCCAAAAGTGTGTCTAGTGCACTGCTATATGATATGATATATACTCTAGTAATGCACAGTTAAATTGTGTTAATTAGATGTCAGGTAATTTATAGCAATTAATCCAGTATAAATAAACATAAGGAAATTATATAATTAATATCCAAACTCCAGTATATTAGACCCCAGGAAGATATAGCAGCTAATATATTGTCTTTTCAACTGGAAAAGAGGAAACATTTGCTAGAAAATATTTCATTGTATACAAAAAATCAATATATTGAAAGTAATTATTACCATGCTTATTACAGTACAATTGTAGATTAGTTTGTATATAAATGGATATTGCTATTTAAAAGCACAAGGAAGTATTTTATATGTAATTAATAGGGCCTATTTATTTGTACACGGTTGTTATCAATTTCCTTATACACATATTTATGTAATACAAAACATCCTGCATTGACAAGATTTCAATTCCTTGTGATGTTATCAGATAACAGGTTGTAATTTTCTCAAGTGTAATGTATTTAGGATGAGAAAGTTTTTCCTTATGTAACTTACTTAGCTTTTACAGGATAATTTTCTATACTTTTCTTCCTTTCTTTTTTGGTCATTTTTGGGATGTTAATATGTAACATGTCTGAATTCAGATTTTATCAGACTGGTAAATGTGGTCGGACAGGTGTGACAGTTTTCATTCACGTAGACTAAGTAGGAAGGTAATTCATGCACTTTATCCAGTGAAATTTGTTACAGCATGTGAAACCAAATGCAAATGGAAATTCAAACATTTATGAAAGTTTGACCTGCCCCTATTAACATCTTGAAAAAATGGAGACAGAAAACACTCCTACACATAATGTTTAATTAAATTTAACTTTAGTTAGAAGTTACTATGCCACAGTAGTTTTTGCTCATGTGGAACTTGAGTTTTTGATTTCATAAGATTTTAATGTCAAATGCTGGAAGTTTTGTCAGGAGTAAAAAGTTGTGCATTACGAGTGGTAAATGATAAACCCTATCATGTATATTTAACTGATGTATTACAGAAAAGCCCTGGATAAGAATTTATGAAACAAAGTGGTCTTAGCCAAATACTGACATTCAGAAAGTGGCCTTAGCCAAATACTGACATTCAGAAAGTGGCCTTAGCCAAATACTGACATTCAGAGAGTGGCCTTAGCCAAATACTGACATTCAGAGAGTGGCCTTAGCCAAATACTGACATTCAGAGAGTGGCCTTAGCCAAATACTGACATTCAGCGAGTGGCCTTAGCCAAATACTGACATTCAGAGAGTGGCCTTAGCCAAATACTGACATTCAGAGAGTGGCATTAGCCAAATACTGACATTCAGCGAGTGGCCTTAGCCAAATACTGACATTCAGAGAGTGGCCTTAGCCAAATACTGACATTCAGAAAGTGGCCTTAGCCACATGCCAAGTGACCAAATAATCTTTGATTATTTGGATTTGCTTATTAATTACATGACAGACAAAATAGCATTTGTTGGCAGAGCAGGGAAAAAAATAAAAAAAACCATTATGTATTGGCCAATCACCAGATAATATTTCATCTGATGAAATACATAGTGCCATTTTAAGACAAACCTTTTAATTGAATGTGAATAACATGTTAATGTAAAAAACGTTTTTGTCTACTATTAGGAGAAAGAGTGTGGTGGTAATACATAACAATAGTGAGATTCATTCTTGCTTCGTCATCAACATTTATTGGCAATCACTTTACCTATCACAGTATCAGGGTAACCTGTATGTAGTGTACTTAGTATTTAATCTGAATTACCTGAACAAGTTGGCACAAATCCAGGTGTGTTATTTATCTGGATATGAGCTGGCCATGGATATTTAATTTCTTCTGTACTTTACGTTCAGCTTACAATAATAGACTACGTAGCTAGTGTGAGCTATATGTTAGCTAATTTAAAAACTTGAAAGAGTTTATTTTTGTCCTGACGTCACTAGTATGTAATCTTGTCTTTTGGTCTGAATTATTCTGTTTCATATGTTATCTATGTATAAATATAGATTTAAAACGAAAATTTCAAAACCAAACCATGTATAATCTTTTAACTGGTGTGAAAACCAATAGTTCACGTGAAATTTGGGTCAGTGATACCTAATTCTGTAGTCTAGAATATATTGATTGCTGTAGAACCTTGGCCTATTTTACAATAGTGTATGCAGTATTATATCAACAAGACAAGCTTTTATGACTGATCAAACATTTAATTAGTGAGACATTCAGTGAGATATTGGAACAAGAAAAAACTAGTCAGATATGGTGGTTAAAAAACAGAGAGACTTTTTAGGCATGCTCATAAGGCCCTGCTAGTTAAGCTGGTATTTTCTCAAGATGTTCTTTGATATGTTTGAAATCATGCTTGACTTTGTTAGAGTTAAAGAAAATCTTTCATATCATAATTAAATGCTATGATCATGTAATATTGTATAGTGTACTGGTAAGAAACAGATTTGTAAAGACTGCACAACTATAGGGTGTGACAAATTTCAATATGTTTGCCTGGTGCCAATATGTCTATTTTTGAGGGAATAATATTTCTGCGAGTATTGAATGTATTAGATGTAATTATGAAACAACAAAAATTAAAGATAATTTTTTTGTGAGTTTTTACACAGGTTTGATGGATACAAGGAAGTGTTTTCAATTTATAAGGCTGATTTACGTTATTTAGATTACAAGAGTTGTATCCCCTTTATTATAGTTGACAACTCAATTTCATAGACACCAACAATGTACTGAAATAATGACTTCCTCCAATTGTCTTCACCATTAAAATTTCTAAAATTACAAAAAAATTTAACTACTGCAGATTCAACCCGCAATAAAAGTTATTTTGGCAAAGTGCATAAAACAATGCAGAATATTCATTATTTTGCATGGTAGCCAATCAGATTGTCTATTTGATGTAACTAAGTCCAAGGCATATTTTTATAGATGGGATTCTTTTTCAGTATTTGATAAAATTTTTGAGGAATAAAATACTATTACTTTTTTAATAATTTCTATTCGGGTGATAAATAAGAGTGATGGTAAATTTTGATCAGTGTTTTTAGTATATACAGTCAGAGAATCCATCATAAAATAAGTTCCAGGTAATCTTACAATAACTGATGAAAATACCATTTCTGTTACAGATAACTGATCATAATGTCCGTCTCACGTCGTGGAGGGGAGGAGCTGTCCCTATTCAGGATTCCTCCCTACTTTTACCTTCATGTCCTTGACCAGAATCTTAATGTGACCCGTCTGGAGATTGGTCCCCAGACATACATCCGACAGGATAATGAGAGGTGAGACTCAGTACTTAGCACACAGGATAAGGGGGTTATAATGACAATGAACTTCACTGGTCAGGGGTTTAATCAATTAATTTAAGAAATTTGAAGGAAAATTGTTAACTCCTGTAATATTAAATGGTTTGATGTTGTCTCACAAAATAAATTATGATCTTTATATAGATATCTGATATAAAAGACCATTAAAACATTAAAAAGAAACTCCATTTGAGTGAAAGATTTTCTTTGATAAATTAATGACTAATTCGTAATGGAGTCAGTGCTTACTAACCAAAAAAATGATATGAAAAACCCCTGCTTGTTTTTCTTATGTTTATTTCCTTTTTGTGACAGTTGTGGCTGATTTTCTAGGGATAATTAAGAAAATTAAGTGACATAGATAAGAATATTAGTTTGGGGTAAATCATTTTAGTCGTGTTTTTGTTCGTTTTTCTGTAAAACTGTTGAACCTTTGTTATGATTGAACTGGAAGTGTATACGATGATGTTTGTTTACAGAGTTGTGTTTGGCCCTGAAAAGATGATCACAGTGCCTCCAAGGCATTACTGTGTCATCGAGAACCCCCATGTCCGAGACAAGGACAATAAGGTTGTGCTGGACAACAGCGGTCAAGCCAAACTCCTCCATGCTGACCAGGAGATCCGTTTAGCACAGGACCCTTTCCCTCTATACCCAGGCGAGGTCTTGAAACAGGTAAAAAAAGTCATGATTATACAACTTGTTTAGAGCATACTCTGTAATTCAAGTTATGCATGCTTTTATATATTATGTACTGGGGAATAGTGAATGTGAAAAATGTAATGACTATAAGTTTTGTATTTTAATGTAAAAATTTATTTCTCAAGGTTGTGACACCCCTGAAAGTTGTAAATGCCAACTCTGCTCTGCGCTTGAGAGCAATTCTTGACTTTGAAGAAGATATCAAGCGAACAGCTGGCGATGAGTGGCTGTTTGAGGGACCCGGGACCTATATCCCACGCAAGGAGGTGGTGATTGATGAGACAATTCGTGCCACAGTAATCCGTCCTAATCAGGCTATTCGTCTTCGGGCACGTAAGGAAACAATTGACCGACAGGGCTCTCCCCGAGTGACTGGTGAGGAATGGCTGGTTAAAAAGACTGGAGCTTATCTCCCTGGGGCATACGAGGAGGTGGTTGATATTGTCAATGCTTTCGTCCTCACAGACAAGGTATGATAAGAATTTGTTTAGGACTAAGTAGAATGGGTAGTTTTTGAACGTAGTCTCTGTTAATAGCTAGTAGACTCTAATGTTGATGTCTATATGAATAGATTGATCTCTACACATATTCTGTTGTTAGGGTGATGGGACTACATGGTAAAATTTAATATTAGGATTTATTTTTCAGTGATTCATTTTTTTCACCAGTTCAACCTATTATATAAGAAAATATATTTTTCTATTGACAAATGTATTTAACCAGTAGGGAATGAATATCTTCCTGGAAGAATATAAGTTTCCTATATGAAAAGCATCACATCTTCATCAGAAATGCTATAATACAATATATTGATGGCATATGTAGAAAAAAATATTTTTTTACTTGTTTTAAAAAAAAAAATTAAATCTGTAATTAATTCAGTTTCTACTGTTGGCGATGTGATATGATATTTTGTTGAAGCTGTAATCAACTGTATATTCTAATTCAGTAAATCATAAACTTGTTTTGTTGTATTTATAGAAAGCTCTTCACATGAGGTCCCTTAGAACATTTAAGGATGACTTTGGTGTGGTGAGGAAGAATGGAGAGGAATGGCTTATAACGATGACGGAGACAGAAACACATATCCCCAATGTTTACGAGGAGGTCAGTATCAAAATCTTAAACATAATTGTCAGGATGAATCATTGCTTGTTATTATTAGTGTTTTTAGTGAACATTTCCAGAAATGTATAATAAGATTTTTTTTGTATTTTATATTGTAATATTGATTTGTAAGAAAATTAACTGTTTCTTTGGTAACAGGTTGTGGGTGTGGTCTCCATCACGACCTTGACTTCTCGTCAGTATTGTGTTATCTTGGATCCTTGTGATGAATCTGGGCGACCACAACTTGGACGCAAGAAGCTGGTCAAGGTTAGTGGTTAAGGTCATGGACATTGTCTAGTCATCATGGGATTTGAACGAAAATAGAATGTAAAATACAATGTATGATAGCTGTGAGGATTTTTTTTTCTGTCAAAAAAATGGCGTTATGATTCCAAATTGTCTGCAGCATTTAATCATATTTTATAAAACAAATTTTTGTCAAAGTTTTCTGAACCATAACAATCTTAAAACAGGATCATTTTAGACCAAAAAGAATAAAGGACAAAAAATTGTGTTTGAATTATCAAAGTAAGCTTAAGGTTCAATATACAAACAAAACAAATCTATACAAACAAAACAAATCCTTTAAGTTTATTTATATTTGAGCATAGAATTGAAAAAAAAAAGAAAATAAACTTCTTTGTTGAATTTTGATGATTAAGCCAGGACAATTGACATAATTTTTCATTTGTTCATGTTCTTAAAATTTTGATTGCCAATTTAGGGAGAGAAATCCTTCTTCCTTCTTCCTGGTGAGCGACTGGAGCGAGGCATACAGAACATATATGTCCTTGGTGAGGAGGAAGGTCTTATTCTCAAGGCCACAGAAACATTCAAGGATGAAGATGCCGAAGAAGACCGTCGTCCCGGAGACCGATGGATGATCCGTGGACCCAAGGAGTATGTACCACCAACTGAGGTAGAGGTTGTGCTCAAGAGACGTGCAATTCCATTAGATGAAAATGAGGGTATCTACGTCAGGGACATCAAATCTGGAAAGGTAATTGATCAAAATTGGGAATTTTTCTGCAGGTTTTTGGAGAAGATTAGGGAAAATGTCTTTACACAGATTATGTCTTGTCTGGTAAGCTAACAGATAAATATTGGAGGGGCATAAGTGACTGGTGGGAATGATTCATCTGAAGTTGGTATTGAAGAGATATGTATATGTTTCCATTCTCAAGACCATGGGATCCATATTTATCAAAGTAGTAATAGCTCAGGACATTCATACTTTGTCAGTTATTGATTTTGAAATCAGAGTTTTTGAAATTAGCTCACACAATTCAGTATGTTTTCTAGCATGGGCAAAATGTATTATGAAAACTCAAATTTTGGGTCTGATTTTATCAGTCACTTGAATAGAATACTTCAATTTGAAGGAGATTCATTCCTTTTATTTGTATTTTAGGAAGTCTGTTAGTAAGAAACTGTTCGATTTGTCTTGTTTTAGGTTCGTGCCGTTACAGCTGAGACATATATGTTGAGTCATGATGAGGAACTCTGGGAGAAGGAACTTCCTCCTGCAGTGGAGACACTCTTAGCCCAAGGCAAGGATCCTCTGGCTGATCGGGGTACAAGGGGACAAAGTACAGAGTCCTCAAAGGCTCGTGACAAAACTAGGGTTGTCACCTTCCGTGTACCACACAATGCAGCAGTACAGATTTATGATTACAAGGAGAAGAAAGCAAGGGTTGTGTTTGGACCAGAACTGGTCATGCTTGGTCCTGATGAACAATTTACACAGCTCAGTCTGTCTGGTGGCAAACCAAAGAAACCTAATTCTATTAAATCTCTCTGCCTCTTGCTCGGTCCAGACTTTATGACTGATATCATCGTTGTGGAAACAGCTGATCACGCTCGACTCAGCCTCCAGTTATCCTACAATTGGCACTTTGAGATCAAGGACAAGTTGCAGGTTTCCGAATCCCACAAGATCTTCAGTGTACCTGATTTTGTTGGTGATGCCTGCAAAGCAATTGCATCCAGGGTGCGAGGAGCTGTGGCTCAAGTACAGTTTGATGACTTCCACAAGGTGATTATCAAGGACAGTTATTTTTGCTCGGATATAACAATGACTATTATTTGATGAACGTATGAAGAATTCTAATTTGACAAAGATATCATGGTTCATATTCTTAAATTAACTAACCATTAGAGAACTCATAGAAATGTTAAACTGAATTGAATTGACGACTACTGGTAAAGTAAGATCTTCTGTTATGATGCCGACTTACTGTAAAATCATATATATTGATGAGGTTCAGTTATCATGCTTTTCCACAAAATTGTTATTTTGAGGATATTTGATTTCGTGGATAATCCACGAAATCAGTGAAAATAAATCCCTCACAGAAGTAAATGATTTCACAGTAATGGGCTTTAAAAATGGTCTTATCAACAAATTACAATGATTTTACTGCCAATGTTTTAGCAACACTTCATGGGAGAAGTTGTATATTCTAAATTTTCTGGTGTCAAAATATAACATATATATATGTATAGTAGCTTTTGATAGATGTATATCATTCATTAATCTTTTTATCAATTAAAAATTGTCTTCATGTGAGTAAAACATTGTGTTGTATTTATCATAACTTGCTTTGATAAGTTAATATTTGTTCCATCTAATGAATGAATTAAGTATCTGTAATTAATTTATTTGTTTCATTTTCTTTTAGAACTCGGCCAGGATTATCCGATCTTCTGTTTTTGGTTTCGATGAGAAAGATAAAGTGCGGGACCAGTTTGTTTTTAATCAGAATTGTTTGATGATTACCAGCATTGATATCCAGTCAGTAGAACCAGTGGACCAGAGGACTCGAGATGCTCTCCAAAAATCTGTCCAGCTCGCCATCGAGATCACCACCAACTCCCAGGAGGCTACAGCTAGACACGAAGCTGAACGTCTCGAACAGGAAGCTAAGGGTCGCTTAGAGCGCCAAAAGATCAGTGACGAGGCTGAGGCTGAAAAGTCACGTAAGGAGCTGCTGGAACTGCAGGCCAACAGTGCAGCTGTGGAAAGTACTGGTCAGGCCAAGGCAGAAGCCCAGTCTCGTGCTGAGGCTTCAAGGATCGAAGGAGAGGCAGCTGTTGAGCAGGCAAAACTCAAGGCTATGGCTATGAAGATTGAAGCTGTAAGTGTTTATTGTGGTCAACAACTTGTCTTATCATAACTAAAGCATATAGTTTCACATGTTACTTCTTTTGTAAAACAAGACATGATGTACATTCTAGCAGATATACATATTTACAAGCTGTTTTGGGGGAAAAAACACGAAAAAGGTTTACTTTTTTAAAGGTTCAGTTTTTGTATGCAATTCTTTATAGGTTAACTCATTACAGTCACATTAAGCATAAAATCTTCTTTTGTTTAGCTGCCTATAGCGAACAAAATTATTCATAGATCAAGTAAATTTCATGCCAATCGCATTCACTTCTGTGTTTGTAATTTGTAGGAGTCTGATCTGGAAAGACTGACCAGTGCCAGGGAAGCAGAATTGAAATATATTCGGGAGCAGAATGACATGGAACTCAACAAATCCAAGGAAATGTCCCTCATCGAAACTGAGAAGTTCAAGAACATGGTGGATGCTATCGGAGCTAGCACACTCCAGTCCATTGCAGTCTCTGGTCCAGAGATGCAGGTCAAGATGTTGACCGCTCTAGGGTTGAAGTCTACACTCATTACAGATGGCAGCAGTCCAATCAACCTTTTCAATACTGCCAACGGACTTGTTGGTGGCCAGCTGCTTCCTGCTAAAAGGCGTCATGCTCCAGGTGACTCTGATGAGGAGGATTAAAGGGCAGATAACTAAAAGAGTACTCTCCCTTTACACTGTTTGTTTTCTTGGCCAATTGTTATTGGTCATATTTCTGTTACACACTGCAATCAAAATTTGATGGTCGGATGAAACACATCTTCTGGTCATTGAAAACAAATTATTTATTATGGACAGACATTTCTACCCCAGACAACTTGGACCAAAATGAGAATGAGGTTTTAAAGGCATGGTTATGTGTTATAAGATATTTTGTAATAGTGAAGTTTCTGTGCAAGATTTCAGATTAAATTATCATAACCAAGTATGGTACATAACAACCAATTAATGTTTAATTGACCAATATATATTCAATTGTGGTTAAAAAGTTAAATGCTTGTTATTTAGCAAAGAATTTTTTTGTACTTGTTCATGCATAATTCATTGTATTCTGCCTTAAATCTTGTTTAAGAAAAAAAGTATCTCTTCCATTGCATGCAAATTGGTAAATTTCAACTCTGCATTTAAAACTTTCATTATGAACATGACATCTGTGTTATTTTATTATATTATCATTCATATTTTTCATCTAGATTTCTATCTAAGTGTCAACTGGTATATTAAAGTTTATACAAGTGCAATTACAACTGTGAGATGAAAGCATGTGTGATGACCTAGACTTTAATTTGTATTCTTTGTTTGGACAAATGTGTTTGAAATAGATGCTTACACTTCAGCTGCACAACTTCAACATAAGTTGACAAACCACGAAAAAAACTAATATGATGTACACAGCAATATGAAATTCACCAATAGTCAACTCTTGTCATGTTTGTGCAGCTGTATAGTGAAATAGTGATAACCTAGTGTTTAATTGCATTTTCATTAATTAAGAAAAAAGTGCTTGGTACAGAACAAATATACATACCAAGTACTAGCTGGATTTTAAGGAGTCAGACTGCTTTCACATTGATATACTGTATTAATATTGTATGAATTTGTTTGGAGTATATTGTGAGTAGTGTCTGTAAAGACAGTGCTCACAGGTGTTTGTTGTTTTTTGTGGGTTGAAGTTATTTCTGTTTTATAACTAATTTTGTACCAATTTAGACTATTGTCCTTTCTCTGTGATAGACTCAGTGCACCTCTTTCTAACATAATATATATTCTAATAAAATATATATGTATAGTGACAATATTTAATTATGCAACATGTCTGTTTACAATCCGACGGCGAGTGAAATGGATATCATGTTGACAAATAGAATTTTGTTTTTGTGAATCTTATTAAAAACTTATATGAAATACCTTCTTCATTGTTTTTATAGAATGCCATTTGAAGATGGTAGTAGTTTTTTTCAGATTGTCTATTGTTTGTTGTCTTACTATTTGATGACAGATATTCAAGGCTTTTTTACTGGTTTCAGATGGGGCATTTTTACCTTATTTTAGAAGAAAATTTGTGAATTCGCAAGGAAATTTCGAATTTGGAGAATTTAGCTTGAATGTGGAGTAATTTCAACTGGGAATGAGGCCCATTGTCAGCCCAAAAAGGATCTCAAAAAGTCCTAATATTTGTCCAAAAACTGTTTTGTACACAGGATTCCTTTGACTCCTGAAGAATAATGTCTACATTCCTATCTTGTAAAATTTTACTAAACATCACAAGACAGGTTTATTTTTAACTTCTGATGGTAGTGAAGATTTGCCATGAAAAAAACCCCGCTGACATTGGAATACAAATCAAATTTCAACCTCAGCTGTCATTTGAATAAAGGAAACTAAGTCGGTACTTATCCCTAAATGATAGGTCTAATGGGCCTGAATTGTTCACCTGTTCTGCAGCTTGAAAATGGTACTGTAAACCATATGATTCATGCAAGGTGCAATTTTACATACGTGAGTCATTCACCTGCGTAAAATTTACCCCATGTGGATGATTTTGTGATTTACCTGTGTATGGTACATGTACTTGTGAAACGGGTATGTAAAATGAACATCGTAATTTATTAAAGATATGGATATCAAACCGCTGTGTAACTGATATACCACAACTACACCCACTTATACTCTTATCAATATACATGTTATTATGAACACTATACAAATAAACATTGTGATAAGATCACTGAAGCTGATAAATGAAAGTTAATAACCTGTGTACTCCCAAGTTTGTGTAGACAAAGTAACATCAGACAAAACATTTTATTAACATTATCATGGATGGTATAATAACAGGGTATTATAATTAGACACTAACTGATATGAAAGATGTTACACGATAGATATGGTCTATATATTTACCAGTGTGAATTGACCATATTAAACAATCCAGTCACACATGGGAAAACAACACGTCCATCAGAACCATGCAGATATACTTGAAACAAATACCCATGATTTGTGTTCCTGTTTTGTTGAAATCAAGAAAGCATCATGATGGAGACATGGCCATAGGTCAGTTATAGAAGTCTGTGATGTACAGTGTGCAGATTGCCTGTTGAAATTGGGAAATCTATTCACACTTACAGTACTTAGTTCAAGAACTTCATTTCTGCACACTTGAAAGCCTGGTTCCCCAGCATACTATAGTATCACACCAATACCATGACCAAGGGCCTATTGTATCTTGAAAAGAAGAAGTTTGAACTTCTTAACACATTTGACCTCTGTGTCCTTGAAAAGTCAAGGTCATTTTTTTTAATCAACTTGGAAGCTCTTCACTCCAGTATGCTTATGGCTTAGTGTCACAACCCTTGGCTTCTTTTTTTATGCAGTTGTTTAAAAGATTTTGACCCATTTGAGTAGGTCAAGGTTATTCATATAAACAAACTTGTAAGCTCTTTATCTCCATCTTCTGCTGACTCATAGTCAGGACATTAGGGCCTGTTGGTTATTGAAAAGTTTTGTGAAGGGAAAAATTGACACAACAGACAACTCATCTTGGGAGAGGTTATATTTGCTGTTTGAGCTGATGAGCTAACAATCAGTTAAGGCTTCCATTATTCAACAGGAAATCATAATAAAAATATGTATTCACCATTCAAACTCAACAGGTTTTAAACATACAAGATGACAAAAAACGTTTGAAATTCAGTCTTTATTTGTGAAAAATTATATTTGACATCAAATACCACTGCATGACCTATATTATCGTGACTATAACAATGAAAACAAAAATAATGGTATATGAACTGTGTTTGTATGGGAATGATGTAGTATACAAGGTTAGAGTTAGAATATGTCGGTAAGAGAGGATTGGGAAACAAGCTTGGGATGAATTAATTGATTGGTTAAAGCTTTTCTGATAAAAAATTCCAAATGTGAAAATTTTTACGTTATTGGCATATGTAGTTTAATATATAAATAACCAACGATGACAGATCAGAACTTTGTACATCACTTTTGACCTGGTAAGGTGTACAAGTACAGTTGGGTATCTGGATAATCAAGCTGTGGTGACCGATCTTCTGAGCTATAAAACTTCAGTTAAGTAAATTTTATGATTAATGAATTATATAAGAAGATAGGAATGTGGCAAATATTAATATATGTGGGACCAGAATGCATTCAAGCTTCATTTCAGAAAATAATTTTACAACTGTTAGAATAAATAGCAGTAACCACATGTTTGATCCCCGATTGAAACGGTGGATCACATAATACTGGTTCTATTACATATCTAATAGAAATTCTCTCTTAAAATATCTAAGGTAGGTATAATTTGCACTTCCAAATAGAATTTATTATTGTTTGGTTCCTTTTTCTCATTAAGGCCTCTCTGCATTTAGATTTTATATTGATTATCAGGAGGACTGAAAAATATTCATACTGTGCTTTGTGAAGACAGGACCTTTCATTCATTAAAATTCATTAAGGATTTGTAACAGAACTAGTCTGGGGAGATCGATACTAGTCTGGGGGATTGCTATCACTGTTCTTGATGTCATAATGTGAAGCATGGAACAAAATAGTTGGTATATCACACGGGACCCTTTCTAGAGGGATGAAAACTTGTTAAGGATAGGACACAGGACCCAGTCTGGAGAGTTTAAAATTTAAGAATAGGGCACAGGTCCTTGTCTGGAGGGGTGAAAACTTGTGAATGTTAGGGTACAGAACCTGTTTAGAAGGATGAAAACTTGTTAAGGATAGGACACAGGACCCTGTCTGGAGAGTTTAAAATTTAAGAATAGGGCACAGGTCCTTGTCTGGAGGGGTGAAAACTTGTAAATGTTAGGGTACAGAACCTGTTTAGAAGGATGAAAACTTGTTAAAGGATAGGACACTTGACCAGTCTGGAGGGATAAAAAGTTGTTAAGGGCACAGAACTAGTCTGGAGAAATTGACACTATACTTGATGTCACAATGTTAAACATGGAACTAGAGAGTAGGAATATCACACCATAAAATACAAGTAAATCTCACACCGGAGGGAACACTGATGATATATATAGTCCTTACACACAGGACAAACATGTTGAGACTAAACACATTGTGTCTACACAATATTTGTTATTGTCTATAATACATGATTGGCACAATCACAGAAAAAAAGAAAAAAAAAAAACCATGACAAATTCATTGCACTTATGATAACAATTAGTCTGTGTAAAACTGTACTCTATATTACTAATGTTTCTCAGTTCAAAATAATGATATTATTAGTTCAAAAGATTGACACAGGTATACAGAATTCTTACCAAGTAATATTGTACATCGGTTATGTCCCTTGTCTACAATACTGTACATGGGTTACATCCCTTGTCTACAATATTGCACATGGGTTACTTCCCTTGTCTACAATATTGTACATGGGTTATGTCCCTTGTTTACAATATTGTACATGTAAAGATTCCTAAAGAAATATTGTACATGGGTTTTGTCCATGTTCTACAGTAATATATTATTATTATTATCGTACATGGGTTAAGTCCCTTGTCTTCTCTTACATTGTACATGGGTTGTATTTGGAATTATACTAAACATTGGTATTATCACTTGTGAAGTTCAAAAATAACAGGCGAGCTCAATCACTGACCACTAACTATAGTCACACTGTTTCATACAATGTGGTTACTTATGCCAATAAACACCAACCAATCACAGCTGTGTGGCCAAATAATGATGCACGCACAGACAGTCTGGTTGCTTTCGTCCAACCAAAGAGAAACTCGACCAGAGTTTGTGATTGAACTTGCCCATTGAACAAGGTTTTTAACAATTGTATACTCTAATATTGAGCATGGGTTATGCCCCTTGTTTAGAGAGGTAAATCTTGAATAACAAGCCTGATTTGTACATATACAAGCGGTCCTTCAGTACTGTACAAGGTTGGCTTCCCTCATGTCTTAATGTCTTCTGTGATTAAATTTGAGGAATGTTGTCAAATGCAGTAAGAAGTCCTGGAATGACTTTAAAAGCCGAGTCAAATTAGGCAAGGTTTGAGACATTTGTAACTTGAACATATTTCATTCATAATATCAAAATTGAGAAACGAGATAAAGCAGGATTAGATTCAAGAACATGGACATACATGTTTACTATATGGATGAACATACAATACTTACTATCATTAATGTAAAAAACAAATTTCTCAACAATAAGTTTGTTGAATACCATTTGAGAATTTTATGTCATGCAATTATGAGACTATCATTAACAGTTATAATAATAATTAAAAACCATTATTATCACAAAATAACTATTTACTAACTGAGATACTATGGTACCACACTGAATATTACATTCATATTGGGACTTGGTATACTCCAATATTTCAGGACTTGTCAACTTTCCTTTTCACTGAAATAATCATAATCCCAGTTCCTCAAAATAAGGTAACTTGGGAATAAAAAAAAATCAAAATAAAATTGCTGATGAGCAGTTTTTCAGCTTGATTGTCACATTTAATATTAAAATTCAGAATATCTAAAGTAATGTATAGAAAATGTATTGAGTCAAATAATGTTGAAATATAGATATTTCCTACCTGAAAATTCTGAATTATTTTTGTAACTATGGTTCGAGTGTAAAATGTATTACATTCATATTTCAAAACTGATACTAAATAATCTCTACATGCCTATCACATGCTTTGTTATCTCATTTATTTACAATACCGCTTTCCTAGTTAAGATAGATCATGGACTTCTATAGATCTATATCAAAGTCCATGGATACATCTATAACATACCATATTTTCTGGGTTATAAGCCAAGTTTTTTTCCCCCTCAGCAGTCGGGTGGCGGCTTACATAACGTTATAACTTATATGTGGACAAAAAAAACAGCAGAAGAAAAAGAAAAAGAAAAGAAAAGAAGCGTATTGTGTGGACATCAATTCCGGACCGTTACGTATTTCCAAACGGCCATTTTGTAAAGGCATATCACATACACTAACTGTTTCCTACATTGGAAAACCCATGTATACACTACCAGTATATTTAATGGTCCTGATATAGTACATAAGTATGTAACATTTGCAACAGCTACATCTCCTAAGTAATACCACATTTAAATACATGATGCAAATAAATTTACCTTTACAAGAATCTTCAAGTACATAATGAATTGCATTATTAACAAATAATGGTACAGTTTGATATACAGGCCAGTAAATTTCATATTTTCTCTCTAATTTTGATATACCCTCATTCACATTGAAATTTTGTTCTCTTTTTTAAAGTGTGTGTTTATTAGTAATGTGGAAATGAACTAAAAAAAAAACATTTGTTCATGATTTTTTCATGGTTGTCAGTTTTCAGATGCATAATCAAATCAACTGGCTTAATTCTTGGGAAACTAAACCCATCCTATTAAAACTATGACAAAATAAATGGGAAAATTGAACACATCAACAATTTCAACAGCCTCTTTCAAAATGAGAAGGGATTCTTAACAAAAAACATAATAATAATTAAAAAAAAAAAAAGATCAAAATAAAGAAAAACTATAAAAAGTTGAGCTTTTTAAATTTCTAAAATTCTCCAACTTTGGCCATACTGCTCTGTGAAAATTATAATTAAAATTAAAGTTAAGTTAAAATAGAAATAGCTTAACCAAATTACAGCTGTTTGTATACATTAACAAGTAAACAAGTGGAAACAAGAATATAAAAGAATGATGGCCAAAGGTAATATTATACCCTTGACAAGGTGGCATAAAAATATCAACAATGTCGGTATTTATCAAATGGTATGATATTCTTAATAACATATAAAGCTAATAATTTCTTTTATCAAAACAGAAAAACAAATGAAAAATCTCTAAAATTATTCAGAAACCACAGAGTGAAGTCAAAGTTCAGATGAAATATGAACTACAGGTCGCAACGAAAAATGATACCCAGTAGTAAATCAATGCACAAAATTTTTATCAAAATAAGTGTAAAATTTTCACATTACGGCTATAATATTTGGACATTGATGCTAAGAGTCTGGTAGAACCTGAGTACTTTGTCTCACTTACTAAATATTTTACTATTGTATTGTTTTATATCTGTGATCATGAATAAAAGTAACATTTTATTCAGAAGTGAATAGATCATACTGATAAAAGTATATACAAGTTGTATGGTATATACAAAGTTGAATCTTGTTATCTTGAATAATCATTTCGTCAATCCCTACCAAACTTTACACAAAACATCCAAACTCATTTAAATCAAACTTTCCTTTATCAAAAAGTATACCTATGGTCCCATCAAGTTTGAGATAAAGAAGTTTGACTGTACATGTATATTATATGTTCAGCGTTTAGAATGTCAATCTTTGTGTTGACTTGATATTGGGGTGGACAGATCCCCTTGAAAATTGACAAAGAATTTTGTTGTTACTGTCATTATTACTTCTCTTTTATACTTATTTATCTATTTATTTATTTATAAAACTGAGACGTAGAAATAGAAACAATGAACAAGAGGCTTGACAAATAGTTTGAACACCCAACTTTCACATACAAGTGTTAGTTTTATCTTTCTCTCGGTAGTCATAAAAACTTATTACAAAAGTTACAGGGAAATAATTTACCGGTCGTTATTCATTACAAGAACATCATCAATTTCCATTACAATGATAACTTTGTACACTTCATAGCCATAAAATTAACATTCATTTGTAAATAATTTCAACATTCACGGAGATGAGTTTTTGTAAATTTCATCATTGCAGTTATCGGTACCGCTTTTCATACAGAAAAAATGGAGACAAATTAAATATGTACATACATATATATCATATATAAGTACTTTGTACCTTTTAACAAAGAAAACCATCAGAAATATATAAATATTATATATTATTGAAACTTTGACAATACATGATTGTTAAAATATTGTTAAAGATTTAAGAAATATATGTAGCAATCCATATACTTTCTAATTCTAAAAGAAAATACAAAATAAACAAACAAACAAATCTTAATACATAATGGCACATCATATCACTCCACATGATAAACTATTTATCATTGGATGATTATGTTACAGAATTGCATAACAACACAAAAAAAAACCTTAACAGTTTGAAATGAAAAAAAAATAAAATAAAATAAAAAAATGCATAAAACTAACACCAAATATCAGTGCTAGCAGGAAGAAATCCAGTAAGATTTTAACATGTATCACCTTACCAGGAGTTTTTACTAAGCAGAGTTTTAGTACGTTTTATCAATGATAATTTACATATTTCTAATGGATTCCTCAAAGCAATTTATAATTAACCTACTTGGCATGTTTAGCATCAGATTAGAAATTAATACGACATGTTATATAACAGCCTCCTACCCTGACAGACACAATATTTATATTCAAATTTCTGAAGTTGCCAGAGCTACAACAGCTAGTCAAAAATAAGGGAAACACTTTTTTTCCCCAAAATTTGATGAAAAATTCAAACTCCACTGAAATTATAAATAGACCCAAACAAACATGAACCATCCAAAATCATTGCAGTTGATTCTTGAAAAAAATTAAAACTTAACATGAAAATGTCTATTTTCAATTTACTACAAGTTTACATAAAGTCTGATAAAAATCAAAGAATTTTGTGAGAGGAATCCTTGTAAATATACATGCACACAAACAAATTTAAAAATCATTTCACTGATTCGTTAAAAAAAAAATTGAGAAAACATGTGAAGTTGTATGGAAAAATTTACAAATGAGAATACACTTTTATATGTAAATTTTGACTTCCTTAGTTGTATATATATGCTACAAAAATAGATCATTTGATAATCTTATGAGTTTATGATATCTCCTGTGTGCTTATTTACAATGACACATCACAACGCATAGATTCTGTAGTTATATTACTGGTAGCATTGCAAAAAAAAAAAAATAAAAAAAAAATAAAAAAATAATGAAATTATTTGCTTTGATCGAATGATAAAAAATAGTTTTATTCAAAACATTAAAAAAAATCAAAATATATATTTTGATAACAGTTGATTTGTATCATTTGGATTGATATCATCTGTGATTTTGTCTCTGTGATAACATAAGTTTATAAAAGAAATTCATGTTTGTCTCAAAAAGGATGAACAAGGATGAATGAAACACATGTTTTTACATGATGCATGATCCACCAAGTACCAAGCACCACAGAGGAAAAACTGGGACAAATGACTAGTGAAAATTAAAAAAAAAATTCTGGTCATCTACATCGATGACACAATTTCTGTGAATGATTTGGCTATCATAATTATTTAATGCTAACATTCCTCTCTTTAATTGAGTTTGATCACCCTTGATGTAACCCTTTAAAGTGCTAACTATGCTGTACATCTGGTTGTAGAATCACTATTTTACAGTGTATTGTATTGGTTAAGAGGCTACAACACAACTGATAGAAAAGACAATTTCTACATCTGTGTTTAAAGAAGTCGCTCCTTTGAAACTACCTAGATCTTGTATACAATATGGAAACCAGTCCAGGCAAGATTAAAAGAAAACTGTGGTTAATTTTTGTTATCATTTTAACATACACACAGGTAACTAGGAATTATTACATGTCAGCTCAATCATCTCATTTTCAATATGTTTTATCTTATTATTTAAGAGACACAAAAGCCCTCGCTCCATTATTGTTCAATAACACACAAGATTGAAGCAGTACTTTTTTCACCATTTTCAAAGCCATTAGTTGTACAATTTCAAAACAGAAGCATGTACATGTATACTGCAAAATCAGCCCCCTTTATATGAACAAACGTTCACAAATTTTACAGTAACCATCCAAGCCTATTTTGGAAAATGTTTCGTTTTTAAAGCATACAGCATTTTTTATTTGATTTTCCAAAAAAAAAAGACTATCCTGAATATCTAATTCTTTATTTTCAAAAATACAACAAAATAAAACAATTTTTCATTTTGAAATATATTCAGATTACTTTTCACAGCACTTACTTTTGTTCTTGTATGAAACATTACTCATGCAAACATATTTCCTGCTTATCTTTAACAATGCTTTATATATATATATATGTTTATGGTACAAACAGAACAAAAAATTTGACCAGGAAGTATAATATGTGACAGCCTGTAACAGCAGATTTCAGCATTACTTTCGTTAGGCCAGCTTATTATTCTCGATACCTTAAAACCAATTCACACATCATAAACTTGTTTTTTGTTAGAAACATTTGTATACAGAAAATGTTCTTTGAGAATGTTTTCAATCTGCGTTCTGATAAGACAAGTAAAATATTTGTGTTTTAAAGTATCAGCATAAAGATATCTATCAAAACTATGAAAGTGATGCTGATGTCCTTTAACTTTCTAACTAATGTCGCTGTTCCTTAACTTTCTTATCAAAATTGTCACTGCTCTATATATCTCTTATCAAAATCACCGACCCCAGGGCTTTCCAACATTGCTGCTTTACCAAATTTTAGGCCCCTGATTTATAAAATACTTATATAATCACAAAATACACACCATGGTTCTACCCAGAACTGGTCCTTAGCTCTTAAAGGTATGTACAACTCGTACAACATACTGTCGACATATTGGACACTCGTTGAGACGACGGCCACATTGTGTGCAGGAGATCATGTGACCACATTCTAGGAGCACGCAGTCAATCGCAGCATCCATACAGATTTTACATATATCATCTTCAGGTTTTTCCCCAGTGACTGGCTCCCCTTTCGTGTCTTTAGCTGAAGAAAAATTAATCATTTTTATTTCAAAAGCTACAGATGTGTATCAGCAGATTGCTTTTCATATCCAAAAGACTGATAGCTCTGTAGTATTTCATACAATGATCTTCTTTCCTATGATTACTAAATTTTTTAAATGAAACCAAAATCTTGTGAATACTTTCAGGAATAAAATAAACTGAAATCTCTATGAAAGACTTGAATGGCCCCACTTCTATGCTTGATGTGACCTGACCTTTGACCCTCTAACAGTCAAGCTTGATGTGACCTTTGACCCTCTAACAGTCATGCATGATGTGACCTTTGACCCTCTAACAGTCATGCTTGATGTGACCTTTGACCCTTTAACACTGACTGATGACCAACTTTATCCTTTTTTATATTCCTTGGTAGATATGATCCAAATCTGTTGAGATTCTCAAGATAAGACAATGATTTGTTGTAGAACATGATGGGATGGGAAGAACCAACATAAACTATCAGAGGCATAGAAACCCAATCTTACTAGTTCTATAATAACGTGATAGGATATCGCCAAGTTAATAAAAACTTGACAGGAATCTCTAGTATTTTGTCTGTAGTAGGACTTATATCTTTATTATTTAATAATGATATAAAGTTTTATTTGATATATTTAGTGCTAAATTTACTTACTTTCTGTTGAGTCTAAATCTTTTACTGTAAAAAATAAAAAATACAACAATTTGATAATTTCATAAATATCACATATGCATTCTTTAAAATTATTCAAAACTTATATATATATATATATATATATGTATTAGTTATATTTGAAGTTAATGCCTTTGTTTCTGTTTGAGTCAAGGAAATACCAGTGATCAAAGTTAAACTCAATATGTACTACATTCATGTAAGTCTGTCTATTCCAATCAACAAATGTCTACAGATACAGGTGTGAAGATGGTACATAATCAGTGACTAGATACGTATTTAGTAGTATAATATTGTATGCCATATTAGAGACAACGGAAATTACTCAAAAGTGATGAAGCTAAGGGGGGAAGGAAATAAATAAATAAAGAAATGAAGTAATGAATGAAGGAATAAATAAATGAACAAATGAACAAACAAACGAACGAATGAATGAATGTGACAAGGTATTTTCATTACTACTAACAGTAAGTAACTGTAGAAGTATATATAGCATGTCAATACAATCAATATCGATTTCAAGTTAAATGATCATGTGTGGTAAGTTTCATTAAATTATTCTATTGAAGTTCTCTTGAGATCATATCATGTGTACCTAAACCACCATATGTTTTACCTTTTTGTTCGTTGGTCTTATGTTCCTTCCACAACCGTTTGACCTTGTCGACTAGCTCGGGTTTCTCACAACATCCTTTGTAGTTCACAAAATTGGTAACAAGGACTTCCTTTAGCTGCCTGACTGTGAGGTTGTCAACATCCTCAAGTGTTTTGATTTCTGCCAGATTCATCCTCACACGAGGGGTGGCTGTACCTTGGGGAACCTTCAATGACAAGGAACAAATCAAATTCACTTTGAATATTGCTAGTGCACACCCATTTCTAACTGTCTGCACCAACTTATAAAACTACACATTGTATTAAGCCTTCCCTAATTTGAAATACAGAGGTCTAACTATTGTAACACTATCAAGTAGATCACTCTGTTGTTAAACCGGAAATGGTTATATGAACAGGAAGCAGTATTTTATTGTATATAATGTTGGTTGGAAATTTAAAATATGAAAATAATAATTTCCTATGTTATGTTAATGGCTCAGCTAGATTTAGATTTTAATCTTAACCCTGGATTTTGCAAGGGACTTGCCAATTTACAGAGATCGGCTAGACAAATTAGCTTGAGGAAGAAAACCTTAGGCAAAACTTCATGTAAAAGAAAACATCCTGATTCCCAGCAATAAGTTTCTATCTTTTTGTTTTTTGGAGAACGATGGCTTACAAGGCACCTCCAACTGAATCCCTTACAAGTAGATTCGAAAACTTAAGTCTGAAAAGTAATAAACCAATAGATACACATTATTCACGTAGTTCATTATTAGGTCTAAGATGTCAGCCTTCTTATACCAAGAAACCTGTAGCTATAATCAGGAAACCTCAAACAGTAGTACTCAAGAAACAACCATGCAAAGTAAAAGAATGTATTCAAACAAAATCTCGTAGACGGTCGACTAAATGTAAAAGATGGCCTCAAGTCGATGTAACAAAACAAGAAGAAATAACTAACCCTTTATTGGAGACAATACATGATGTGATGAGATGTTCTCACATTATTTACAACATCATTCTTGTATACATCCGCTTAGCCTTAGCGTCCCAATCATCAGTTAAGATAAGAATGCATGAAGAATTTAGGCACTATGTTAAAATATACCGTCTTACTCACATTGATGAGTTACGTAAGGAAAATCCAAGTGTGACAATTCTCCCTTCAAGAATAAAATATTGGCAAAGGTTTTGTTATGAATTTCGATATGGTGTAGACCAAATCTATTGTGCAAGACAATTGAAGATTGCAGAAGAAGTATTTCAAGATATTGTTAAGAATACCAAACACTTAGACAGTTTATTTTATGTTTAATTGCAGAAAGACGGCCCAGGCCTGACTTACTAAAATGAACAATTCACTCCTTTTCGTCTTACTAATAATAGGTAGTGTTAAAGCAACTCTCATCAGACAAAACGTAGTCTTTGAGAAAATAAATGATGTCACAACTACTAGATCTAAATGGTTAGTCGCATTTGTCTTAGACTTAAATCCGTACCAAAATATCTTAGCCAAATTAAACAACAGTCTTTCTGAAATAAGTAATGAGATTTATGTTGAATCTCAAGTGTGACAGTTACACCCAAAAATTGACCTTAATCTGGCCTATAACTTACTAGTACTTCACCATGAAGTTAAAAATTTAAGACAAACTCAGGAATTCTTACAAGAAGAACTTAGAAATATAAAAACACTACATCAGACTCGAACTAAAAGAGCGTTGATTCCAATTGTAGGTAAGGCACTGTCCTTCCTTTTTGGTACATTAGATGAAGATGATATTGATACAATCAAAACTAATGTTAGGACCTTAAGAAATAATCAGGTACACCTTCAACATGTTGTTAAGGAAAGTTTAACTATCCTTCATACTGCCCAAGGCCAAATAGCAAATAACAGAAAGAATATTAATGAAGTAATAGATACTTTAACTGATCTAGCAAAGTTAGAGATGAATCTTAGTCATTCAGTTCAAGATATTGACAAATACTTACATACGTATACAAAGATAGATAGAGCCTTAAGTGAAGCTAAGGAAATAGTTGGTTTAGCTAGAGATTACTTAAACCACTTGAAGCTTCAAATTAATATGTTGTCTCTTGGACATCTCTCGCCAACTGTTATTGCACCCCCTGACCTAAGGAAATTACTAATTGATGTTAAAAGTAAGCTAAGTATGAATATGCAAATTCCTTTTGACCTTGACGTAGACCTTTGGACATTTTATAAGACTGTGACTTGTACAACCCTGATTGGACAGGACGACTTAATGGTAGTCATTGCCATTCCTTTGATTGATATATCAGATAAATTCACTGTGTATAGAGCACACAGTCTTTTATTACCTTATTTGGAAACAAACCAAACAAATCTTTTGGCCTCTTATAGATTAGAAGCAGAAGCCTTGGCGGTGAATGAAGCCAAGACACAATTTGTTATCTTATCTCTTGATGAAATTAAGGAATGTGGAGGTAGCGTCAAGAAATACTGCAGATTTCGTAATCCAATATATACTTTAGTGTCAAACGAAATGTGTATAATATATCTTTTTATGGGATGGATTAAAGATATTGATAAGTACTGTACCACAGTGGTGCAAGCTAGAACTTCAACTCCTCAAGCCCAACACTTGTCTGATGGACACTGGGTAGTTGTTTCAGAAAAATCATTGACCTTTCATCTAAAATGTCCTGTTACTTCCTCTTTAGACAGCCTTAGCACGAAAAGTCCCATTGATATTATAAGCTTAAATGAGGGCTGCTCTGCTTCAAATGAGTTCATGACCTTACCATCATTATGAAAGTACTTTTAACTTGTCTAATAACTTTAACGCCTTAATACATAATTACTTTATGGGATCAATTAAACTATGGGAGCCATTTTCTCAGAAATTTCAAAATATTACTTCAATCAAAATCCCTCCAAAGTTGAAGTCTATAAAAGAAATTCCTATTGATCATTTGATTTCGGAACTAGATAATATGCACAAATTGGTTCTTATGGAATCAAATAATTCTATCCAAACATACCTCATAATTGGAAGTGTAGTCATTGCTTTCTTAGTGATAGGATATTGCTTTCGGCATAAAATAAAAGATAAATGTCAAAATTATAGGAATAGTAGGTATAGTAAAAGGTCAGTTGTTAAGGGAGATTTGGAGTTGAGTTCTTTACCAATGCCTTATTTGCCTCGTCGAGAGCCTGATGTACCACAAGATTTACCAAGGCAATCTAAGGTTACAATGGTACCATGCTTACATCGCCACAGCACTTCTGAAGTAGACTTCCCTAGACCGGATTCGACTTTCGACAGACGACTTGCTGAATTGTGTTTAAAAGAATTGACAATCTTCCCACCTCAACTCAACTTAAATGGGAACCGAGAAGACTTACAGGTGATGTCAGGTGAACCTGACAACGACGACAACGTTGAGGGCGGTGCAAACCCCTCATCACCAGGTGGAGTAGCAGAGGAGGTAAAAACAGTAAAAAATAACCCTCTGGTATCCACCAGGAAGACAGTGATACAGGATCTTTATCCTGATATAAGAAAGGAACTGGATGGGAACTAGTCCCTTTGGCATGTCCTTCGTGACAATAAGGATAATTAAGGATAAAGTCACGTGAATTTAACAAGACTGACTACAACACATGTATACTTCTGTATCTGTTATACTAACTGTGGAAGAACAGAAGATGGGATTCTTATGAACATTTCGTGATTCTTATGAACATTTTAAGACGGGAAATGTGGTGCAACTTTCCAGATGAAATGTGATGGTTTCTAAAGGAACTATATTATTATATGGGATATCTCCATGAACTGATGTGAGGGTCACAGTGAAATGACTATTGGGACAAGATTGAGTGACTTTCGAATAATTCGGAACAGTTTGAGTGACTTTCGAATAATTCTCAGTATATATATTATTAAGTGACAGTGAATTATAACCGTTGTTAGCGATTTATAAACATATAAATAATTTGTTAATTCAAGTAGATAGTTAAAATAATACTTGCATGTAGCATGCGAAAGATTGGCGTGTGAAAGCTGTAAGAAAGTAAAGGTAAAAGTCTGTATTAAAGAACAGCGCCAAAATTTCGCCTTGATATTGTTAAAAATTGTTGAGAAATATAGTCAGTGGTTTAGCACCGCCTATATTTCTTTTGTGTATGGGACGGATGTGACACTATCAAGTAGATCACTCTGTTGTTAAACCGGAAATGGTTATATGAATAGGAAGCAGTATTTTATTGTATATAATGTTGGTTGGAAATTTAAAATATGAAAATAATAATTTTCATGAATTTATTGTTGTTTAATTTAGCTTATAACAGGAATTGAGTGTTAAATATGTACATAGTATATTGCACCAAATATGACCTTTACCTGTCCAGCACTGCATAGCCAAGCAGGGACTTATGTAAACAATGGTAGCCAGAATTCATATAAACAAATGTGATGTGTATATATAAACAGTGCAGTACAGTTAGAGTAACGATGATTGTATCATTATAACGTAAAATATTTCAAGGTCATGAGAAAATAATAGTTTAGATAGTGAATTGTATGTAGTTGCTTAGTACAGCATTACGAGTATGTAAGATAAACATGACCGATTTAGCAGATGTTAGGTTCTGCGTAATTGTTAAGTATTTGATTATTATATATGTAAATAGTGACCAATATGCGGTGGGTCTGAAGACTGGTAGTACCAATTGTCATTCCAGACAATAGCTTCCTGGGATTGGGGAATGGACCAATCAACGGTCGTTGCACTAAATGTGCATCCCCAATCCATCAGCACTTATCCCATACACAATAACAAATGGCGCCAAGATTCTGCATTTTGTGTCCAAATCGGTATAATTTTGACAGAATCTTGATATGGTTGGGTCGCCAGGATCAACCATTGTTCTTGAGGAATTTCCACCTGCGGAGTTGTCCGACTTTTGGCTTCCCCTATAAATACTGGGCAGTTTTCGCTGCTCATTGCACTTGGATCTAGGGACGCCAAAGGGACAACTTCCGGTTGTGGGACTGACTCTACGGAAGCGTGATAGGGAGCGAGCCTTCTTGTGGACTTCACTGTGCTATATAAACAACAAGTAGAAAGGAATTTGGACTTGGCTTTTTCTTCGGGAAACACAACGCGAGCGGGGGCACAGTGGGGTTACACTATACATACCTTGCAGTTATGTACCAGTAATGTTTCTATAGCTGTGACATACTGCATGTCATGACGAGACTTCAAGATTTGTAGCTACACATTAAAACTGATTGGTACTTGTTGTTTGAAGATCAATAATCTACTCCTGTTCAATTTACAAAAGCTTTGTTGTGTGATTCTAGGTACTACTGGTCAGAAAAGGTATTTTTGGAACAGAACCCTTGGATTTTGAATATGCCATTTAGAATTCATGAACCCTGGACATAGGTATATGTAATAAAAGAGCTAAATGTTTTGTTACATATAAAATTTTTCTCAATTGATTTAATTTTCTAACATATCAATTTTATTGAATCTTTGTGAAAATAGTTAAATAACACTTTTGTCTAATCTATGAGACAGGGTGGTAGCTTTCTTAGACCCTTGACAATCTCAACACATTACCTCCTCTTCTTCATCTTCTCCAAATATTTCCTGTCTAAACATGGCTTGTCTCATCTCCTGCTCCTGTCTCTGTCTCAGCCTCTCCTCTCTGTCTGTCTCACTTTCTGGTCCTGGGGGTTGGGGTGGCTGTGGGGGACTGGAGTTTTGCGTTGCCGAAAAGTGGTTGGTGTTGTTTGTGTCCTGAGTACCACCACTACTAATCGTACTACCAGACAGACTACTTGGCTGTCTAGACAGAGACTCCTACAGCAGATTAAATTGTTGAAACTTTGATAAAGTTCTACCTTTACACAATATTGATCAATTTTACACACAAATATTACTTCTTTATGCAAAATCTGACTCTGGGTATTTTTCAATATTGTTGAGGATAAAATCTCATTATCATGCTTCTTACATTTGTGAATTGCTTATCCTTGAATAAAAAAATTGGTTTTAGCATTCACAATGAAAATAGCATGACAGAACTTCATTCTATTTTAAACAATAAATAAACATACATATATCTTGCATGAAAATTGGAAAACTGCTTGCTTTTATTTTTTCAAGATATGTTCATCTACAAAATAATATAAAACAATTTACATTGGATTATAATGACCAAGTCATATATAGCTAAATCTTAGTACACCTGTACTAAGTTGATGATTGATCAAATCAAACCTAAATTCAGAGGACATGAACTTTATAATTTTTTTTTGCTCATTTCAGAATTTGAAATAATTACTACGACTCTAATCAATGTATTGTAACTCTGTGCAATAAGTAAATACAAAAAAATGAAAAAGTGAGAGAGGAAAAAAACAATATTTTTAATAATATTTTTTTTTTTTCAAAAGTAGATTCCTGTGATAATTTTCCAATTTGTCCTAAGACCAAAAAATTATCCTCAACCCAAAGTCAAGAGGTGGCTTTGTTACAGTTCGGAGAATACATTTGGTGTCATTTTCTCTTAAGCTGAAAGTTCATGTAGGTCCAGGGCTTATCATAAGGCATGGTCTTACTGCCAGATAAATATGGTAATGAAAAATACATTGTACAATTCACAACTCACCAAGTCCTCTACTTCAGCAGACTCCTGAGTCGGGGATTTAGCAAAGTTGATAAACAGCAGGTCAATAAGGTCATGCTTTTCCTTACATGTGTTGGTGGAGACATTCCGTTTATTGAGCAATATTCGTAATTCCTTCACTTTCCACTTCATCAGGTCAGAACGGGTGAATTTCCCCGACATTAATACTTTACATGTGTTACATTGTCTGTATGTCATTCGGTTATTGTCCGGATCCCGATAACGGTGCACACAATTGGAACAAAAGGTTCTATCACAGTATTTACATATTTTCTGAAAAAAAAAAGAAAATAAATATTGTTTTTTCAAAAGGTACTTTTGTGTATTATAGCACTTTTTAAATTGATTTGATCATGCAGAGGCAAGCTTGAGTTCGATTTAGTATAATGTGTATAAAATTTACCTTTCTTTTGAAAAGATTGAAGTTGGTTTGACAAGCTTCACAAGCCGTCATGTTTGGAGAAGTGGACTGCTGTTGGTTTTGATTGAAGTTTACATTAGTTGTGTATCCTGAGGGATGAAATGTGAAGGTCGCTGTGCCATGTTGTCCTCTCACTGCTGCTGCACCCATCAGGTCAAAAACTCAAGGTCAGGTAATAAAAAATATATCAAGGTCATTCAGGAAATTAGGTCAACGTCATGTATCTGAGTGATCCAAGCGTGAAGGTGTCCAAAATTGTTGATAACACAATTTTCTATCAGCAGCTACAGACTTCACATCAACACTATCATCTAAAATGAAACAAAAAACAATATAAAGATTAAAGAAAACAATTTCCACATAAAATTAACATGCAACAGTTTATAAACATTTATATAACGATTCAAATTAGCTAGCAATTTCTTTTTAAATTATATGTGGTGTATTTAAAGCACTTGAGATGAAAACTATTTTGCATTGTGAGAGTGAGGGAGGGGACATTGTTTGAAATGATAGAAATGAAAGGAAGATTTTCTTTTTTATGGTGTTGATTTTCTATGGAATATCTGCTTTTTCTCAAAATTTACCCTTACATATAACTTTAACTTCATGTTCATCACAGACTCTGATCTGATAAACCAAATCTTTCTAGCAAAAAATGTCATTAAATACCATAACAACAGGATATACACTGAAAATTATTGGAGCTTAATTATCAAAACTATTTTATGAAACACATATGACCGATGTTTCTTGTTGTTCTACGAAAAAAACATACAGGTAAAAAGAGTGAGTTAATTTCTCATCATGTATTAGAACCTTATTTAGAGCACAAACTATTAGTAACTAACTCAACACCTAAATGTTCTACTTGCATTAAAATATGTTTGTGGTGTGAGATCACCAGTACAGGGTTTATTGTGTGAGACCACCAGTACAGGGTTTGTGGTGTGAGATCACCAGTAAAGGGTTTGTGGTGCGAGATCACCAGTACAGGGTTTGTGGTGTGAGATCACCAATACAGGGTTTGTGGTGTGAGACAACCAGTACAGGGTTTGTGGTGTGAGACAACCAGTACAGGGTTTGTGGTGTGAGACCACAGTACAGGGTTTGTGGTGTGAGACCACCAGTACAGGGTTTGTGGTGTGAGACCACAAGTACAGGGTTTGTGGTGTGAGACCACCAGCACAGGGTTTGTGATGTGAGACCACCAGTACAGGGTTTGTGGTGTGAGACCACCAGTACAGGGTTTGTGGTGTGAGACCACCAGTAAAGGGTTTGTGGTGTGAGATCACCAGTACAGGGTTTGTGGTGTGAGATCACCAGTACAGGGTTTGTGGTGCGAGATCATAAGTACAGGGTTTGTGATGTGAGACAACCAGTACAGGGTTTGTGGTGTGAGATCATCAGTACAGGGTTTGTGGTTTGAGATCACCAGTACAGGGTTTGTGGTGTGACCACCAGTAAAGGGTTTGTGGTGTGAGATCACCAGTACAGGGTTTGTGGTGTGAGATCATCAGTACAGGGTTTGTGGTTTGAGATCACCAGTACAGGGTTTGTGGTGTGAGACCACCAGTAAAGGGTTTGTGGTGTGAGATCACCAGTACAGGGTTTGTAGTGTGAGATCATCAGTACAGGGTTTGTGGTTTGAGATCACCAGTACAGGGTTTGTGGTGTGAGACAACCAGTACAGGGTTTGTGGTGTGAGATCATCAGTACAGGGTTTGTGGTATGAGACCACCAGTACAGGGTTTGTGGTGTGAGACAACCAGTACAGGGTTTGTGGTGTGACAACACTGGTAACTGATGAAAATTCAAAAGAAAAATAGTTTATATTATGCTTTCATTAATTTTGAGAAGGCTTGCGATACCAACTGGTACTATCAGTGAATAACATTAATGGATATATGTATAAAATCATTGCTAATATGTATAGAAAAATTAAGTCCAAATTAGTAAATAATGGAGAAACTTTAAACATTTTCAGATGTGAAAATGAGGTAAAACTTTGAAAAATTATATCATCTTTTCTTTTCTCCGTTTTTTCTTAATGATCTAAAATGTTTCTTATCAACAATGAATGTTAATTGTCTTAATAAAATATCTAAATTATTAGAAGACAAGCTTGGAGTGTCCTTTAAGTTATTCACTAACACTGTATTATTAGCAGAAAGTGCAGATGATCACCACAATATGTTTAACGACTTCAGAATTTATTGCAATAAATGGAATGTGAGGGTTGATGTATCAAAATTAAATTTAATGGTATTTTGTCGACAGTAGATACCAAGTCATTTAAAATTCAATTTCAATGGTAAGACCTTAGATATAGTCAAGGAATCTAATTATATTGGCATTTCTGTAAGTCTGAAAATTTTATGGGAACAAAAAGAAAACAAACTCTAAACGGAACTAGAGCCCTTTAACAGGTGTTAAAAAGGCAGATTACATAATCTGACGATACAGTGTTAACTGGACTTATCTGATAAAACAGTAACACCAGTATTATTGTATGGTTGTGAGATATGAGGTTTTCTAATAATACAGTCATAGACAGAGTGCATTTAAAGTTTTGTAAACTGCTTATTTATCTTAAATCCTCTACACCTGATATTATGGTATATGGAAAGCTCAGTAGATATCTGCTTGATATTGAAATTGAAATCAGAAGAAGTTTTTGGACAAAGTTAAGAGTACCTAAAGATAAAATCAGTAATTTATGATCAATTAATAAGTATCAATTATTGAAAAATATGGTGGTTCAGTAGCATGGACCAAGTGTATAATAGATATATATTGAATAACTGTGGACTTTCCAATATATGCGTAAACCAAAATACGACAAATCCAAAATGGCTGCTTTTAGAAATAAAACTTACAATAAGTAATGAATTTAAACAAACCTGGATGGAAACATGCCAAAACTCTCCAAAATCTACCATCTATAGGATTTTTAAGGACAAAATTGTTTTTGAAAATTACTTAACTATTTTGATTTTAAATATATTACCGGTAAATAATTATTTACCTGTCAGAATTGGAGTTGGAGAAATTTACCGAGGGAAGAATATATCTTCCAAAAATGAAATAAAAGAGATATTGGTGATCAGTATCATTATATATTTTAATGTTCAGCTTTAGAAAATGACAAGAAAAAACTGCTTATCATCGAAATTAGTTAATTGATTATTAGACATAGTGTGTTATCATAAAAAAATGTGTTATCTAAATTAATATCTTTCCTAGAAAAAGTTATGTACCTTCATTATGAAAATTAATCATGTATGTTCCCCTGAGAAATTATTAGTTTAACAAAGCACATAACATCTATGATACTTTCTTCCTCCTGTACAGTCACACATGTGCACTAAATTACATAATACTGTATATGTATCATGCATCTCTGCATACCACTTGTTAAGATATTGAGATATAAATAAAAATACTCTTGTGAAAAGTTAACCTAAACAAGGAAACAATTATGTGGTATACACACTTTTCAGTGTAGATTAAAAAATGATGTGAATCATAAAGGATTTGCAAGTCATTTCCCTCTTTAGAAGATACATACAAAAAGGTATTACTAGTATGTATTTGGATGAGGATAATATACATAACAGGTACATAAATTTCAACACCACTTGTCAAGTGAAGTAAAGACTTTCAATAAGCTATGTGTATGCACTGTAGTATATGATCAGTGAAGTACCACATGCATCCGTATCTCCCACTATAGGTCCATACTAGATCACTGTAACAAATCCATCTATATATATCGCTCTTTATGTGATACAATATCTGTCTGAATTTGTGTAAGAAGTAATGTATTATCTCTCTGAGTTATACACATAAACCTTGTTGCCATCTTTTTATTTTCATTTTAAAAATGAATATATGTATTAAGCTTGTTCCATGAATTTCTCAACTGTTGGAGTTTACTGTAAGTCAAGGTAACGTCAAATCCTAGGCATTGACAGACGGTAAGTTTATATAATAACTATTGTCCTAAATTGATGTTATTAAGTATTCTGGAGTCACAGCTCTGATGGCAATGACCACAGCACTTGCTGACTGAGAAATATAAATCCTCACTATTATTATTGTTGTATGCTCTATACCATGGATATACACACAAACCTTTAGAATGGGTAAATTATGTGATGTTTAGTTGAAGCAGTATAGAAAATGACTATACACAACATTACCCATCTTTCAATTTCCTTTTTTACCAACAGACATGATATTGTTAATTAAAATCAATAAATTTCTATCACAACTAGTTGCAAACCTATTCCTGCCCACGGAAGCGAATATATAGTATTTCTACACTGAAGATTTTTCAAGATATAAAACATTTTGTTTCCAACATTTCTAGAATAAATTGTCAAACTAAATTGTGAAGATTAATAAACATTTCCCAAAGCATGGTGGAGAATTGGTCCTTGGTGAGAATATGTCAATGACCAGCTATGATTTAAAAAACACGCATATATATCTGTTATTAAAATACGAAGTCGATTTTAAACTTTTAATTAAAATGAAATATCTTTCTTCTTACCTCTGCCAATAGCTAGCACAGTGATGACATTTCCTGGTTAACACCATTACATACCAAAAGTATATTATATGCAAAATCAAATGCATACAGTACAGCATACTATTAATATAAACAAGGAAGTAAATAAGTAATCACCAAAACATATGGTGTTTCTCAGAACCCCATCGAAGGTTATCAGATCATGCCAAAAGTAGTCCTACTTTGTATATTCCTGTGGGTCTAGTCTAAATTAGGCGACATATACCTGGTACAAGTCTCAGCGACGTCGTTTTTTGCCAGTTGTACACATTGTCTGCGAGTAGGCAGACATACAGTCGCGAATGTACAAGTGACATAAACTACAGTTGACTCATTCCTTGTGCACAGTACACACATACGATGTAAACAGAGAACTAGTAATTATATATTTTAACAATAAATATGTGAATGACGATTAAGAAATGGTCGTTGTTCCATGACGGAAATGATGCACCCAAAATCATAATTTAAAGAATGATTTACCAAAATTATCAAACTGCGTCCTTTGCTGTGTTTGTTTCACATTGAGGGTGACACTTACTCCGTTTCGCCAGTCCGTCACGGTTCAATTGTTCTACCATACCTTTCCTTCCCGTTACCAATTGTCACCAATGCCGCGTACGTCAATAATCATGGTCAGACGTAAACTTCGAACGAAGGTCCTATGCTAGAGCGTATCGGTAACCACGAACTAGACAAAGTGAGGCACCAAAGGGATATTCCCCTTAAAAAGCACAGTAATTCTGCAATCTTGATCATGTTTGCGTCATCTTATATGCGTCCTATAGAGGGACCATACTTTAAAAAAATTATGAAAAACATTTACTTCAAAAAAATAGAAAAAAAAAAGATAATGATTTCTTTAAATTTCCCCATAATTTTTAAGTCGAGATGAATTTCCCGATTACAGGCTGCAATTACTGAAGTGGATGTATCATATACTGTATATATATATCCGTGAAAGATGTACAATCACGAACTTAGATAAGTATATATCAAAGTCCATGGTACAGTTTACTCTACTATAAGTTAGCATATTTTTTTTCATCAAATTCTAACGAAACAACATAATAGTTTTCGATTTTCCTACTGCCATGTAACAAGGACGGGATATCGTGATTTGAAATCAGAATGTCACGGAACCCGAATATATAACATTTTAAACAGGTTAATTCCTTCCAGGTAACTGATTGTTTTTATGAGGTTATTTCCCTGCAGTTACATTTATGAATTAAGTAAGCAATCAAATTAATTAATTTACATGTACTTTGATTTTAATTAACATAATTCTCATTCATTTCAACGCTTGATGAGCGACGCAAACAACTTATGTCCTATATACCATAAAGCTTTTACTGCACAGATGCATACAGCGGAGTTGGAGTACATCTTTTTGGCGTTATCGTTCTATCTTACATGTAATCATGTGATCATTCATCCACATGTATATACAGAATCCAGAAAACAGGCGTCATGTGATAAAAAAATGATAAAAAACTTCAATACACGAATGCCATTACTATACAGAATTATGTATGTATGATGTTGTTTGATTTAAAACACGTGTATATAGAGGTATGTACCTGTCATATACCACGTAATATATAGGTTATATACATGTACCTATTTACCCGAAAGTAATATTTTGTTCAGTAAAATAGTGATCTTGATTTGCGTAAAAGTACGATATTAAACATTTTCATCTCTGGAATATTTTGGTCAAGTGGTGTAGTCAGAGACGTATATATGTCTCTGGTGTAGTGAAGTTTGTATACGATAAAAAAGTGTTTGACGGTCACGTTGCCATGGACTTTATACCACTAAGGACAGCTGTTTAAAGTGGAAATGATATGGATCTATACATATAAAGTGTTGTGAAATATTTGTCAATTAGAACAAGTTGTCAGCTCAGACGGAGAACGTCACGAGGAAAGAGGAAAATCAACATTCTGCTCTTTAATTAAGAAATAAAAAATGTTATATAGGTCTTTGGTTGCCATTTTACATAAAAAATATTTCTCTATTCGATCTTTCCGATATAAATATTATTTAAGATTTGTTGTAAACCTTGCCATCTGTTCCTCATCAATAATATTGGTAATTATGTCTCCGTAAGACAATTAACACGCAACGAACACTAAGCAAGCTCACATGTGGAAAGCAAACATCAATGGCGGGAAAATCGATGAATCCTAGTTCTCTGTATTAGCCGTCTGGTCCAGATACAGTGGTGTGACCTGAGAGCTACAACGGTGGTACAGCACATGCTCAAACACAGGACGCTGGGTTGACCTGCAGATAACACATATACCCCCTGGGTACCAGAAACAGTTACCAACTTACCCGTGAATTGTCAGATCACGTAAGAGACAGCACGTGCTGGTAAAAAAGGTAAGTGTGCTCCATCATTACGGATGCCTGCTTTGTGGTCATCGTTCGAACGACTGTCGTAATAAGAAAATTACCGATGGTATTGATGTTGTAGGATGGTTCTATATCCGGGAGTGTAAAATAAACGTCATTTAGTACACATATACACAGTCATGAGATGGAAATCCAGCCCTATTGTGTACATTATCAATCTGTGAGCAAATTTCATTTTGAGGTCGCACTTGTTTTACAGCACTTTAAACATAGGATTGACCGCCTGTCCTAGTAAACAAAAACATGACTTGTAAAATTTACCTGTATAATGTACCTGTGAAAGGTTAGCTACGGCCTTTAGACAATGAATTCATTATATGAAGCAACAACCTGCTTGTTGGATCAAGTAACGGAACGAAATTAAATTACAATTCACATCCTGTGAGATGTCGGTTACATTTAATATTTAGTGATATCAAAATATCATAAGCTGCGTGACTACACGTTTTTACTTGTACTAATTACGAGCACCTGCACAAACACCCATCACAGAACACAACAGATTTTGTACGTCATATATACTTGGTAAATACAATTTAAAAAAAGTAAATTTTCTTAGCGAATGGGTTAAACCCAAATGGCAATTGACTCAAGGGTTTTACCTAAATTATTCTAGCGTTAAGGTCTATCAACAGATGAGCTCCTCGAATGTTTCTGCGACTAACTTATATCTTCACTTGAAGATGATGAAACATCTGACTGACACATGTTCCTTAGATTCTGGGGTTTTCTAATCCATCGAAGCTTGCTGTTTATCAACTTTTGCCTTTAAAGCCGGATAAATATGGTAGACTGTCTGCCCAAATGGTCCGCAAAAGGTTGAAAACCTACCAGCATGAAAGCGCGGCGTTCCTACACTAGATCAATTTCGTTGTGACGTCACCGTAGTAATTGCCGTCTTTGGGCCTTTCGACAATGGGACAATGTTCTGTTCTCAGACGTGTCCAGATTTTGTCTGCAACTCAGTAATGGAAGGCAGAATGTGGAGGCGAAGAGCTTCGTTTGATTTGTCTACAACTGAGAAGTTTGGGACGTTATTGAGCAATGCACGAGAGAATGTTAAAAACAACCGTCAAACTCACGTGAAGAGCTAATGCAAGCCTTGAACAATGAGTGGAACAACATCTCCTCTCAAATTGTCACCCACCGGTATAAGAACATTAATGGATATGACCTATTTCAATAAATCTGCAGCTGTGAAGAAAAGATTTTTCTAATTTGGTAAATTCGAAAATGTCCATACTGGTTAAACTGTAACCAGTATTTGAACAACCGGGGCATGGTTATATTTTCCTTGTAAGTGCTCAATCGACTCCGTGTAAATCTTTCTTTGGCTATATATATATATATCGTCATAGATTTCATGTCGAATTTACCTTATTGACTATTTTGTAGTGTTGTTTTAGTTAACAATGATAAACTATTCTATCGTTTTTACTTCACAGTGGGATTTGTTTTGCTGTTATACGGCCCTTCCGAATGGATAGCATAGACGAAAGCCGTGTGGCGAGTTCGAAACAAGAGGTATTGTGTAGTTATAATTGAACATTGAAGACAGTTTGAATTAAGTAAACAAAAACAAAAACGACAGAGCGCCTTCCTCGCGGGCACCAGTTATTTGTTTTGTTACATTCAATCATTTTAGAAATTCTCAGTCACTCTCTTTCAAGAGAGCACACTTCAAAGGCTTCCCAGAATTACAAAAAAATACAGTTGAACCGACTCTAACCTCTACAATGTTTATTAGAAATGTAAAAATATCGATACTGCGGTAGCCATGGTTTTGTATCAATAAATGTGCTTTAGGTTTTATGTCAAGGTTGATGGAGAGGCAAGTATACCTTTAAAGGTATATTTTCATTTGACACATTTCCTGCATGTGTGTTGTGTTTACACAGGGTAATTGCCTTTATAAACAATGCAGGCTAGTTACCCTTGTCATAGCACCGCGATAATGTCAGTATAATGAGAGATGTTGTGGTGTTCTCACGGGGCTTTCTGCAGTAGTATACTTCGGTATGGTAGCGCTATAAATTTAACAAAGATGTAGTTCCGAAATATCACTAGAACTTACGCAGACATATTGAAGTCCCCCCTCCCCCCAACAAAAAAAAAAACAAAAAAAACCACATGCACGTAACACGCTAAATCATCATGCATACATGAAGAAGCCGTCCTTAAATGATCACAATGTTAAAAGGACATTTAATGAACAATAAACCAAACGTATCTGTGAACTGTATGTACAGAAAGAGAAGTTATGGGGAGGCAGATTTACAGGAAACACGGATCCGGTGATGGAAGCCTTCAACTCCTCCGTTCATTACGACAAACGGATGTGGCAAGCGGACGTACAGGTTTGTTTTTTTTTACATTGTTTTCATAATTTGAATATTTCATATTTCATTTACCCATCCTTTTATTGGTAAGTCTTAGTAATGGAAGAGCTGGAGAAATATGGTAAAATTTATTTCAAGAATCCAATCTGAAATCTTATTGAAGAAACCAGACCAGATAATGATTTAAAACACATTTTTACTCAGTAAGAAATAAAAGATGTGAAATATTTTAGAGAAAGATGATATATTATGGAAGTAAAATGTTCTCGTCATAGATGCCGAAAAGATAACCCACATCAACTGCGTGTTCCTTACGTTGTAATAGTCGCACTGAACTCACAGGTGTTTACAATGTTTTAGCTACTATACCCACAAAAGATTTGAAATGCAATACGCAATACGGACACGACATTATCAAAATACAAGTAATGAAGATTTATGACGGAGTTTAAGAGTCCCTCAGAGTCACAGCCCAACGACAAATAACAATATTAATATCAATTACAATGACATTAAGTTATTTTTGTATGAAAACATTTATTTAACATCTATAAGACAATTTATGTTGAATATTATCATTAAAAAAATTTTTTTTCTGATTTGTTGTCATTTAATGTGATCATAGGGAAGCAAGGCGTACGTGTCTGCTATAGAGAATGCAGGGTTAGTCACAAAACAGGAGAGGGACGCCATTCGTCAAGGACTTGACAAGGTTAGTCTAATGTAGCAGCAAACATATCCAAGAATAACAACATTGTGAAAATCTTAACATCGCTTTCAACTGATAAATGTTGTTTTCAGTTTTATCTCAGTGGAGTAAACTTCCTCATCATCATATTCCATAACCACACAGTTTAATGGGAAGTTATGATGTATTCATAATCACGTACGAGTATTTCGTAAAGGTTCACTTTTTTGCAGTTTTACTAAAGGTTTGAATCAGTCAGACGTTATATATTTTAACTGATTCATGAAGGAGACTATTGCATTCTCAGTAATTTTTGTCTAATAATGTTTTCATTCACCTACATCTCCGAAACCAATGAAAAATAAAACCATAGAATGAAAGAACCATTATGCAAATCTCATATCTGTGTTATAGCAGTTTACAGTACACGGCGTTTTAAAGATGTTTCAACTAATGATCTCCTACTCTGCATTTCTCAAGTTTTATTGTCTTTAAAGCAATACGACTTTCAGTTAATTGGTAAGGGTAACACGATACTTACGGGTTTAACCATCCTATTAGCCCTTAAACATATACATGATTTAGATTATATTAAAAGTTTGTTTGTATTAAAAAGATCGCAGAAGAATGGGAAAACAACGTGTTTGATATTCGTCCAGGGGATGAAGATATCCACACTGCAAACGAGAGACGTCTGAAGGTAGTTCAATTTTGGCACCAAATATCACGTAATGTAGATTTTTATGGTTGTTATAATTGCAGAAAGTTTATGACTTTACGGTATACAACCGATGTTTACAAAACTGCTATCAATACAGTGTTTATATTTTGCAAGAAAAAAGCGTATGAATTATACGTTCGCATAGGGATTTACACTCCTGGACATGGAAATGTTAATATAAAAATGACACAGGACATTAAGTGTACTTAAAACGTGTCCTTGATTCATTATATATACATTGAGTACACAAAATTTAAGACAACGATATTAACTTTATGTACTGAGAGTTGAGACACGAATATGTCTTTATGTACATACAGGACAGTTGTAATGTTTGTGTAAACATTTCTGTAGCTATCACTGAACCTCGAACCGGAAACGGAGTTTCAATGACAAAGAACTAACGCATAACTGTATCGAGAACATTAAAATGCAGATAATTGACTTTAAAAAGAGGGTTTTAGTTTTGTCTTTTCCTAGTGAAGAAATTTGTATCATTAAGATATGACGTTAATCTGGAACCAGCAATGACCGAATGGTGGACATTAGTGAATCTGATCATTTTCTAAGTAGATAGAAACATGGAAACAGCTCAGAAATAAAAATATTCATATTCTTTTTAATGGTTAATTTAGGCAAAATCTATGTAGTGAAACTTCGTTATTTCGAAGATCGGGTTCATTGGAAAACTTCGAATTATCCGCTTATCCTATTGAAGTAAGATAGAATATTTGGCGAAAAGTCTGGCTGAGACAGAGACAATACTTAGTACAAAACAGCATCTTCGAGTTGAACGAGTTTGAAGTAACGAGGTTCGTTCGACTGTACATTGTGTTTTTCACTGAAATCCTAAACCGTCTTTTTTCTTTAAAAATATTTTCAAAGTATTCGTATTGTTAATTTTATTCCAGTATTGAATCAAAGACTTTAGCAAAGACACTTGTGAATAGCACATTGCAATATAAAACTTGAGTTGGATAAATTAGAGCCAAACAACGAGCAAAACTGCATCATAAAGCATTTGGTCCATTCAGGACTCGTCGTTGATGATAAGGGCTTGAATTTTGAAGTCTAAGCGGAGATTGAGAAATATCCATAGCTTATTTCCTTGCCTAAAATGCTTCCAATTTTCAGCACTAATTCCATGAATCATTAGACATTTAGATGTAATGGCAACAAATACAAGGACGTTTGAAATGACTGAACCATTCGAAGTCATTTAATAAGCCCAGAGGAATTAAATTGAATACATGTACTGATTCTTCACTTATTGTTGAAATTATAAGGAATGTTTGATAACTGCAAGCCATATCCAAATGTTTTTCTCCAAATCTCACTGTTTTCCATTGAGCCAGGAGCTGATTGGACCAACGGCAGGAAAACTACACACTGGTCGTAGTAGAAATGACCAGGTCAGCACTGACATGAGATTGTGGCTACGTACCGCTTTGGGGGAACTGAAAACATATGTTCTGGACCTGATCAAAGTCATGATCAACAGGGCTAAACAGTATGTAATATGATTTGTTTGACATGAAGTTGCAATTTGAGTGATTTCTGATGAATCGAGTCTTGTCGCTTTAGTCGTAAACTTGCAACAATTTTATCGGTGAAAATACTCATTAAGCTTTTATTTATAACATCTGAAATTGACAATATAAAACACGATCAGACAAACGATAACCCCAAACAAACAATTCGAAATCTCCTATATTGTTGAAATTAATAACTGTCCAATTATCACATATATACTTTTTCAGTTTGAACTGTAGTATACAAGAATATTGCAAAAGAATCGAATATAAACAGCACTACATATATAACCTATGATTGAATTATCTTATATCATTACATTACCCGCATTTGAATAGGTGATGCAGTTTTACTGTGGTTTCAAATGGAACTCTGATGTATTTAAATGTGCCTAGAGTTTTTCAGAATTATGATCAAAGGACAAAAATTGCAAGAAAAAAGAGAGACACTGGTTAGTAATTATTGGTATATGTTTGATCTGTGTAGGGAGATGGATGTACTTATGCCTGGTTATACCCATCTACAAAGAGCTCAGCCAATCAGATGGAGCCATTGGTTGCTAAGGTATCCATTATGTACATGATGTAAACAATTTAGTGTTCATGTTATTGTTTTAATTGAAAATAAAATAAAAAAAAAAACTTACCTTTACGTTCATCTTGATTGCTATCCATATACATGATGGCACCCATTTTATATGTAGTAGCTGAAAATTCATCAAAGGGTTCTCACTGGCAAAGCTTTTCTTCTTCCGTTTTTTTCTTTGGAATATTTTATTAAAGCCCGTTGATGCAAGAAAACTGTAGCGTATGATAGTTAAGGTCAAACTTTTTCAGTATGTCCAACCCCGTTTAGGTGACATGCGTGACTTATACACGTCATATGTGATGCATTTTTGTAAGTAAACTATATAAATATGGTTTTCAATGGATTAAATAGTTAACAATACATACACGTTTGGTATACCACATGCAGTCAGTCAGTTTTGTTGAGAGAAAGGGACTGGTTGAATGATTTTGTATAAAATACGTTCTTAATTAACTCGTATACATTATCCTTTTTTTATCAGTTATGCTTGGATGCTAAGACGAGACGTTGAACGCCTTACAGAACTATCTGAGAGAGTTAATATTTTACCTTTGGGGAGGTATGATATTCTTCATGAACATAATTTGTATCGCTGCAAGTATACTTCGACATTTATATCGAATAATTAAAAAAAAAATGATTTTCGTTAGTCGCATCAAAGGTTTCAAAATTTAGGCCTTTAACATCACTGAAGAGTTACAGAACAGATGCAGTTATATACATATAACTCTACTTTATCTAATTCTAAATTAATGAATGCTATTCATTCGTGTGTAATCGAATTATTGGAGACTTCAATTAACCCTAGTGATAACACTAATATGATAGTACAATAAGAATCAGATGATGACGTATTGGCGTAGTAATGTTTTGATTCCGTTTTTGGATTTCCTAAATTTTCTTTTTAGTGGGGCTCTAGCTGGAAATCCTTTCGCTGTGGACAGAGGCTTTCTTGCCAAAGGTAATTGATTGGAATTACTTATACTTGTCAAATACATCTCGAAGTACTTTTAATGCAATGACTAATTAAAAATAACATATCTCATATTATGCCACTATGAGGGCACCATGTGTAAACTTCCATTTATTTATTTTTTTTAATTTGATGACGATTTTTTAAACACGTGTCTGAAATTAAATAAGAATTAAAAGTAAGCAATGCGAATAAATATATATCGTAAACTTGTCATTTGCTAGAATCAAAACGTGTCTAGATTTGTTTTATTTATGATAGAATATAAACAATTTTTAAGAAATATTTATTTATTTGTAGACTGCTTTTGTTGAAAATTGAAATTGTGTGTAATATTTTTTCCAGAGCTTGGATTTATTGACGTGTCAGGGAATAGCTTGGATGCTGTTAGCGACCGAGATTTTGTTGGTAATCATTAACCATTTTCTAGATCAAGCATTTCTTTGAAGATAATGACACTGTATACATCAATATGTTATAAACAATCATATAGTAGTTTCGTGCTGTATGTTGTGTATGTGGTACTATATTTGTTATGTAATGTATTTGTTGAGGGGTTCATTGGTAAAATAAAACTACACATGATTAAGGTAATCGAAAGAGCTTGGATAAAGATGGTATAGTCATATTAAGAGCTGAAACAGATAGTGTAAGATAAGATTACTCAAAAGACACACAAGTGGAGAGCATATTTTAGTTAAGATTTAGAGTTAGATAGAGCAGAGCCAAACAATGATTTAAACTGTATCATACATGTTTTTCTTTCTTATAGGACTCATCAGCGATGCTAATTCATTTTACAAATACATCAGTTTTCATACCTTGTTTCGAATTAAGTTTAATGAATTCCACTTTTTATCATTTGGTATTAATTTATGATACATTTATTTACCTATAGATTGCTAGTTCTCAGTCCCAACAATAGACACGTGCAATTTTGTTCTCGTAGGGAGTACTTGCTCTGAACAACTAGAAAATACACTATTTTGACATCTCATTTATAAAAATGCATTTTGTTATTATTACAGCGGAATTCCTATTCTGGGCTTCCATGTTGGGGGTTCACTTGAGTCGTTGGGCAGAGGATTTAATATTGTACTGCAGTAAGGAATTTGGCTTCATTACATTATCAGATGCGTACAGGTAAACACTGTTTTCTTAAATTTAGATTAAATTGGGATTATTTATATATATATGATCAGTTCTATAGTCTTTTACGATAATCATGATGTTTTCCGGTATTTTCAGGAATAAAGAAAGTTGATGTTATCCTATCATATGTTTTATGCGTATGATATTATTTTGATTTTAGTTTTAATCCAAACACATGATAAAACTGAAATTGGAATCGTTTAAAGGTATTTGATAACTAAAATACCTGAATTGTTATGCTGTATATAAAACGGTGATTGCATTGCTGTAATAGTACGGAACTATTCTAGTACCGGAAGCAGTCTAATGCCACAGAAAAAGAATGCAGATAGTTTGGAGTTGATACGTGGAAAAGCCGGAAGACTATTCGGAAAGGTCAGACCGAGTTTTAAACCTTATAAGTAATTACCACATAACTGCCATTTGTATTACTGTTCCTAGAAAGAATAGACGACAGATGTTTCATTAAATGGTTCCCAATATGGTGAGCACACGTTTTTCTGTACTTTAAGCTTAATGCGAATCTAATATATAATCACATTTTTAACACACTTTCACAATTTTAACAGATTATGTGTGAACAACAAATATGACGTCTATTAAGTTTATTTGGATTTTCACTTAAAGCTTCAGGCAGGTATACAACGTTATCCAGTGAATATAAGTAAGCGATTTTTTCGGAGAACTGGTTTGACGTGCTAATATGAATATGGAAATGTATATTGTCGTTTTCTTAATTCCATTTGGTAACTTATTCGCGTATTTCAGAAAAATTAATTATTTTGTTTAACACAACATGAAATCGTTTTCCTTTTATTTGTTTCAGTGTTCAGGCTTCATGATGACGCTTAAAGGTATACCAAGTACATATAATAAAGATTTACAGGTAAATGATACTATATACAATTTACACACACATATCATAAAATACTACTCAGTTAAATTTTTTTAAATGCTTTGATCGAGTTTCAAAATTTTGGAAAATAAATTTTGATAAACCCAATTCAATGATACCACAAAATCCGTTTAAATAATCAATTTTTTTATGCTTGTGACGGTACTTGTAAAAGAAGAGGTACCATGATATACATGTTTGTCCATTTGTATAGATAGAAGATCTAAAACTTTAAATGTGTCTTATAATTTATGTATGAATGATACGTGACGAGGACACCAGTTGTCTGTCTTCATTTGATTTTAAGAAATAAGACCGTCTGAAACTGATGTGTAAAGAAAGTAAAAAAAAAATGTATGTTTCTTAAAGCAACAAAATGACACATGTTGGTCACGTGTTGTTTCTGATGAAAGAATAAACTCGTTATGACATTATGAGTGTACTATACATGAAAAGTACAGGACAAATGTGTAATCTTTCAGACAGCTTATACAATTAAGGAATGCTTAGGTGAAAGTTTAACTACTTGTCGATGAAACAGAAGACGCTATATGTCCCGGAACCTCTAGTCTTATACTCCTTATAATTGTTAGGGAGTCTCCTTGTAGACCTTTCTGCTGTTCATTTTCTGCGCTTATTTTATTGACTTTCATTTTGGATTATGATTATGTTGACATGTTGGTATTTTCTTGTTTTTCTTTGTCAGCTACGCAGTTGCGCAGTGAACTCACATGACTTGTTTAATAATATGACCTCCGATATCGGTGTAATCAGCACGGTTTCCTATACCAGACAACTATTTAAATTTCAAATAATACCGGTCACAATCTTTGATTCGACCGTTATTTGTACTTTTCTCGGACTAAACCTGATTTCGGTTCATTTCATCAAAACCTATTATTTCAGCCAAACATATTGAATTACAAAGTTGAACTGTAAAATATTCACACACATAAAAGCTTGTATGAACAGTCTCTTGGTTGCTAATATGTCTAATTGAATGTTAAAAAAATCTATCATTTAATGCATTGAATCTTAGTAAATGCGGGATAATTACGCACAAAAAGCTGTAAATTTTGACTCAGCTGCAGACAGTTTGTTTACGATTTTCCCATCAAATATCCAGTAGGTTTGCAATAATTTTGCTCTCTGTAAATCTATTCTGCTTAATGCATGTGATTTGTCAAATAGGATGTATGGTTTTATACCTGTCAGTTGCCGTTTGCGCTTTTGCTGTTATGCTTTGCAATCAGTAGAATTGGATATCAAAAGAAACTCCTACAAATAATCCGATGAATTGTTCTTTTTATGATGCTTAATCCAATATTTTTGTTCTATTTGAACAGGAAGATAAGGAGAGCATGTTTGACACATACGACACTCTTTGCGGTATACTGAAAGTATCAACAGGTGTGTTGTCTACGTTACAGGTCAGTAAATGAGAAAAATGGCATGATTGTCTAATGCATGGTTACCGTGAAAAGGTATTTTTCTTTCTCGATATTTTCGAGGATTGATCGAAATCGCGAAAACAAGTATCATGTAAATAAAATATACAGAGAAAGTCGTAGTTTCCTTGAAAGAAAAGTTTAGATAATGTATACATTTTGTTTTAAACGTTTTTTCTTCAGATGTATAATGTCAGTATGTAAGCCTCTTAAGGTTGATTATCAATGCCTTCCTTATCATTAACGATATTGTTTTATGATTCGCAAGGGCAAAATGGTTGGTTTTGGGTGGCTTTTCATTTAGATGTCCATGGTTCGATTCCCAGAAAGGATTTAAAACGTATTGCGTCACACCCGAAAACGTGGTTTTTCCTCGGGTACCCAGGTTTCTTTCCCACACCTTGCGAGCTTCCACCCAGACCAAAAAGAGTGATTGATAGATAATTTCGAAAAAAGAAAATTGCAAGAGTAAATTTACGGTTAATTATATATTGGATATATATGATTAGTGTTAAAGACTTATCATTATATAAGTTTCCGTCTATACTTTTAACAGATACACCCGGAGCAGATGCTTGCTGCACTAAGTCCTGATATGTTAGCTACCGACATTGCCTATTACCTTGTCCGAAAAGGGGTTTGTCATATTAAGTTTTCACTCACCACCATCGAAAACTGAGGTCTTTTAATTTGTCATATGTGTTTACAGTAATAATCATGTTGTTTTCATTGATATAGATATGCAGAGGTTAGATGAATTGAACTCGAAATACACGTACTATCAATTATTTGCATTTAAAGACATAGTTGCTACATATTAAATTTGAGGCATTTACTTGAATATTGTTCACTAACTAAATCATAACTGTATACATTTACTCCACTGACAAGACCTACAAGACCGAAACAGGTGTATGATTATTCAATTAGGTGTTATATATTTTTGTGTCTTGTGTACAATCCTTTTGTGTATATACTATCAAAATGATGAATCATAAGCTTATTACTGGTATATTAGAGGTAATAAGTTGTTAAAGTATATCTTATTCATGTACATTAAACATCTTTGATAACACATATTAAACACGCTAGTTTAACCCAATTTGTTCTTGGTCAGATTTAACAGTTAAAAATAGGTTCTTGAAATAACTTTTCATAAATTTTGCAATCTGTCGCCCTCTTCACTATTTGTATTCTAATTTAAAAAGCAACATGAAGTTACTACTGAAATGAGTAAGAGAGAAAAATTCTACTACACATCTACTGTATGAAGTTCGACGTATTCGATGTCGTTCTTAACTATTCACGTTATATCGCTTTGATTGACCGATATGTGTAAATATGTCGTTGATAAAACGGTCAACGCTTATCATTCTGGAACATTTGATATTTTTCCAAGGACCTAATTCTGATAGGTTGTCTGTTGATTTAGAGTCTTTATTTAGAAATTTTAGTTGTGTTTACCATCCATTAATTTCTTACCGATGGTTTAATATAATGGACTCAAATAATAAAATAACAGTTTATAATTGTAATATAATGTGTATCATGGTTCTTAAAATCACCTTTGTATTATCGGTAGATTTTACTGTACCTACATGACTGACTCTCTGACCTCTTGTTTCCCCTTGTCTGAGTCAATTTATACTCTTTGATTCATTTCAATTATTTTCTCATCGCCTAGGTGCCATTCCGACAAGCTCATGGTCTTTCTGGTACATGCGTGGCGATGGCGGAGAAGAAACAATGCTTGTTGTCCGATTTGTCATTAGAGGATTTGAAGAGTATCAGGTCTGTAATAAGAGAAAAATAAGTAGGAAATATCACCAATGTCATGTTTACATCAAACCCTATACTACTGATGTTTTACCATACTCATTATCTAGAAGTACACAATATCGTATAAAATGCTTTTTATCTGTATAGTTATTAATTGGATTTAAAGATTGGTGTTGGTTCTTAAACATCCTAATCATAATCCCAAAGGATTTGTTTCCTCCCGATTTCATCAGCATTGTGATTTTTCTCTGTTACAGTCCTTGTGTTGAGAGTGACATTGCTGATCTTTGGAATTACGAGAACTCTGTAGACCAGTACAGTACATATGGCGGGACAGGGAAGGCTAGCGTCATTCAACAGCTACAGAACTTAAGCGCGTGGCTGGATGGACTTCATTGACGTAATGTTCATATATGACGTTGTTACCCTCAGCCTCCGGATACAATAGAGAAAATAACAATTAACTCTTGTCTTCGGTTCTAAACTGTATTAAGACTGGAAGGTACGAGTAGACGTGTGCCTAGCTCGGAGGTTTACATTGGACTGATTAAAAAATGCATGATACAGACAATTTACAGATACAATCAAACAGATGAAAGTAATAATTATCAGAGATGAAGATAAGAGTGAAGGAATTCTAAAGTCTGTTTAAACTCTTGAAACTCCAGCAGGGGTCATTAATTGACCTTATCTGGCATACTACAACATTAACTGGTCATCGGCTGGTCACTACGCCTAATGTCCTGACAGTATGAAATTTATATGACATGGTACTGGCTAACATCAGACACCCTAAAATTGTACGATGAGCCGGAACACTAATTAAACTCGCCACTCACTCGGTGTCATTATTTCACTCTTAACATCTCCCCCTTAAGATAAATTTCACGGGTTAATGTTGTCTGGAACACATAATCCACAGAGTGACTTTATAATAATCAATCTATCACTACAACTGTTCGTGTCCAAGTTCATGTCCTTAGTCTCTGCACTGAGATTTAATCCTGTTGGAATTTGCTATTTCACTACTGCCTACACTATTAAATTATTTTATTGCACAGAATATTAACATAAACAAGTTACAAAATGATTTTAAAAGTTTCATTCTTCTCTTTGCCTTTACTCGATGCGCGATAGCCCATCAGCGTTTGCATTGTTTGAGCCTTTTTGATAGTTAATGTCAAAACAATAGGGCTGTAATGCTAAGGCCCATCGCATCAGTCTCTGGTTTTTCAGTTTGGTTTTCTCCAGCCAAACTAATGGGTTGTGATCAGTCTCAACCGTGAACTGAACACCATTCAGATAATATCCAAATGTCTCAATACTCCACACAATGGCTAAACATTCCTTCTCTACTGTCGAATAGTTAATTTCACGTGGGAGTAGTTTTCGACTCGTGTACGCGACTGGGTACTCATCACCGTCAACCTTTTGGCTCAGAACTCCACCTATAGCTGTGTTACTTGCGTCCGTTTGTAGATAGAAATGCTTTTCAAAGTCAGGGTTGATTAACACTGGAGCTTGTGTCATTGCATCCTTCAGAGCCCTGAACGCGTTCACTCTATTTTCGGTCCATACAACTTTTGTAGGTTCTTTTGATTTTAACATATCGGTCAATGGTTCCGCGATTCGTGCATAGTCTTTCACAAATTTACGATAATATCCTGTCATTCCGAGGAATGATCTTGCTCCCTTTTTGGACTGAGGGAGTGGAAAATCAGTCATGACTTTTATTTTCAGGTCATTAGGCTTGACAGATCCATGGCCCATTTTGTTACAATTATAACACCTGACATTCTTCATTGGCTCATCAGAAAAGTTCTTTTTCGATTCCGTCTTTGATGTTTCTACGGAAGCTTGACTAACCTGTGTTTTGGTTTTTGTTGTACTCCTCTCCGGAAAAATATAATCCTCTGCTGCATCCACAACAGTTCCAGATCCTTTGTTCCTGCGGATCCATTGTGCCTGTGACACTGGAAGAGCACTGAGGAAAAGTTCCTCTTCTATTTTCCCAAGAACATCTTCACTGTCATCAATGAAACGTATGACATATTGTTTCACTCTTGCCATAAGTCCACGATATGTATCTTTTTGATGTTTTTGGACATCCAATAGCATTTTGAAGTATTGATATGGCTTTTTCCCATACCTTTCTATCAAAGCCTTTGACAGATCTTCATATGATTTGTGGGCTTGAGCTGAAACTTTACGAGCTTCTCCTGTTAGTAGACTTCTTAATTGAAGCATTTTCATTTCCAGAGTCCAGCCAGCTTGTGATGATAATGCTTCAAACTCAGCGAGATAGGATATAATGTCCTCGCCTGAAGCATGATCATAAGGCTGTAGTTTCACTCTACATGGCACAGCACTTGCATTGTTTTTGTTTTCCAGCTTCAGTTTCTCAACTTCAAGTTCCATCATTTTAAGCTTTAGCTCAGCGTCCTTCCTTTCTTTTTCAGCTTCCATCCTTTCTTTTTCAAGTTTAAGTTCAGCTTCCATTTTCTCTTTTTCAGCTTTAAGTTCAGCTTCCCTTCTTTCCTTTTCAGCTTCCCTTCTTTCCTTTTCAGCTTCCCTTTCAGAACGTAAGTTTCTTTCTTCAGCCTCACGCTGAAGTTTTTCACGTTCTAACTGAATCTTCTCCTTTTCTACTTCTGCTTGGAGCTCTAACTTTCTGATTTCTACTTTTGACTGAGCAGCCGATAACTTCTGGGCTGCGTCGGCAGTCTCTCCGTCTCCTGTGCCTGTCGGCATTTTCAGTCTCTTTCAAGTTCGTTATGTAACGGAGTCCCACACTTGATAGAGAATCTTTCACCGCTGCCACCAGTTGTTACCCTCAGCCTCCGGATACAATAGAGAAAATAACAATTAACTCTTGTCTTCGGTTCTAAACTGTATTAAGACTGGAAGGTACGAGTAGACGTGTGCCTAGCTCGGAGGTTTACATTGGACTGATTAAAACATGCATGATACAGACAATTTACAGATACAATCAAACAGATGAAATTGATAATTATCAGAGATGAAGATAAGAGTGAAAGAATTCTAAAGTCTGTTTAAACTCTTGAAACTCCAGCAGGGGTCATTAATTGACCTTATCTGGCATACTACAACATTAACTGGTCATCGGCTGGTCACTACGCCTAATGTCCTGACAGTATGAAATTTATATAACATGGTACTGGCTAACATCAGACACCCTAAAATTGTACGATGAGCCGGAACACTAATTAAACTCGCCACTCACTCGGTGTCATTATTTCACTCTTAACACACGTCACCTGTTGTTGTGTTGTTAATCATGATGATGTACTAAACATATCCAAGAAAAGTTGCTTTAAAACTATACATTGTATAGGAATGTTGTATTTTGGTACACAGAGCAAATTGATGTAAATGGTATTATTAGGTGATTATGTTAGTTTATAATGATATTTTATCCAGTTGTATATTTGTGTTTATATAAGCCGGAGAAACATTAAAAAAGGTGAATACCAAAATTTTTGAACAAAATCCTTATTCGAAATCAGTATTAATTAAACCCTCTCAAAATAAGAGCAAAGGAAAATATTGGGGTGAAATACAGGGCAACTTAGATTGTATTGTGAGGAGCTTTATGCTCATTCCGCCCGCCCCTGTGCTCAACTTTGGTCAAATGTCGCGATCTCAAAGAAAATATTGAAGCAATGACAACCTAACTACAAGGCACAATTTTGATCAAGTTTCTTAACCGAGTCACATTCTTATATTAAAATTAGAACGTGTAATGCATTTACTGAAAATTATTCAAACAGAACCACTGTTAACTTTGTTGTACATGATAGATTTGTACATATGTTTAAGAATATTCATGAAGTTGAATATTGGAAGGCGTGCAATATAATTAGGATACATATGTAAAATATAAATGATTAATTAAGTCATTTATTAAACATGTACATTATCAGTAATTATATTGTAATTCGTAAAGATATGATATTGCATGATGTATTATTCAATGTTTTGTTATAGTTTGAAATTAGGACGTTTCTATGTAATATGTCTGTATTATTATAATTCCAAAACATTATGTCCATAAAACATGTCTTACTCATTGCATGATATGTTACACATTTATTGTTTTATAGTTCATTCTTATATATTCTTAAAACACTTTTTGTTTCTGGTTTTTACTCATGAAACCCAAATTATATGTCACTTGTTAATCGTAAAGAAGTCTTGACAGAATATGTTCCAATTCAGATGATTAATATACAGGGAAGTGCATATTTCAATACGAGGCGACTTGATTATATGACATGTTATTTTTAAAACAAATGGATATCCAGATCAAGCATTAATTACCGAGTAATTGATAAATTGGTTAATTTTCCTCGTTGAATTTTGTCTAGAATATCAAAATATTTGAAACAAATGTATTTACAAAAATAAATCAAATTACATATTTATATTGTTGTTAGTTAATATTTCGTTTTGTATTGTCTGATGACCAGGGCAAGCAATGAATCATATGCAATACTAGATTGTCAATATACAGGCGATGAACATCACAGCAATTTTTCATTTTCACTTTTATGTTTCCATCGTACAACTGTGAATTGGTCAATACTGCTGAACAAGCACTACTTATAAGCATTACTTATACAGTCACAAAGACAGATTACTAAACTAAAGTTTTGGATTCTTTTGTTAATGAAACAATTGGATATGTTTCTCCACTCAAACAAACGAAAGATTAATTTTATAAATAGTAGGAAGTAATATGTAAGTAATGGGAAACCTGATATGTTCTATAACATATATGAGGATCGTGATATGAGAAAACAATGCAGGGCTCTGGGTAATGTCTACACTAAATGTGATACCTACCAGGGGGATGTTCCCTGAACCGTTACACGTCATTTAATCTATATGAACTGGGCAGGTTTTTCCTGTAAATGATATCAATTTTAAACAGATTTTGTTTCGTCATAAATTGTAGCTATAATTCTATTTTATCTTGGATTCTAAATTTAGATTAGAATAATTATTGATATAGCCCCTGTTAGTCTACGTTGTACATATATGCTTGTAGTCCGGTCTTAGTTTTCTTGCTTTTTTGGGCTGTGGGAAAATAGAACATGACTCGCGGTTATGATAGTTATGTATATATAATTTACGTGCGTAATAAAAATCACTAGCACTAATATTATCAATCACAGGTTAGATATGAACTTCACCACCACCATCATTCAATTCTATCATGGAATTATTTGTTTACATGATTTAAGACATAACATAGCAACTAAACATCCTGTCATATTTCTTTTACTGCAGTTGACCGTGTTTATATATATATAGACATCTAATGTTCAGTGAATTGGTTTCTTATGTTTGTATACACAACATAGCAACTGAACAACCTGTTATATTTCTTTGACTGCAATTGACCATGTATGTATATAGACATCTAATGTGCAGTGAATTTATTTCTTTTGGGTGTATTACTTTAAGTCGACAACTAGTTTCACTTTTAGGAATTAATGTAAGGAGGGATCGATATATCTAAATACAGTATACATACTTTTAGTTAGTAGCATT